TGCCTACCTCTACCTCTGGTATAATGGTCCACATGGAGAATCTATAAGTTTGGCCAGCCGGCAATAGTGGTATTGGACTAGGAGATACCGTGTACCCACTATCCTATGCTTGCAAAATCCTAAGGGTCTAGGACATTAGTGCTATGGGTCATTTTAGAGGCAATGCCTACTTCCACCTCGGGTATAAAGGCCCTCGTGGAGAATCTTCTTGTTTGGCCAGCCGGCAATAGTGGTATTGGACTATGAGATACCGTGTACCCACTATCCTATGCTTGCAAACTCCTAAGGGTCTAGGACATAAGAGCTATGGGTCATTTTAGAGGCAATGCCTACCTCCAACTCGGGTATAATGTCCTACGTGGAGAATCTCTTAGTTTTGCCAACCGGCAATAGTTTATTTCGACTTCGTGATATACCGGGGTACCCCTCCCCCTTTTAATATTTTAATGACAAACCCGTCCGGTTCTGGGACATAAGTGCTATGGGCCATTTCAAACGCAATGCCTTCCTATGAAAGACAATAACCAGATTATGTTAAGACTCAAATTGGTCTCCGTAGTTTTGAATAATGAAACGTCATTATTAAGTAACTTTCAGTTTTTTCTTCTTCTTCTTCTTTTTTCTTTAATTGTAAAACTTTTTGTTTGTCTGGTCTGTTTAAAATGGAAGATAACCGATCGCATTTACGGTATGTAGGACTTTTGAGATGGGACTATATATATTGGAAAACGAACAGATTATGGAATTCCCGGCCTTATGACAATTAATTCCCTTTGATTCCTTTCAGTGTACGATTAAATTACGTTTGTTAAATATTTAAATACTTCGAGAAGTCAGAAATATCTTTAAGAACTGTTCTATTTAATTTGTCCGGTGGAAAGTCCCGTTTTCAAGATTCATAATTAAGCATATTTCATCTCTTTCGTCTAATTTCTTTATTGATAGTAATCCATAACGTGGCTGTTAGGTACTTTCAGACATTCAACATGAATCGTTAAATTTCTAAATTCAATCATCCTTTTATTTATTGTTGTTTCAGTTTACATTATTTCACTAATCACAGAATCTTGAAAAGATAGGTTCTGGGTTCTATGTTTATGGAAGCATTAACCTTTTTTCACTTTCATTTTAAATGTTGTTCAAAGACGCAGAGCTTGCAGAAGACCAATAGTTCCTTTTTATAATTGATTAAATAAACGCGGACCTCGAAGAAGACACCCATTGACTTGCCTGTTTGAAACAATATCAAATATAAACAAAAACGTTATTTAATCATTATATAATCGATCATAGTTTCTTCAATACTTCATCGAACGCAAGTCATCTCATGAATATTATTGACGGCTCATGAATATTATTGCAGGCTGGCCTCATGAATATTAACGCCGGCTGTTATCGACGGCTAGCTTCACACTAGTCAACAATACTGTGTATTTTCTTCATTGTAAAACTGTACAAAGTATGTTTGTGATTCTAAAGTAATGTCAAAAATGTATTACTGGTCATTGTATAGATTATAACTATAAATCCAATCCTTTCAGTCAGTTTACATTCAAGATCTCCTGGTCACACTAAAACAGATGTTTTAAAGCGTTCAGAGTAGCCCGCCATACTTGGATCATAAAGTAGATATTTAATTTGTTTTGTTTTAATCTTTAATTTACTAGGTAAGTATAGAATTTCTCATTGAATGCTCTGTGTAAGAAAGTTAAAAGGTAATTTGGTTCTAATCAATGACTTTAGTATATTGAATATCTTCTCTAAAAGGATTTAAGATAAACACTGCTAAAATAGAATACAAGTAGTTTATCACAACACGCTGCTATGGTGCATGCACATATTTGTCTTCAGTTGACACTAGCTGTAAATTTAAGCATTTCTTACTTTGACTTTGAGAATGGATTTAATCGAATAAAATTTCCAGAAAATGCAAATTTACATTGAAGTTGTTTCGTGAATACTGGACGCAAGAATAAGTACAAACATTGTCATGGAGAAAAATGAGGTATCTTTGAAATATGTTTGCGATGCTAGTGACACTTATATTTATTTTTCATGTTTTATGGAATCAAATGATTTTTGGTGTAAAAAAAACCAATTCACTTGCCAATGTGCAAATTATTAATCAACTTTACAACGACGTAAAATGTTTTTCGATTCATAATAACGATGGAAATTACCATTTATTATTTTCAACATAATTTTCTTATCACATATTACTGTTTGTCCATTTGTATCGTAAGAGATGTGGTATGATTGCCCATGATACAGCTGTCCACCAGAGATCAAAGAACGACAGCCATGCATGGTGCATAACATCTATCGTGAAATTCTAAATAACTTAGAAGTGTAATATTCAAACTAATATTAGTATTTATCAAATATTACATTTGTAAATGAAAGTTGAAATATACGCTGTGTGTTTTTTTATTTCAATTTTAATTTTAATGAATTTGCAAACTCTTATATTTTTTATGACTTTCTCAAACTAATGCAACATTCAAACGACATTCAAAGAGTGAAGTCTGTGAACTATAAATCTGACTACTACAGTATCACATGAAATATGTAAGTTATGTATATGAGTTGAGCGTAGCTGTAAAAGTACGTAAGGATTTTAGAAATTTTTAACACAAATGTGTTATCCTTGGTTCATGTCTGTTAATTTTTCGTAAATTTTTTTGTTATAAATTAGGCCGTTAGTTTTCTCAATTGAATTGTTTCATATTTTTCATGTCTGGGCCTTTTTTAGCCGACCATACGGTATGGGTTTTTCTCATTTTTTGAAGGCCGTACGGTTGCGTATAATTGCTTACATCCACTAAATTTGAACTTTGGTGGATAGTTGTCTCATTTACAACCATACCACATTTCCTTATTTTTATATTAAATGTGATTTATGTCATGGATATCAATTTTAGTTGGTGATCAATTTAAAACAAGGGGACACTTTTGTTTGTTTTTCTTTTGGATATTTCACAGGGAGACTAAAACTTGCGAAAGAAAAATCGACTTTTTACTTTATAAAAATTGAATAATTAATGTAGGAAGAAATCAGCAAAGATAATCATTTTAGGGTGCATTCATAGTTTAGAAAATTTCTTTATTTTTTATTTTTCAGTAAATGACTAACGATTATCATTTAACTGGTAATTTAATCAATATGTAGTACGAAAAATAAAACGATATTTTTTTTAAAAAGTAAATGAAAGATCCGACAACATATTTTCTTACAATAAAGCAGTTTGGGTTTGGGCTTTCCCTTTGAATATGAATTCAGAATAGTGTTCGGACGCATCAAATTTATAAAGTTTTTTTTCATAACCAATGGCCATACAAAATTTCTAAGAGGGACGTATTGTGGTATACCGTGGTCCGTCCGTCCGTCCGTCGTCAATACTTCGGACAATAACTCAAAACGCTTTCACCAATTTTCATGAGACTTTGATGAATTTTTTATATCCATTGACATAAGCTTCCTTTCGATTTTTAAAATTGTAGCTGAAACTATCGTGACTTGTTTATATCTATTGAAATAAGCTTCCTTTTTTTCTTTTTTTTTTCTATAAATTTCTGATATGATATTGCGGAGTTATTGAACTTTATTCGTTGAAAAATCATAAAACGAAAAGGGCGACGGGCGTATAATGCGCTCATGGCGCAGCTCTTTATTAGTTTATTGTTTTCTCATAAATCAGGCCGTTGTTTTTTACGTTTGAATTGTTTTAACAATTTGTGATGTCGGGTCTTTTATAGATGACTATACTGTGTTTTATCTGCGTAATTTGAAGTCTGTTGAATAGTTGTCTCATTTGCAATGATACCACCTCTTTTAGATTTATAATGCTGCCAAATTCTTTAGTTTCACATTCAAGTATGTTGACTCTGTCCTGTCACTCGACAACCCTAGGTGAGGGCTTGCATCTTACATATCCAAGTGAATTCGAAATTTATGATATTACCGAACCTATAGACTATCTCATTTCTGAATATATATTTTTCCTTGAAATGTTAAAACACAATTAGACGAAACACACTAAGATTTATGACAAACGTGACGATTTCAGTTTTCATCTTCCCAACTTAAAATTTCTGAGTAGTTTCATGATGGTGCCGCTTATTCATTTTAAAATACATATCGAACAATCTGAAATGTGTATAACAAGTTTATATTACATCTAAAATGGGAAATTTGGTTTATCACTTTAGTGTAAAAGTATTATTTCACTTTCATTTTCAGTATCCTAAAGTCGTAGGACTAAATATCGGTGGTGAAAAATTCACTACAAGATTATCAACCTTGACAAAATATCCAGATTCTATGTTGGGTGCTATGTTCAGTGGACGACATAAGTTAGATGTAGACAGGAACGGAGATTATTTTATTGACAGAAATGGAAAATATTTTCATTATATTCTAGAGTTTCTAAGAGATGATAATTTCATGCCTCCAACAGGTACACGTGAGAGAGTACTAAAAGAAGCAGACTATTTTGGAATAAAACCATTAGCTGAAATATTAAGAAGGTATCCGCCTCTGTTTCCAGATGGAGTTATACTTGATAATCTAAGAAACAAAGTGAAAGAGTATCTCAATATTAAGGGGAAAATAGCAGAGTTGTCAACAGTGGGTGTAATAGAGAACTCAGAAATACAGTGTCAGCAGGCGTCATTCGTGTATGTCACATGGTACACCACAGAGGAAATAGTAAACGGCAGAAATTATCAAACGAGATTAACTTATGAAGATGTAGTAGCGTCATGGGTTGGCTCAAAATTAAATGTTGATAAAACTTTGTGCGTTTCTTCGGATGGTTATCCACCGGACATAGCTGAATTTTATCGTGTTCTTCTAAATGATTTAACAAGTGAAGGATTTGTGTTATCAATGAAAAATCATTATAAAAGTATCCCCAATAGTTACATTTGGTATGAATACAACGATCAAGCATATGCAGCTGTACAATGGATGACTATTGAGTTTTCTTGGGAATCTTCTGTGTAGTATTTCAGTCAGATATAGCTACGGTGAAAGTTGAGCACTCAATTCCGTGTATATTTGTTCAACGTTGTATATACTAATTATCACCCAAACAATATCGATCGGCCGGTTTGATTATTTCACTACGATATTATATATTTGATTCATGTCGCATTTCTCATGATTTGCAAGAAGGACATCCAATACAAAACGGAATTAATGCATGTCTGAAAGAACAATCATATTCTGCCGATATGTATATAGACCTTTGGTTTTCATTGCGATATCAATTTATTAATTTTTTATGCCCCACATAGGGGCATTATGTTTTTCGGTCTGTACGTTCGTTCATCCGTTCGTCCGTCCGTCCTGCTTCAGGTTAAAGTTTTTGGTCAAGGTAGTTTTTGATGAAGTTGAAGTCCAATCAACTTGAAACTTAGTACACATGTTCCCCATGAAATGATCTTTCTAATTTTAATGCCAAATTAGAGTTTTGACCCAGTCAATTTCACGGTCCACTGAACATAGAAAATGATAGTGCGAGTGGGTCATCCGTGTACTATGGACACATTCTTGTTACCTCCTGAATGGATACATTATTTGGAAACATGGTCATATTCTACGTGACTGACATATATATATTCTTTTTTTAAAATGTTTCTCGTAAATATGCTTCCGAATGCAATTGTTTGAACCACGAAGTCCGATAAGTTCGAAATATGTTTAAAACATTCAAAATATAAAAAAAAAACGTGGAATTTTTCGAACTTATCAGATTTAAACATGATAGTTATCCTGTTTGATGCTCTACTGTAAAAATAACATTAAGGATTATCCTCTTTTGCAAAAAGCTGTCAATGAGGACAAGAGATTACATTATCTTTTAGTTGTTCGCTTATAACTGCGACTTTGAAAGGTGTATAATGTATGAATTAATAATGTATGAGATATAAAACCAATTATATGATATTACCTTTTACTCTAATATAAACTCCGATTCAACGTTATAGTGTGAATTCATTCAAATATGACAATAAACTAGTTGTATTCAATTATGTTAAGAGGTTCGCAAATACTAACAACTCGTATAAGAAAATCATAATTTGTACAAAATCACAACATATATTAGATTTAGTCTTCTCATATCTGAATGGCGTCAGCCACGAAGATATCAGACGACTGCATCTAATTAACATAGAAGTGGTAAAAAATTATTTGATTTTATCTTTCATTCTAAAAAAACTTTCAGAAGATGTTTTATAATTATGGATTAGGAATGAAATCTTAATTGCTGCTACTTTTCTGTCATCAAATCGATACCTTATTCCTACTTTTGTATGGCAATATAAATCACTATAATGTCTTGTTTTTTACTGGTATATTTGTCAAAACCTGAATTTTTTGATAAATGATAAAACTTCTATGTAAATAAATATATATATATACAAGAAACTTTGCCATCTCCCTACCGATTCATAATGCCACTGAGGCACAATTTTATGTCAAATCCTAGCAAAATTATTACTGAATCGAAAATTATAGAAAATTCTTTTTAAGTATGCAGTAATTGAAACATGTCAACATGTAAGCACATTTAATTACATTTGAACACAAACAAAATTCATCATTTACACCAGATGAAAACGTTTTAAACCCCAGAATCTTTAAATCTATCAGCTAAAATTTTGTCCATTTACTATTTATAGCTGACTAAAAGAATGAACGTTTATTCATTGTCACCCTGAAAATAACAGTGCTTAAAATATTTAACACTGGACGTGTAGAATTAAGCAATTTGAATAACAATCTTTTTTTTTCGTCAGCCAACTGGTCTTGTGTTCAATTGAGTAAACAGCACGTCCGTACTTTGATGTAGACTTTTAAATCGTCACTTCAAAATTCAAAACTTGATAAGCAACTAATTGAGACAAGACAGACCTACTATACATGACCCGTTCTTTTCCAGATGACCTTGTTTTACAGGGTCAATGACCGATTTGTATAATCTGAATGGTTCATGGTCAAATGCTGGCCTTGGTTCGACAAGTAAAAGTGGGTTTAATGCTGGTTAATAAACCAAGCAGTGACAAAGGACCTGGTCATCTTTGTGCTTAGTGAATTCAATCGACGGTGGCCTTTATATTCCAAGTGTTTGTTATGTTGCTCAACTTTAGTATAATGGGCAATTGCATAACAGACTGCATAAGAACATTTAAAACAAAACAAACAAGGCGCCTTTTTTTGTACCAATTTCCCGGTTTTAACATTAAATGTTATTATATAGTAATTTTAACAGATTGTACAACTTTTGAGTGTGTGTATACATGTATATATATGATTTTTGGATGAAATGCGGATACAACACGTGACTCGGTCCAAATAAAACTATAAAAGAATCTTCACAAACCCAAATGTAGCTAATAACATCAAGGCACCAATTTTACTGCAACAGATGCGCATTTCGACATTAATAAATGTCACTTCGATGATGCTTGAATTCAAGTTGGTTAACTAGGACGATTTCAGTAACGTTACAAAGTAGTGTTAGTTGATCTAAATGTCGTACTAGAAATGTGTAAGCCTCAGCAACATATAAAACAAATCTTGAAAGCTTTTTCATATATTTTTTTTTAATTAACAAACTGCTTGCTTAGAATTTAAAATTGAAATATACCAAATTAAGCCTAAGAGCAACAACACAAATCTATTGACTTGTGTTTGCTTAACGTCCAGTGGCAAATTTTTCATGCATATTAAGGACAAGACAAACATATTATTTGGCCTTCATATACATGTTCATGTACGTATTCATTCTTTAAATTTAAATAAGAGCAGATAAGCTTCGTCATATTTGTATTCTTTTAAAGTAACAACCCTGTTTCATGTTGGTTATTTCTGTTGATTGTTGCTATATCCTCATTTTATGATACAAATTGGGTGTTGATTTCAGTTCTCTTGTCGTATTCCCAACTCTAGATTACTGGCAATGAGTCCCAAATTTGGCATGTGGTTAAAGTTGCTTGCCTGAAAGACGGCTGTAACTGTTGATCTCTTTAACTTCTTTATTTTGCGAACTTGTATTGTTGCTGTAATGCCTTATTGTTTTAATATATTTTTAAAAAAACTGATCCATCAATGTATTAAATCTTGGCTGCTATTAAAAATATCAAAATTTTGTATTTAAGGTAGATGGGATCTTGATTAAACACGATACAAATGCCAAAATGTACTAGTAGTTTATATCATGCTTTCTTAAAAAAATATTAAAAAAAATATGTCACTGAGATTTTTTCAAGCTACAGGTTGTGCAAAAGTGACATATTTTGTAAGGATTATACATGTGAAAGCGCTTTTGTGAGAAAAGAAAGAAACGATAAAACGTTAGAATTCTAAAATATATATGAGAAGATTGCTCTGATAATGTGATTTCAGAAAAAAAAAATTGATCACCGTCCCTCGTTTTCTGCTACATTACAAAACAGTAGATTTACTGTACATTCCTTTTTTAAGATAGTTTTTTGAGGTATCACTCATTACGAAACAAATTTGATGAAAACATTTATTTATATAAAAGTTACCATAAGATGAAATCGTAAGAGCATCAAACTTGCTAATTTCAGTAAAAATCTAGACAGATCATTTGCAGCTATTTACAGTCAAATATATAATTTAGATCATGATAGTAATCCCCCCCTTAACACACAATCGACTTTATTTCGTATATAGAATGAAATGATTTACTCTCTTTCAACTTTTATTTGAGTGCTTTGAACAAAACTTTCTTTTTAGTTGAAGACAGTCTTTTAAAATATAAATAAGTTCTTGCATTGAATTCAATTCTCCATTCATTATGATGACTGTAAACTATATCAAATAACTCCAATAATTGTTCTGTTCATTTATTTCATGTACTATCTGATTAGTTTTCAAGGACTACGTTTGAAATAAAAGGAATAGGTAGACAAATTCCTTACATCAAGTAATTAATACAAGGAAACTTAGAAATTCAGGAATCAAACAGATTGGTAAATAAAAATATAGATATTAAACAGAATTGAAAGTTATCATTCAATTGAATTAACAGTCGTGTATGTTGTACCGAATGTGATTTTTATTTTGTTCAATTCTTCTTGACACAGTCCTTTATCTGTTAGTTCATAAGTTCATGAGACATATGCGTTTATATTAACTGACGTTTCACTTTGTTCAAACTAGATAGTCGATTTCAACATGTTAAATGTGGTATCTTTGCTGGGTTTTCTTGGAGTATGTTCAGCTCATCTCTGTTTACTAGAACCTCATCAGAGGGGTATGTACACTCATTTATACAACAGATAAAAACCTTGATCGATGCTTAATGTTACATCGAACCGCATGAACGTTAAGATTGTTTGTATACGCTATGACGTGCGTATTTGGTTGATACTGCTTATTATGAGGCGTTGATTTAGTCAAAATTATTGTATTTAGGATGGAATATTTAGCGTGATGGAACATCTGAATTCATCAGATGCTTCAAATAAGAATTAACATGTACAAATTTGCACCTACTGCAGACTTTCTCATGCATGCATCATAAATAGGCACTTTGAAATGGAAAATAAAAGGTTATGCTTAACTCCAGTTATCTTTTTTGAAATATAAAAAAAAAATATGTTAAATTTTCCTTTTTGAGAATTGTTTCTAATTTAAGTTAGTAGAAGAAATATTCTGAATCCAGATTCAAACAATGAGAAGTTCGTCAAATTATAAAATCTTATTTCAGGCAGTTTGGCTGATCCTCTCACTGCTGCTAATCCTGACTGTCATCTAAGAACAGCCCCTTGTGGTGGCAGGAATGCAGATGCAAAGCCTTCAGCAAGTTATCAGAAAGGTACCAATGTTGCTGTTACATGGCAGAAAAATTTCAGTCACTATAACTCGAAGCAGCCAGGAATTATGGAAGTGTCATTGATAAGGGACACCGTTCCTTTTGAGGTTGTTACAACTGTCAAGGTGAACGACGACCACTTCAATAAACAACAGAACTACACCAGAAATCTGATGATTCCAGACAATTACCATGGTCATCATGGAATTGTACAAGTTGTTTACAAATCAAATTCCTTAGATGCAACTGGCACTCAGTATACATTTTATTCCTGTGCTGATATTACTGTCACGTAACAATATATATATGACTTTGTTCTAAATCATAAAATCCATAAGGCATCTTATTAAAGTGCAGATCTAGACTTCTTCGTGTTATTGATAACTTCAAAGACAATGTGTTGTAAGTCGTGAAATAATTTGATGTCGAATTTTCCACTCCCGTAATGCACAGCCCCGAATATAAAAGACGTAAGACGGTGAAAAACAGAAAACACATTGATCAAAAAGAACAAAAATAACTCCACTGAAACAGTGAATTGAAGAAAACGAACCTCTAAAAAAATCAACGCTTAACTCGGTTGCTCTGGAATGGAAGTCAGTTCTTGCTCCACAACTGACAACCGTCGTGTTACTCATGACGTGAAAATCAGATGATCAGTAGCGCTGATAAACAGGACGAGAACACTTACTTGGCTATTTTAGGTTGTTGCTCATCTTATAGATGTATAAACCGGGTTTATACATCTATGCTCATCCACACTTGAATTTTTATCACCACCCTAAAAATACGTCAATACCTTTAATTTGAGCTAAACGCTGCCTAGAGCTTGGCCGTAATGAGAGTTGTCGAGGAGCACCAAAAAGGTACGTGGTTGACTTAAAACTATTTCAAGTTGTAACTCTAAGCCCCTAATGTGCCCTTATTGGTCAAAATCTAAGTCCGATATCTAAGTTGGCACATGCCTCGGTCAGTGACTTTTACTTGAGCTACGCGTTGTGGTCCAGAACTTTGACGAATATTCAGATGATATCATTTCACGTATGGAATATTAAATATTTAAAATGGATGGATATATTTGAGGTTGCCGAATGTTTGGGGGAAAAGCTAATCAAAAGATATCACGCTTATAATTTGTTACTCCAAACACGTATTTAGTCTGTACGTAAGACCTATCGGTTGCGCTCGAATAAAAAGATGGAAGCTAGACCAAATCAACAACGAAGTTGAAGAGCACTGCAAACAAAACATCCCAAAAAATTGTGCTAAGCCTATCTTTTATTCTTTCATTATTTCTGTACCTCAATGTACAGATTTTTCAAGTTATATTTACTTAATAGTGGCTCTCAAAAAAAGTGGCTGTTGGCATCACTGAAATACCGGTATATATATCACTGGATGTCAGAGTGGGTCACGACACGATGTGTAAATGTTGAATTCAGTTGTCATAGGTGTTATAATTGCTAACAAGGATTTCGAAATTTTTGGAACGTTTAAGTCTCATGCTTTTTACCTCACCTGCTCAGTGAGGTTTTCTCATCACTTGGCGTCCGTCGTCGTCGTCAGTGCTCGTTAACTTTTACAAAAATGTTCTTCTCTGAAACTAGATCCAAATTGAACCAAACTTGGCTACAATCATCATTAGGGTATCTATTTTTTAAAATGTGTCCGATGCCATCCAAGATGGCCGATATGGCTAAAAATAGAACATAGGGATGAAATGCAAGTTTTGTCTATTATCTTGAAAATCACTATAAATAAAGAAAATCTGACAAGGGCAGAAATGTTTGGAATGATGAGATTACCTATTGTCCATTTTCTTCCAAACTGTCAAACGACTTTTTATAGGAGTTATTGCCCTGAAATGACGAATTTTACCAACTTTTTAAATTTTTGCCTTTTGTCTTGAACATTATAATAGATAGAAACTTTATATAACAAAAACGTTGAACAAGATAAGTCCTACAAATAAGTCAACACGGTTGAAATCATCTGATGACCACTTATTGGAGTTATTGCCCTTTAATGCCGATTTTTTACTCAGTAATTTTTAGTTTTTTTGCCTAATATCTGAAAAAGTATAATAGATAGATAGAAACTTAAATAGGCAAAAATGATCAGCAAGAAAAGATCTACAAATAAGTCGAATCATTGAAATAGCCTGACGACCTCTTATTGGAGTTATTTCCCATTAATGATGGTTCTGATCATTTTTTTGCGTTTTTGCTTTTATATCTGAAAAACTATAACAGATAGATATAAACTTAAATAAGGAAAAATGATCAGCAAGACAAGATCTACAAATAAGTCAACATGATTTAAATCGTCTGATGACCCCTTATTGGAGTTTTTCTCTTTAATGATAATTTTATATTTTTTTTGTGTTGTTGCCTACTATCTACAAAACTATATTAGATAGAAACTTAAATAATTAATACTAGATCAACACAGAAGAGATTTTTGTCATGAATTCTATTCTAGTCCACAAAGATGGAGAGTATCCATTGTTGAAGATGCACATACACCTAAACAAGAGTGCACACGCTGAAATTCAATGAGCCTCGCCTGCTTCACGTATCCCGTTTGAATTTATGTTGAAAATGTAATATGAAGGTTTTAAAACAAGTATCACATACACTTAACATTATCAATGATCCATGAAAATGTGGTCAAGGTCAGACCACCTTACAATCATTCCATACACCAAATATAGTGACCCTATTGCTTATAGTACCCGAGAAATAGACATTGTAAACCACAAAAACTGAACATTAACCAATCAACCATGAAAATGAGGTCAAGATCATATAAATCTACCCAAACAGTCATGTACACCTTACGTTGATTGATTGATTGGTGTTTAACGCCACTTTCAGCACTGTTGTGCTATTTCATGGAGGTAAGATTGTATTGGTAGAGGAGGCCAGAGTGCCGGGAGAGAACCACCGACCTTCGGTAGGAAATCTAACAATCCTGATTAATTGATTGGTGTCGAGCACAACTGCCACGTGCGGGATTCAAACTCACAACCTCAGTGTTGACAGGCAAGTGATACATTAGTTCGACTACTTAGACCACTCAGCCACCCTATGAACACCTTACAATCATTCCATACACCAAACATAGTTAACCTATTGCTTATAGTATCTGATAAACTGGCAAAATCACAAACCTTTACATTGACCAATGAACCATGAGAATGAGGTCAAGGTCTATATGAACCCTGCCAAACTGACATTTACACCTTACAATCAATCCATACACCAAATATAATTGACCTAGTGTTTATATTGTATCTTATAAACTGACATAACCACAAAAACTTAACATTGACCAATGAACCATGAAAATTAGGTCATGGTTAGATGAACCCTGCGAGACCAATTTGTACACCTTACAATCATTTAGAGGTTGACCAGTTGAAAACGACAACTACTGAATTACAGGCTCCTGACTTGGGACAGGCACATACCTATGGTCATTTTTATTACAGTCACCTCGACATCTTTCCATACAAAGGGTTATCAGCTTTTTGAAAAATAACCAAATATTATCATCCATCTTATATACCGGGTAAATTAGACTGTAGTCAGGTCATATAAAATGTTCTTTCATCCTGTTGTAACCATTGGTGTATAAACGGAAGAAATTTGATAAAAATTGGGGTCGAAACTCTAATTTGGCATTAAAATTAGAATGTTCATATCATAGGGAACATGTGTACTAAGTTTCAAGTTTATTGGACTTCCAACTTCATCAAAAACTACCTTGACCAAAAACTTTAACCTGAAGCGGGACAGACGGACGCACAAAGCGAAAAACATAATGCCCCTCTACTATCATAGTTGGAGCATAAAAATTGTGCACTTACAATAAGCAGTTTTTGAGTAATGAAATTTTCAATTTTTTTATGCAATAAGGTCAGTGTCATTAGCCAAAATTTTGAGAAAATGGGTGAAATGTACAAAGAAATGATTTTATAAAAAATATGTATCTCCCATATCAATTTTTTCTTTTCAAAATTCTAAGATATGTATTTTTTCAATCATTCATAACAAAGAAATTGATATAATATGCTTTTTCTTCTAAAAAAATCCCAAATTTATAAAATTTACAGCATGGTCAATTTGACACGAAAAAGCAAGAAATTTTATAAAACTTTCTTATATTAACACCTACCTATAGTTTTTTTAAGTTAAATTTATTCAGATTGGTCCACTTCATCTTTAGTGAAAGTATGAAATATAGTTTAATTGTGAAACTGATATTTTTCATGATAAAAGCCCAAAAATGGGTAAAAATTGATGTAAATGGGAAAATCATAAAAACGGGGTACTTTCAAGTGGCCGAAGCAAAAAAAGAAGTGCACCACCATATGATTTTTTCTTCATCAATTACTTTCTTACAGTCATATAAACCCAAAAATCAGGTTAAGAAAAAAAGTTTAATTCTAGAATTGTTTGGCTCCTCAGAGGTGTACATCCGTAAAATTAGAAACAAACTTCAATTAATAACACAGCATTTTGCGTTGTAGTGGTCGACAAAACAAACAAAAATGTGGTAGTGGTATGACATAAATACTACATGGAAATTCTTAAGAATGAAACTCCAGTACATTCAAGTTGGTGTACTCCACAGAGAGTAAAATAAGAGACAATCGTATAATTACTACATCTCAGATTAATGTAAAAATCAGGAGATAAAGGTATTAATATGTATTGGCAACCTACACTTAACAAAAAAACCTCTCAAATATCATATTATCTTGGCTTCCAGTATGTGTTGTAAAACTAATCCTTCTATCCTTTAAATAGTTTCCTTACAACAATTAAAGAACTTATTATCAACTCATGTAATAAAGCATATGAACATTATGGTATTTATTATTTTTGGAGTGTTAAGATCTCTTTGGATGTATTAGATTTTAAATAAAGTGCCTTACTTGGTCAATTCAACTTGATTGACAGTTATGACTTTTTGACTCTCTACACTACACTTTCACACAATCTTATCAAACAGAAGCTCTTATCTAATAAAATGGTCCTTTGAAAAATCTGATTGCAAATTTACTTACTGCAAATCATATAAAGCTTTCCTATGCTATGAAAAAGGAATATGCCAGATAAACTTACTGGAACTGTGATGAGAAAAATTAAAACTCTAAATTTTCTCCTTGAAGTCTGTGTTAATTTTTGCGAATCCTATCCCGTCTCAATTTTAGCCATAATAAAAATATTGCTAAAATTTACAATATCAATAAAAAATCATTTCATATCTGAAATAAGAGGCTCTCAAGAGCCTGAATCGCTTACCTGTAATTTTTTGTTTAAATCTTTCATCAATGATTATTTTTGCTTTTCAATATATATTAATGAATGGCTTAAAACTTCCATTGAAATGTTCTTTGTATCTGTCATATTTTTTTCAAAATCAAAGAAATGCATTTTACCCCTATGTTTCATTTTAGCCATAGTGGCTATGTTTCTTGACGTACAAGAAAATAAAATACAAAATTTATACTAGATACTCTGAAACTCATTCAGCCCAAGTTTGGCTGAAATTGATTCAGCAGTTTTAAAGGAGAAGATTTTTTAAAGTAAGCAAACTAAATGAACAAATTGTGAAAAATTGATTTTTAAGGGCAAAAACTCCTTAAGGGGACCATGGACAATTTTGGTTATACAAACTTATTTGTAGATCTTACTTTGCTGAACATTTTTGCTGTTTACAGTTTATCTTTATCATTAATAATATTCAAGATAATAACCAAAATCTGCAAAATTTCCTGACAATTACCAATTAAGTGGCAGCAATCCAGCAATGGGTTGTTAGATTCATCTGAAAATTTCAGGGCTGACAGAGCTTGGCCTAATAAATATTTTTACCTCTCATCAGATTAGCTCTAAATGCTTTGGTTTTTGAAATATAAGCCAAAAATTGCATTTTACCCCTACGTTCTATTTTTAGCCATGGCGGCCATGTTTTTTTACGAAACAGAAAATAGAACACAGAGTTTATTCTAGATACCCTTAGATTCATACAGCTTAAGTATGGTTTGAATTGGTTCAGTAGTTTCAGATTTTTTTTTAAAGTTAGAAAACATGATAAACAAATTGTGTAAAATTGTCCTTAAAGGGCAATAACTCCTTAAGGGGTCAATTGACAATTTTGATCATCCACATTATTTGTAGATCTTACCTTGCTGAACATTTTTGCTGCTCACAGTTTATCTTTATCATTAATAATATTCAAGATAATAACCAAAAACTGCAAAATTTCCTTAAAATTACCAATTTAGTGGCAGCAACCCAACAATGGGTTATCAGATTCACTGAAAATTTCAGGGCTGATAGAACTTCACCTAATGAACACTTTAACTCCCATGTCAGATTTGCTCTTTATGCTTTGGTTTTTGAGATATAAGCCAAAAACTGCATTTCACCCCTATGTTCTATGTTTAGCCATGGCGACCATGTTATTTGACGAAACAGTAAATAAAACACAAACTTTATACTAGATATCCTAAGCATCATTCAGCTTAAGTTTGGTTGGAATTGGTTCAGTAGTTTCAGAGGAGAAGATGTTTGAAATAGTTTACACCAGAAGAACGACGACCGACAACAGACGACAACGCGGACGTTGAGCTAAAAAGTCAGGTAAGGACAGTTATGTACATTTTTCAAGTGACATATTAGTAATTTTGTCACATCTCGAAATCGTTTTGTTGTCCATGGAAGGAATTCTACTCAAACTGTTTCTAAGGGCTGTGTGATTGGAGCTTTTGCTCCTCATTGTCTGGCTTCACTATGACTTTTGGATGAAAAACATCAATAAAACCACTTCCTTTTTTAGCTACACTGACCAACTTTTACAAAAATCATCTCCTCTGAAAGAACTGGGCCAATTGGAACCAAACTCAGCCACAACCATCATAGGGGAATTTTGTTTTAAAAATATGTCTGATGACCCTGCCTGTAAACCAACTTGGCCGACATTGCAAAAAATAGAACATATGGGTATAATGCAATTTGTGTATATCATCTTGAAAACTGCAATAGAAAGACAAAATCTGAAAGGGGAAAAATGTTGAGATCTATCTACTGTTCATTCAAATCAAAACTCTTAGATGATCTCTTATAGGAGTTATTGCCCTTAAATGATAAATTTTACCAGTTATATTCATGTTTACCTATTATGTTGTACATATTATAGAAAGAGGGAAACTTTACATAGCAAAAACGGTCAGCAAGACAAGATCTAAAAATTAGCCAAAATTGTCAGTTGACTCTTTAGAGGATTCAATATTGCTCTTGAATGACTTTTACCAATGTTTTTCATTTTTGTTGGATAATACAAAAATGCAAAACGCAAAAACAGTCAACATAGCTGAAATTGTCTAACGACTTCTATAGGAGTTATCCTGCACATGCTTGAACTAAAATAGGAATAATGCTTTTATTACTGTTTTTCATCCCAAAGTCACAGTAAGGCTTATTGTCTGAGGTGATGTTACCTCACAGTGAACATGAAAAGCTTTAGTCAGTGAATATAAAAAATGTCTCTGATGCATATATGTCACTTTAAAAGAAGTAATTTAAAATTCAGGCCAAATGGTACACTAAACATTGTATTTATGTGATGTACCCACATTCTAAATATTAAAAGTCTATTTCAAAAGACCATGTTGACTGGACACAACATACTGTATAAGAAGAGTAAAACAAAAAGAATAGATGTAAATAATATGTCCCTTTTGATTCAAGTGACTGTAACCCTTGGCGAGATAAATATTCAATCATTTGGTAAATAAATAAATGCAACAGTAGTATACCACTGTTCAAAAGTCATAAATCTATTAAGAGAAAACAAATCCGGGTTACAAACTAAAACTGAGGGAAACAGATCAACTATAAGAGGAAAACAACAGAACAACAGGAACACTGACCTGCAACAAAATCAAACACCAACATACATAGAAACAGACTATTTGATAACAACTGTCATATTCCTGACTTGGTAAAGGACATTTTAAGAAAAAATGGTGAGTTGAATCTGGTTTTATTGCTAGCCAAACCTCCCTCTTATATGGTAGGGAATTGCATTGCGAACTTAGAATTAAACATTGCATAAGAAGCAGAGAAACATATTTAAGCAATCTCTTAAATAAATTGAGTTTATAGATAATTGGAGGTATAACAACAAATTCATAATCTATAGATTCAGAACTACTTCCTGCAACTTCAGTAGTCTTTTCTTAGTTGTTTACTGATAATACACAGCACATCATCAATTTAAATTCAATATCTGATCATATATTATTAATAAATTTCTTGATAATTGGTAAAAAAAGGATCATAGAATAATCCCTCACTACATTTCATTGTGTGTATTCACTAATTCAGGTTGAGAAGATGGCTGTTAAAGCTAACAAGCTAGTAGCTAAAAGGATTGGATTAAGGATTGGATTGTATTTGTGCAATCTCATCTAAAACTATTGTGACTAACTTACTGGCAACAAAAGGAAAATAAACAAACATTTATAAAAGGTCTGGTATAAATTTTTTGAATATAAACAAAAGTACTACAATTCAAATAGAAATTTTTTAGCATAAGTTAAATAAATATGTGCAAGCACATTTCTTCATCATTTAAAACAAATAAGATCTTGAACATACATATAAAATATCACATAAAATGGATTCTTACAAGAAGATAATCATAACAAATAAAGAATGTAATGCAATCTTTTAAATATTCATACAACTACGGGTAAAGTCTTTTTCCTCAAATCTTTGAAAATCCATGTGTTATTCATTTTTATCAATTAACATATCCTCCTATATTTAGGATGATTTACTGACAAAATGACAGAATAAATAACGTCGATCATTTCAATGTTCAGGACCAGATCCTGACTGTACAATCGCTACCACCGGATATTAAATATTCTCCATTCTGGTCAAAGGCCAGACATTGTACTGCATCTTCATGTCCTACTAGTGATGAAACCTGGAAAAAAAGAGAAAAAAAGTTACCTCAAACGTCTCGTCTCATCTTTCTATGGCAACAGATTTTTTTTATCATGATAAAATCTTTGGAGCCTAGTATATAGAAATTTGAATTTGTTGTCAAAACAGATAGTTGGTTTAATGTGATAATTTATTTTACTGCCTTATTCTAGAGTTCCACTCCCTGCTGCTGTACTTACTGAAGACACTTGACCTTTAAATTAAAGATGTACACTCCTTTCAAAAGCCCCTTTGGAATAGAAATGAACCACATATGTAACTATGTGCAGGATTTCATTGGTTCAATCCCAGCCCTAGTCAAATCAAGATTCAAAAAATAAAAATTTGCTTTTTTCACTGCATAGCATGGAACATTAAGGAGTAAAGGTAATCGACTGACTAGCTTGGAATCAGAATAATGTGTCCAAACTAGCAATATGTTTTCCTCTGGACTTTCTGTGGATGTTAATCACCAATCAAGAAATCAGGTATGATTTGGGCATACGTGCTTCCCATTACCAGCATTACCAGCTGGTCTAGTAAAATTCAATTCTTATGGAAAACAAAAATGCAGCATAAACAAAGATGTAACTTCATTTCAGCAATCTTTGGCAAAATCCAACCCAGAAAACTTAACAGTTAGACAAATGTTCCCTGTACCAAGGTTAAATTGTAATTGCATCAAAACTTGGTAAAATATTACTGAGTTTTGTTAGGAATATGTTCTTTCATCACTAAACTACATATGAAAAATAAGTGCATAATCTGCTAAAAAAAATTATCAAAATACTAAAAAATTATCAATTTCAAATTGCCTATTTCAATGGGCAGTAATAAGTGAAAAGTAGGTCTTAAAATATATGTCTTAAAGCAAATGGCAAAAACTGGTACATCACCAAAACTAAAACTATTACAATTGGTAAACTATATACCTTTCCAGTGGCCACCTCATACATTTTAACAGTACTGTCATTGCTGGCTACTGCTACCACTGTACCTATTATATTAAAAGATTGCAATAATTAATAAATGAATAAAAATAGTATAAGACTGATAACTATATAATCTTTATGGAAATAAATATTGAGTAAATATTGTAATATTGGTTAAAACAAATTTGACTTGTAACGAATATGTGCTCAACATTGTCTTCAAATTTTCATTTGAATAATTCAAGTTTAATAACTCTGCATATGTCTTCATATATACAGAATCAAACAAGTAAAATTTCCTTTATAAAATTTAATCAATCAACTTTGAATATAAACAAGAAATACATGAAAAGACTGAAACATAGATCAAATATTTTTGATGGGTGTATAAAAACAAAGATCATAAGTAAACATCATAATATTTTTGGGATTATAAAAATATAGATTATAAGTATAGTAGGGATAAACATATAATTAATGTTTTGAAAGACCAGCATTTGCTATGTAATTCAGCCCACTGCTATAAACTAATAAATCTAGAAATTTTACCTATTAAATTAATTTTATTATGGTTGTGACCTGTTATTAATTTCCAACATGAACAGATATTTCTTCTATAACACTTCAAACCTTAGTAAATGTTTTTTTGTGTACATACATCCATTATTTTGAAGTACAGTTTACGTTTTGATTAAAGTAACATATGTTGATTGTGATCATATCTCCAATAATTACCTCCATCTCCTATTTATTTCAAATCTAGTCATATTTGATTCAGAATGTTTTCGATGTTCACAATGATGGGGTAAAACATCTTGACTGTTTTATGAAAGAATATCGAACACAAACCTGTAGGATCAAATGTTAATCTGTTACTTGGATGTGGTCCAACATCCAGGCTAATCATAGGAGCATTTGCTCTGACATCCCATAATTTTACAACACCATAAGAATCACAAGACCCAACAGTATCTCCCTGCAAGCAATAACAAAAATTATTACATAAGTTATTCTTTAAATTATAAATCTAAATTATTTTATCAGCATGAAAAGATTGATCAATTATGGATAATCAAAATTGGAGAAAAACTGAGAGGTTATAAATCAACCATATTAATATTTTGTTTTTGACAAATAAAACAATAGTGAAACTACCTATCAATAATTTAAAAGAATCTTTTTTTTCCATCAATTATATGCAGATTCAATGAATTTCTTCAAATTGTCAAAAAAACACTTCAAAATTAAAGCTAACCAATTGCTGAAAAGGAAGCCTGAATAGGTTGGATTTTGGATTGATATGTCTCTATTTTGTGACTTCTAAAGCAAATAAACATGGAGATAGTTGTTTATTAGAAACTACTTACCCTCAAATTAAATGTTGCAAAGTTCACAGAATGCATATGTCCATAGAATGTCTGGGCACATAATCCCTGTAAAAAATAAAAATAGACAAAGTGATAAAATTTAAAAACACTTTAAAAAATGTTCAGTACTGCAATATAACTGAACTAGTGACAATATTAAGCACTGATTTAAGTCTTGAAGTACAACAAAGGATCATTATTTCTTCTTTAATTATTTTTTTTTTAAGTTCAAACCAATCGATTTTTTGTTCTTGTGAATTTACATTGAAAAATGTACAAGGAAATGTCTTTTTTATTCTAATAATTGAATTGTATCTCTATCATAAGGGGGAGAGGCATATTTTTCATGTTACTCTGCCTTGTGCATTTTGGTAAAACTCATTTAATTTAAAATCAAAAGAAATTTAGGGGAAAAAACAGGTGTTCAAATAAAAATTGTTTTTTTGGCCTCTGGATATATTTTTGAAAACAGAAAGCACAACATGAAATCTTTTAGAAAATTGCAATCAAGAATTTTTCTGAATGATTTGATGAAAAACACAGCATTCAAATTTGACTTTAAATTTTGAAAAAACTGCTATTATAAGAATCAATCCAATATAGCCCCTTTCCCCTGTTTTATCTTGGTAACTGCAAGAGCTGGATAAATCCTAAAGACTACTGGGCACTGATCAGACCTGGGGACATTAGCACAAAAGGAACCTATAGATTAAGACAGATCAGAAAAACAAAGGAAGTAAACAGCATCTTCTTTTTCCTTTGATCTGTAAGAGACTGGAACCATATGCCAGATTATAGCAGCTCTACCAACACTTGATGAGTTTAGGGCAAGATTTGCCAGTGAGCCCTGGAACCAGCTGCTGCCTAACTAGACATCAACTAGCCAATATGTGCAGTGTGAATAGTTTTAATTATTTGGTTTGTTCAATTTATTTATGTCAATGGAGAAGATAAAATCACAAAAATATGAAGTCAACTCTTACCAGAAAAAGAAATCAGTACAAAAAAGTAAATAGAAGATTTTATGATGGATCTGAAGAATTTTTTTCCCATTTTGTATACAAATTTTCTGCTTAAAATATAGCCTATAATAATAACTCACAGTTCTAGCATCCCATAAGGATATAGTTTTATCAGCTGAGCAGGTTAATAATGTGTTGGAGTACGGCAGGAATTCTATACTGTTAACTGAGTCTGTGTGTCCTCTGAGTGTGTAACGACAACGTAAACTGTTCAGATCCCAGACTTTGGCCGTCATATCCATTGAACAGGAAGCTAGGAAGTCACCACATGTATGCCATGTAGAGCCCCACACTAACAAGAAAATAAAGATAATATATTTCATAATTTGTTTTAGTATGATCAGTATGATATTTAAACTGAAGAGTACTACAAACTACTACTGTGAAAGTACTTTTATTCCTGGGGTACCAATTTTAGTGGTTTTCGTGGATGGCTTCATCCACAAATTTAAGTGTCCAATGAAATATAACAACTGTTTTCCAAATCAAGATAAGGAACGATCCATGTACACGATGTAGGTTTGACTACATGGATATGGCGTATAATCTAGCGAATACATCGAATATCGGTAAATATACATATAGATTCTTACATTGATACCAGTGGATTATCGGATTTATCCAATCGAGATAGTTAAATTATCAATTTTAAAGTCCGAGCCTCGGCGAGGACTTTAAAAATTCATAATTTAACTATCGAGATTGGATAAATCCGATAATCCACGAGTAACTATGTAAGAATCTGTTTCTCTAATGATTAATAAATAAATTTTCATTTTTTGTTAAACAAAAGTCCCCTTCGAGTGCCTTCCACATTCCCCGAAGTTGTCAATTTCATTAACACCTGTTGGCATATTTTGATACATCCAGTGTGCTGATAAAGGTTATGACCCTTAAATTCATTCAATCATCTTCTGAGATCAACGGCAACCACACAATGATTAAATTTTTTTATACAATGGGTTCGGAAAGGGATAAATTTCCTTAGAATTAGAGAAATGTATGTACATCTTCAGACAGGGTTTTACCCATTTAATCTTTAAAGAACCTAAACTGTACGTCTTATATATGACCTTTTAATTGTCATGAAAAATTTATTTTGATCGATGAACGTCAGAGTTCCAGTGATGATATGCGATGATGAAGTGTTCATGTTATCTCCTCATGATTCACATACATAAAAAATAATTTCATATTGGGATTGCTTTCTTATTTCATAAGAATAAATTCTACAATTTAAAGAACATTTGCAGCATATTTTTTTTTATGTAACTGTGTTCTTTAAGTGACATGTTTATTGCCCAATTAACTCCTTTTATGATCGTTAATCTGTTGATTATCTGATCTCGGTTAATAAGTGTCTGATTTCATATGTTTACTTAACAATTTCCGACAACAATTCCGAGACAATTTGTTAGCATATATAAATCAGCTTATTTCCAAAACAATTGTTTTATTAAAAGTTTGATGATTGTTGTCAGTAATGAAAGACGATCAAGTAAGTGAAAATGGACACCTAATTTGTAATGTCCCGGAAATCATTATAAAACATCAAATGATTTATTTTCAAGAATCTTCGTTTCTGATGGCTTCAAATTCTTCACTCAATTTTTTTTTTGTCAGAAAACTAAAATCCACGAATTTAAGAACCCACGAACATGTAACTTTTGCTCAAACCACGAAAATTGATACCAACGAATAAAAGTACTTTCACAGTATGATGCACATGGACTACTTTGGTCAACTTCATCAATTTTAACAGAATGAACACAAGGTCATGTTTTTTCTAACCTTCATATCATGTCAAACTTTTTTTAAGTATAGAAGTTTTAGCTTGTCTCTTTTTTATGAATTTGTAGATAAGATTAATAATACTTTTCTCCAATTTTAAAATCTAAGATGGCATCAATTTATTAGTCAGTAAATTAACTTTAATTATAGGAATAGTTAGGAAATGTAAGGACATTAAAATACAGGCATGTAAACTGTCTCCCTTCATCAAAGTTAATTATTTTATACAAGAACATTGCATCATGTATGTCTAAAAGCAGTTTATGTCTACCTATTCCAAATTGACAGAAAATAAAAACAGGAAGATGGTATCTGACAGATACTAAAAGTGCTCACAAAATTAGTCTTAAAAAAAATCCTCAAAAGGGGAATGATTTCCTGTTTTGTTTATAATCACAAATAATAACATGAACATTTTCAAGTAAAATTTGAAATTCTTTGGCAGTCTGAAACACTTTTTTTTTTAAATTCAGAAACATTTCTGAATTTTGAAAGAGTGTTTCACAATGCCAAAAAATTTCAAATTCATCAAATTTTCTTAAATTAGTCTTTCAAAAGTAAGAAATAGATGGAATTGTTGTGTTTTGCATATTTACATGAGATCTACTGTCTACAAAGTGCATGCTTGAAGCACATGATAGCCTTTAACATTGACCACTGTACAAACAACAAATGGAAGTTTTTAACGACCTTGACTGGCTATACAGCCCTTGCACGGTCGGCTACCACTGTACTACTAACACTCCATTCTTTTTTATATTAATTTTACAATATAATCCTATACCTGCATGAGTGTGATCTGTAAATGTATGTACACATTCTGCTTTAGAGAAATCCCATACTTTGACCGTTGTATCACCACTTGATGTAGCCAGCTTAGAACCACTGGAATGTATAAGAAAGATAATAAATTATTGTATCATATCTTAATAATAATATGTCAAACTTTATTTCTTTGAAAAGCTGACAAGTATATTTAATTTTCTTTCATTTACTTTATTTGAGGAAGTTTTCTTTACTTTCTTTTTTTGTTTGGATGTTAAACTGCATATCAAGTGTTTTTCAAGCAAAATAGCATGACAGCATGCAATGTCTCTGTTTCTTATTACCGGTTACCATTAACAACAAAAAGTATGCCCTTCTTATTATGTTTGTCAAAACTTGCCAAATTGTATTTTATCTCATGCAATGTAATATTCAGTCCACAATAATATTGTTAACAAGAGTGCACACGCTGAAATGTCTCGCCTTCTTTACTAACCATTGATTTTATGTTGATAGTCCTAAATATAAAGCTTTACTACAAGTAACACATAAACTTAACATGATCCAAGAAAATGAGGTCAAGGTCAGATTAACCAAACGAGATATACATGTACACCTTACAATCATTCAATAAACCAAACATAGTTGACCTATTGCTTATAGTTTCTAAGAAACAGTCTTAACCAAGAAAACTTAACATTGACCAATGAACCATGAAAATGAGGTTTAGGTCAGATGAACCTTGCCAGACAGACATGTACACCTTACAATCAATTTATGCATTAAATATAGTTGACCTATTGCTTATAGTATCTAAGAAACAAACTTAACCATGAAAACTTAACTTTGACCACTGAACCATGAAAATGAGGTCAAGGTCAGATGACACCTACCAGTTGGACATGTACACCTTACAATCATTCCATATACCAATATAGTAGACCTACTGCTTATAGTATCTGATATATGGACTTGACCACGAAAACTTAACCTTGTTCACCGATCCATGAAATGAGGTCGAGGTCAAATGAAAATTGTCTGACGGGCATGAGGACCTTGCCAGGTACGCACATACTAAATATAGTTATCCTATTACTCATAATAAGAAAGAAATTAACATTACAAAAAAAGTTGGCTTTTTTTTCAAGTAGTCACTGAACCATGAAAATGAGGTCAAGGACAATGGACATATGACAGACAGAAACTTCGTAACATAAGGCATCTTCATGTATATACAAAGTATGAAGCATCCAGGTCTCCTAGCTTCTAAAATATAAAGCTTTTAAGAAGTTAGCTAACGCCGCCGCCGCAGGATCACTATCCTTATGTCGAGCTTTCTGCGACAAAAGTTGCAGGCTCGACAAAAATCTATATTTGTTCAAGGAATTCTCATGAAACAGGGTGATTGCTGTTGATTGGGAGTCACAAAATTTCAAGAGATTTGAATAAGGAAATTAACAAATAATTGATCATCAGAGATGTTCTTTCAAATGAACGAAAACAATCACCATTTGGAATAATAGAAATAATTGGCTTTCAAATAGCCTATTTTTTTCATTTTTTTTGTGACCTTCAAGAGGAAAGGTATTTCCTTATGAGTAATTTATCAGTTTACAAAGTTATGACTTACCAAATTAAAAAAGATAAGTTAAAATCCAAAATATTTAACCATGATACTTGTAATTGACCATGTTTAAAAGTGCACAAATTAAAATTTTCAATTGACATGAGAAAATTTGTATTTTTTATATTTCCAAGTAGCATTCAGTGCTTCTTGTAAGCTGATAAAAAATTTTTGTTAACAAGCTTTAGAGTCTAGCTAGCTGATTTGAGTCTAAATTACAGCATACCATGTTCTCTCTGTTTCCTGTCATAGTGGTTTTCATCCTGCTCAAATGTGATAAAATTTATCAGTAGCTTGAAAGAAATAGTTCCTTTCCTTTCCTTTTCCACCATTAAAATATATATCAATTGTTTTGTATAAAAGTCAACTAGCAACTTGACAAATAATTTACTTACGAAGGATGGAAATCACATCCAGAAACCCAATCAGTATGTCCCTCTCCAGTCATTATTATTTCTCCACTAGGTACTGACCACATCTTCCAGTGGTGGTCATCACTTGTGGTGGCCAAAATTGGTTTACGTGGATGTAGTCTTACACTAAAAAAATGTTTGAATTCTAAGAAATATAAGGCAAATAATTGTATTAAAATTTCAAACTTAAAATCAAAACATGGGTGAATAAAAAATTAAAGGAAATACATTAATGCAAGTACATCATTTTATTTCATGCAACTATTTTTGTCATTACCTACTGTTATTTAATCACAACATAAGCCAGGTGTAAAATAATCAATGAGATTTTTAAAAAAAAATCAACAATCCAACTGGAAATTAACTTTAGATAACTGTAAAATGTTTTAATAACATACAGAATTCAGGCAAATGGAAGATAATGTCAAAGGTTTTTAATAACATACAGAATTCAAGCAAATGGGAGATAAATTTCAAATGTTTTTAATAACATACATAATTAGTGCACATGGGAGATATCTTTCAATTGATTAAAATAACATGCAGAATTTAGGCAAATAGGAGATAACTGTCAAATGTTTAAAATAAAATACAGAATTCAGGCAAATGGCGATAAATGTCAATTGTTTTAATAACATACAGTATTCAGGCAAATGGGAGATAAATGTCAAATATTTAAAATAACATACAGAATTCAGGCAAATGGGAGATAACTGTCAAATATTATTAATAACATAGAAAAAAAGGCAATGGGAGATAAATGTGAAAGGTTTTATAAAGGCAAATGGGAGACAACTGTCAAATGTTTTTATTAGCATACAGAATACATTTGATTTTTGGTGTTTTAACGCCACTTTTAAGCACCGCTTTTGGGCTATTTCGTGGCAGCCAGTTTTTATTGGTGGAGGAAGCCGGAGTGCCCGGAGAAAACCATGGACCTTCGATAGGAAAACTGACAATCCTTGTCAATTAAGATTGGAGTTGAGTGCACCCGCACGAGCGGGGTTCGAACTCACAACCTCAGTGTTGAATGGCTAGTGATTACAGTAGTAACTACTTAGACCACTCGGCCACCGAGGCCCCTCATACAGAATACAGGCAAATGGGAGATAACTTTCAAATTTTTTTTATTTTTTAATAACATACAGATTTCAGACAAATGGAAAATAATAGTCAAATATTTTAATAACATATACAGATTTCAGGCAAATGGGAGAGAACTGTCAAATGTTTTTAGGTGGCAGGTACCAGTTTTGGTGTACCAGAACATTTGTCCCTCCCACAAATTTTTATTTAGTTAAATAATGAAATTAATAATTGCATCTTGTGGACTGAAAAAACAAATGAATGTAAATTCTAGGCTATTGTACTACATTAGTAAGTAGTTGCATACAAAGGTTGGGGATTTCCTTCACATACTGAACCTATCAGAAGTAAAAATTGGGGTCCCTTTCTTAATTTCATCCAATCAAAGTGGGGGAAAAAATCAGTTTTATGTAAACAAAAATATCTTCAGATTTTGATGGGATAGATGCCGACAAGGCTATAATTCATTGAATATCAATTATCTCTTGAAATTTGCCTAAAACTGTTTCCCAACATTAGCAAGATTCTGCAGGTGAGGATCTGAGTTGTATCAGGGCATCACATTTTTGCCTTATTTGCAATGCATTTATTTAAATTTTTAAATCTCTATGCTGGACAGACACACTAATTTACAGGTTTTTTATACATTCACATAGGCACACACATATCTTAGTCACCCAAAACCTTAAATTTTATTAGCATATTTGCTTGAATGATTTTTCAGGTAAATTAAATCATAAATCAATGAAATTTTAAGATTTATTGTAAAATTACTGGTTTCTGCCACATACATAATATAGGCATATGGGAGATGAATTCAAAAGGTTTTAGATAATATACAGGCTGCAGGCAAATGGGAGATACCCTTAATCAAAGCAAGAAAAACATACCAGCTAACTGGATGGGAATGAGCTTGAAATGTATTTGAAAGCCTAAATCCTCCGGTCCTTGATAGATGACTGCTGGTACGTTTAACATTTGCCAGCTGTGGATTAATTCCTGTATCCACTGGAAATTCGGTATCCTGAATATCAAAATCATAAATCATAAAAAGATACTCCAATTAATCATAGAAAAATTGGGAAAGCAAAATATAATTTTCCTTTTAAAATGTTAAACCCTTCAACCAATAAACTGTCCTTTAAAAGAAAAAAAGGCAATAAATGAGGAAAACATGTTCTTCACTATTCCTTCACATCTGTTGCCAAAACCAGATGAAACTGCATCTGCAGAGATATATAGTTGTTTTTGCTATACATTATAGTTTAGAATGTTTCATTTTCTAGTATTCAAATGTTAGCTTGATAAAGATTTTATTTCTTTTAAGAAACAAGTAATTTGGTATATTTCTGATCTTTTCAAGAAAGTACTGAAAACAATGAATAATTTAGAAAGGATTGATTTAATGTTATTTTATAGATATTACTTACATTTGGATATCTTTTAAAATCCGCTGGCTCATTTTCTACATCACACATTTCTCTTTCCATGGCTAAAGTTCTTTGTGTTGGCCCTCTGCCTTCACTGTCTATCTGGTACACACCCCTTCTAGTACTAGTAGTAGGACCTAAAATAGAAATTATGTTTCAATACACCTTTGGGTTGCATGTAACAAAAGTTGCAGACATTGAGATGTAAGAATTAGCATCCTGAGACTGTGTCCTGTCAATGAATTCACATTTATTATAAAAATAAGGAAATGTGGTATGATTGCTAATGAAATAACTATCCACCAAAGTTATTGTTAAGTTTACATGTTGAACTTAAATGTTTTTTTATTGTTGTTGGGTTGCTGTCAATGATATTGACTCAATTTCTTTTATGTATATGCAACTTAAAAACTGAATTTAAGGTGGATTGGGGGTCTTAATTAAAATCCATAGAATTTTTTAATAATTTGTCAAAATGTAGTTTTTATCATGCTTTTTTCCAAAATATAATAAAAAGTATGGGTCACCGGACTTTTTTTCACACTACAGGTTGTGCATAATTGTCAGATTTTGTATAGATTATGCATGGAAAATCCAATTTTGTGTGATAAAAAGAAAACTACACCATAGAATTTTAAGATAAAATATGAGAAGATAGCTCTTATAACATGCTTTCAGATTATAAAAAGAAAAAATGGGGTCACTGGACTTGTTTTCTTGCTACATATTAAAAAAGGTAATTTCACAACACTTTCTATTATAAAAATTACTTTATCTGAGTTATCTCCCCTACTATCTGAGTTATCTCCCCTTATGTGCCAAAGTTGCAAAAAAATGAATCAAACAAAAATAATGTGTTTTATAGAAAATACAGCCGTAAATATGATAAATCACATAATTTTCTATATTAGCATGAAAAGTCTTACACATGAATTACATAGTACACTCAAAATTAGCACATTTCATTAAAGATCTAGACCAATTGTTATCTGCTACTTCAAAATCCAAGATGGAGGAAGACACCCAAACCACCTTAAAACTCTTTTGGGGTGTTGTTTTTCATCACATGCACAATTAATTACTTTACATGAAAATTTCTGTATTTTTCTTAAATTATACATGCACCTGTTGCTTAGAATTAAAATGAAAAACCTCCTTATATATGTTGCATTGTTTCAATTTAATTTTGTTACAATATTCTTTAATACATTTTCATGATTATTTCTTAGCATCGAATATAAAAAAAAATATAAAACATGAGTGTTTGAAACACATACCTTTTTATTATGGCTTGATAGTAAATAGAACAATAATAAGTCTATTTTTTAAACATAATCTTGTTATAACATTTACAGAACCTGAATTAAAACAAAATATTCAAATTAATTTTAAGTAAAGGTGTACCTTGAGACATTTTAGCAGACCCTCCTTTGAAAGACTCCATACTTTTCAATGTATTTTGTAATCCAGAAACTTGACCAACAGCTCGGTCTTTTTCCAATTTGGACAACATTTTCTCTTTCATGGCAACTTCATATTTCTTCTTCAACTGTTGTAATGTAGGCTCATACTGTTGATAATGTCTCTTTAATCTAAAATTTAAGGATTCATTTACATTTTTAATGCATTATGATATCATATTGATGTCTGCAACTTAGTCTTTTATTAATTTCTGAAGGACAAAGTTTCAATCTTTTTTTAATTGATTCAGCAAAACTTTGAACAAAACATGACGTCTGTAAAATAATGTTCATGTAGCATGGTCTTTGCAGAAATTCCTGAAAAATTTAAAATCTGACAAACCTCTGACTTATTTTTGCCTAACTTTCAACAGAACGGATTAGTCACAAATTTGTTTGGCAAAACCTTATTCCCAGATGTTGATTTAAATTAATCATATTGTTGGGTAAGACTGTTACACACATTTATCAATTCAAAGATTACTTATGAAAGGAATTGTGTAACCATTTATAAAACATGGCATTACAAATAGTACTTTTTGTTTTGAAAAAAAATATAACTCAATATTATACCTTTTGATATCATTTATTAGCTTATTCTTCTCCTGCACAACTCTTTTGTGGTGCATTCTATGGTAGTCTCTCTCTTTTCTAATTTTAACATATGTTTCTTTAGCATTCCTGTAAATATGAAAGAAAATTGTACAACAAGCATTACCTCCTTATAATTAATATAATCTTATGAAAACCCAAGGCTATGAAAAGTCTACTGAAATTCGATTGCTATTCTTTTAAAATACCCTTAAAAACATAGTTTTGAATGTCCTGCTTGTACTATCACATTTCATTGGTCAGTGAACCATGAAATCTGGGTCAAATTCTTTTCTTGGCATAGACATTAATTAGTTTACTTCATAATGAACATTACTAAGTTTCAAGTCGATGTAACCCAAAACTACCTTCAATCAAAATTTTAAAAATGGAACTGGATGGATGGGCGAAAGATTGGACCAACGGGCAGACAAAAGGATCCACAGACTGGAAAACACAATACCACTCTTCTATAGTATGCATGGCATAAAAGCACTTCCTTTACCATTTAAAGGATTTAAATGGATTACAAATCATTAGCCTTTTTTTCAAATGATTTTTTTCTGTTTTTAAACACAAGTTAAAACTTCAGGTACTTTCCGAATCAAAAAAGGCCTCTGTTAGCATAAACTGTCAAGTAGTTAGAGTATGGTTTCCTTAAATTTGACTTGTCTAAAATAGATCATTATAAACTTTATATAGTATTGAAATCTTACATAGCTGCATCTCTGTATTTTTCTACTTCTCTCTTGAGGAATTTTACTTCGTTATCTAATTCCTGATTTCTGCCATACATATCAGGGACAACACCAATATCTTCAGCATGAAGAGAGCCTTTCTGTTGCAGCTCATACCTACATTAAATTTGTTATACACAATAAACATTTTAATGAAACTTTCAATAATTTCAAGACTTATGCAAAGATATCTTAACGTGTGTACATGAAGCGAAGCATTTCTTAAATGATAAACATTAACAAAAAAGTTGTCAAAAAAACCTTTTAGACAACCATTTACCCTTAAAAACTTGTAGAATTTACAATCTTTGACAATCAAGTTCTGGATGGGAATTAACTTAAATCAATAACATGACACCATTGGTTGCAGGTAATAATTTGGTCAGGTATATATGGATCTAAAAGACTGTAAACATGTATAAAGTGTACACTGAGATTAACAAATGAAAAAATGAAAAAAGGCATTTCTGCAAAGAAGGTCAACATGAATGATTGGCAGGCATTCTGGACAGTTCTCCTACAGAAAAAAATCGTGCATTCTTGTATCAGTAATAAGGACACACCTACAGGTAACATCATAGCTTTTACAGGGTGTTTTTGGTCTCCACATACATGTAGCTAAGAACTCTCTAAAAACAGGACATCAGATTTAATGTCTTGATACCAATTAGATGTGAATGATAATTCAAACATCCTGCACTGCCAAAACTATGCCTTGAACATTGGCCTTTATTGCAAGACTGAGGAAGTACAGATAACAATATTTCTATTTCTAAGACGCACTAAGGTCCTGAGGCTGATCTGTCTAAATTTTCAAACTAAGACTTTAGACTGAAGTCATGACTTTCTCACCTAATTTGCAACATTTGTGTAAAATTTAACTTTGAACCAAGCAGGTTTTACAGGATAAAGGAAAGACATCAATTCAATATAGGCACCAACTACTCATAGTCTGTGAACTTGACCCCAACAACAAGGTAAACTCTGAAGTCAATACTAAGTGTAACAAAGCACGCTCTAGAATTTCTAATTTAATATGAGATAGGGGACCCAGGGACAATCTGACAAGGTGAACATTGCATATTCTAATATTCCACTCATGAATTTTTATGTCTTGAAAAAAAAACCTTTATATTTGTAAAACAACATAAAAACTCACCATTCTGTCTGAAATGTGTCAAGAGTCCTATTCATTCCCATCCTTACTAAAAAATTCCTCACATAATCATCTACAACTTCAGCTCGTCTTGTCACTGAGGGTTTTGGTAGTTCTCCTTTCTTAACCTAAACAATATACAGGTCAAATTTTCTTCCATATATTTGAAAAGTTTTATTTTCTCTTTTTCTTGTCTAAATTTTGAAATATAAAAAACAAACGGCTATGTCATGATGAGTACATGACATAAAAGTTCTAAAACAGTCTCAATTTCAAGAAAATTTCTAGTTAAAATAATTAAAAAGACACACAAGAAGTGAAGAACATTTGTTAAACAGTTGAGGCATGTATATGTCAATTACAGATTTACTAATATATATACTATAGTTTGTCGATCTGTCCTCACATCTTACATCAGTCAAAGTCTGCTTGCACAGAATATTATGATTACTCATAATTAATACAAATAGATTACCCAGCATTTTGATAGTTTTTCCTCTTTATTTGTTCCAAACTTAAATAAAAGTTAAATTTCCCAAAATTCTATAGCAGAGTTAATCAAAGTTTACACATTGTATAAAGACTTCAAATGATAAAGTTAGAAATAGCTGAAACTTTTTATAAGGAAGAACAGTTTAAAAATACTTTTTCCTTTTTTTGGCATTTGCTAAATATTTTCTACTTCACTTTTTTGAAATATTTTATACATGTACATATATTAATTAAATTACAGTTGCATCTTTTTCTTCTTCAGCTTCTCTGATAGTTCTCACTGCAAGATCTAAGTCTTCATCCAAATCTATATATAATACAAAAAAGACAAATAATTGTAAAATAGACATGAAAAACAGACAAAAATTTGGAACTAAATTATTTAGGTGTATAATAAGAATATGACAGATTTTTACTGTGACCCTATTTTCTTTATCATTCTATTTTTTCATTTTAATGAAATCAGTTTCAAATATTTGTACTGCTGCAGCAGATTATTACAAGACGTCCACAGCATATAAGAGTATGCAATTTTGTGTGTGTGTGTGGGAGTGTGGAACTGTGACCTCTTTTCATTTACATAACAATGCTACAATGTAAGATTTTAGTTTTCCATTCATTTTTTTTTTTTGAGTGGGGGGGGGGACTCTTAAACAACAGTTTGGCATACTCATGAACAAAAGAAACACTTAGCAAAGTTCTTACCAGTGGTAATAAAATCTTCATCAACAGGTACTTCTTCATACTCATATTCATCATCAGAGTCTACTGTCAACTGTTCCTCTGATTATGGAGTTAAGGCAAATAAATATGCATGAAGATAATCAAATTTGCTTCATTTTGATTTTCCTAAGTATTAGCAGCAATTCACAATATGAAGCTACTTTTGTATTTTGTAAATCAAGTAAAACAAAAATGCAAAACAATCAGGTTCAATGTATGTCATCAGCTTTGCCATGATATGCACTGAAAAATTACTTCTTAGCTCCTAGAAAATCTTAGCACATTGAAATATGTGGCATTTAAAAAAAACAAAATCATTTAGCTCCTAGAAAATCTTAGCACATTGAAATATGTGGCATTTAAAAAAAACAAAAACATTTAGCTCCTAGAAAAATCTTGGCACATTGAAATATGTGGCATTTAAAAAAAACAAAAACATTTAAACCAAATTTAAGAAATCCATCTCTGTATGGCACTCATAAAAAAGAGACATTTCCATTTCTAAAAATTCTTTTTTATAATCTGAAAGAATACTGTAAGGGTTTATTTTTTGTAAACACTGTCATAGGACTAGAAAAAACTGCATCATCTATTACCACAGCTGTATCAAGTCTCAACACCTCTTAATGTTGCTTAATCATATTCATACAGGAAGGACTCTAGTAACTGCAACATACATATAAAAACCCTAAAATATAAGTGATATGTGCATAAATGAGTTAACGGCTGGACATGAAAAGCCTACAGTGGATGTTTTGGACTTAAGAGAAAAAAAAGTGAACAGGTTAACATTTAAATCTAAGTAATACTGCTACATTTTTGTACTACTGTAAATTTTGATGTCAGACACCAAAATTTTATATTCACTCCATCATATTCATTGAAAAAATATATAATTTTGCTCGCCTTCTCATTTTTTTCATATGAAAAATCAGAACACTTATTTTTTTTTGGGTGGCCCTTAAAGTAATTTTTTGTATATACATGATACATATTTCCTGGAAATTGATGTCATTTCATCATAATGAAATAGCACAAAAATTTCAAGCATTTCCAGGGAGGATTTACCAGATGGGTAGTTTAATAATAGACAATTATCCAGTTTCAGTTTTATAAATGAACTGCCCCGGTTGACCTGGGGTCATATTGAGAAAAACATGTTATAGGACATTGTGACGTGAAGATATTTGCTTTGTGACATCAATTTTGGAAAATGCATTAATAGGAAGATCATGTATAAAGCGGTTGGTAAATAGGGGGTAAAAGGTGGTAAGTGCAATGTAGAACAGGAAATAAAATGGCCATTTCATGATGAATGAAAAAAATAAAAAAATAGCTTGCATGTTTCTTTTTCACCAATTTGCAAAAAACACAGTGAACAATCGTTGCATGAGAGAACTTCCAAAACTCAAAATGAACCAGAGAACCGATAGATATTACCTTAAAGTTTAAAACTTTACTTGTATCTGGAGTAATACTGCTATTATAAATAATAAAGTCTATAATTTTGAGCTATAAGTAATTTTAACTCAATAAAAGTACAATTTAACTTCATTAATTTGATTCATGTGACTTTAATGCAAGTTCCAATCTCGACTCTGACAGACAGAATTGTTATAACTTGATCGCAGACTCTGTATGCCTGTGCCTTGTGCATGGTACCTTTGTAGTTTTAAATTTTCCTAATTAAAATGAAAATGAATAACTTTATTGTTTAAAATTTATAATGTTCATATAGATAATAATTATCTACATTGTGTACCTAATTTTAAATTATTACTTCCGCCATATTATTATTCAAGGAACTTGCATACAAGACATACAAATCGAATTCCTGAAGTTAAATTGTACTTTTATTAGGTAAAAATTCGTAAGGGTTCCGCGGAACCTAGTGTCTCGCCTACTTTTGCTGTTAATCGCAGGCTCAACAAAAATGAGGAAAAAAATTAATAAAAAATATTCCTCTCTATACTATCTTTTGATTGTAAGTAGCTTCTGTCCAAGTTTGGTAAAAATCCAGGATAGTTTATGAATCTAATAAATGTTTTAAAAACCTAAACTGCAGACTGTATGTAATGTTAACTGGAAGAAAAACTAAGTCCATTTATAAGTAAAATACGAAAAAAATGGAACAAAATTTTAACAAAATTTCCTTCTAGATACTAGCTTTTAATCATAAACAAGCTTCTGTCCAAGTTTGGTACAAATCCAGGATAGTTTAAGAAAGTTGTTAAAATTTTAAAAACTTTAACCACAGAGTGAATGTAATGTTAACTGGCAGAAAAACTAAGTCCATTTATAAGTAAAATACGGAAAAAATGGAATTTTTTTTTTACAAAGTTTACTTCTGGATACTATCTTATGATCATAAACAAGCTTCTTTCCAAGTTTGGTACAAATCCAGGACAGTTTAAGAAAGTTATTAAAATTTCAAAAACTTTAACCACAGAGTGAATGTAATGTTTCCTGGCAGAAAAACTAAGTCCATTTATAAGTAAAATACGGATAAAATGGAATTTTTTTTTTACAAAATTTACTTTTGAATATTATCTTATGATCATAAACAAGCTTCTGTCCAAGTTTTGTAGAAATCCAGGATAGTTAAAGAAAGTTATTAAAATTTCAAAAACTGTAACCACAGAGTGAATATTTGTGGACGCCGACGACGACAACGACGGAATGTAGGATCGCTATGTCTCGCTTTTTCGACAAAAGTCGAAGGCTCAACAAAAATGACAAATATCTCAAATTTATAGTCATAATTATAGAAAAAAAGCAGTATTACACACTATAGAATTGAGTTTTCGGTTTATATATATTGGTTCTTGTCTTCAAATTGAGTTTTTGGGAGTTCTTGGAAGATCATTGTTCCCATGAATAATGAGCTTCAGCCTTCAAGCACAAAACATTCGATATAAAAGTTTCAAACACGTTGTATACAAATAACCCTTCACCACCCTCATTGCAACTGGACATGAGAGTAACTTTATGCAGTGTGATCCTATATCTAAAGTTTTAATGCATGTGGCTGTAGCAAGCTACACCATATAGTCCTTAACTTTCAAGGTTTGTCAAAAATAGTCAACTGCATAGCGATTGTTATAATTTGTGTTAAATTGCTTATAACTGTTGTATCACATGAACTGTTATAAAGAAAACAGTTTTCATGTTCAGCCATCGTAAACAGATCTTATGTAAAAATCATTAAATGTACAAAGGATACTCTGCAGGTAATATTTTTCTGTTTCTTGACCGTTCGACACACCCGCCATTTTTGTTTTATTTGCCTTAGCAACGATTACACATTTCTAATCTTTAAAATAAAAGAGTTTGATTGTAAGACTCCCTGATAATTCGGAACATCACAAACTCGGCCTACAACAAATTCGATCTCACAAACTCAGTCTATAACAAAATCGGACTATTAGAAGAATATAAGTATTATAAACGATGTTATATACTTTATTTGAAATTAATTATCAGCACTTATTTTAAATTTATTATGAGTAAGAATAATAAATACTTTATTTTGAACATATTACAAGCAAGAAATATTTGTAAATTTAGATAACAACTTGAAGCTGGGAACAGTATATGTTCCTGTATGTTCCTGCTTGAAGATTTAAAAAGAAAAGTAAGACTAATTTCATTTATTATGAAAAGTTATCACTTATTTGTCCTTTCTTTTCTATCGTTTTTTTAAATTTTTTATTATTTTTCATATCGGCATGACCAAGGATTTGTATAGTAAGACTACTATCTATAAGTTACTATACAAATCCTTGGCATGACTTATTTGATTGAACTGGACCTATGATGTCAAACTGCCACATGTACTGTTGACACCTTTTCAATCACCCATAAATCTAAGTGAGAACATAACTACCTATAGCTACATGAAATTGTAATCAACCAAATACCCAGTGACCTCACAGTAACAGCTTATATTTCTTCTTCTTTTTCTACCAAATAGTGACCACCGTCAACAAACTGAATATTATGTCACAAGAGGATAACTTCCAACAAGACATAGATTAATTTTTACAAATTGAAAATAGAGGAAAAATGAAAATTACATATGTACTGTACAATTAGTTCGATGTGAATAGCTGAGTTTAATATTGATGTTTTGAGATGGAAGTTTTGAAAGAATCTACTGATGTGCAATTTATGATGTTATAGAGTAGTTTGTTCCAATAGAATGATGTTCTTGGAAAAAATACTTTTCTCTGTACTGTGTTTTGCAGGATGAAATTTGATAACTGTTCGCATTTGAATGTCTTTTTTGTTGAAATAATGTGTTGTTCTATTTTATATAGCATCTTTTCTTCTGTCAGAGAGGCTGCACCATTCAAGGTGTTGTAACATGTTACCAACGCTTGAGGTGTTTCTGTATTTGTTGGATACAAAATGGGCAGCCTTCCTTTGAAATTTTTCAATGCTATCTATGTCTTGTTGTAAGTAAGGGTCCCAAACAGAGCAAGCCTACTCTAGTGATGGTCTTACTAGGGAATTGTATGCCTGCTCTGGTAAATGGATGTTTAGCTAATATTCAGGTTCCTCCTTAGCACTCTTAGCTTTCTTGCATATGTTGTTCATACATATATATATATATATGATATATCATAAATGTTTGACCCTGGCCAGTTACCTCTACAAACACTCAGGCTATCTGTATCCGTTTGATGTGACAATTGAATTATAATTATTCATCATCCTAATTAATCCATCAATAATATTAAAATCATAACTTAATGAAGCCATTCACTGTCAATCAAAGTTCTCTTGCACACCAATCATTAAAACACTATTTACAACAACAAAAAACAGCATATAAACACACCATTCACACAATATCTTATGGATCTAAATTAAGTTAATTTCAATACATTTTTTATATATTTTTTTTTCAAAAATATTCATATCTATCTCTTAAATTCGTATATAAATTAATTAAGTTGTTATAAATTAAGTTAAATAAAAATAAGTAGAAAAAAACAGTGAAAAACTAAATCTACAAATCAAAGGCCGAGTTTGTTTACTTTATTTCTTTATATATAAAATAATGGTAGGCAGAGTTTGTTATAGTCCGAGTTTGTTATAGTTAGAGTTTTGTTTTAGGTGTGTTATCCAGGAGTTTTTATTTTGGGTACCATAGTGTAAGAAATGACTTAATAAAAAAAATAATACTGGGGGTATTAGTGGTTTTTAAATAACTTAATCAATGTGGATAATACACTGATTTTGTCTTCCTGATAGCTTGAAGAGGTATTTTTCTATAGTTCTCCACTTACCTGTTTTCCCAAATATATATTATTTGGAAACTACAAATTCTTTTGGCAAATCAAGGGTCACAAGTCTAGAGCTATAAAATTGAAATAACTGAAAATCCACTCAAAATAAAAATAAGAAGATGTGGTATGATTGCCAATGAGACAACTATCCACCAAAGTTCAAATGAAAGTGGATGTAAGCAATTATAGGCAACCGTACGGCCTTCAAAAAATGAGAAAAACCCATACCGTATGGTCGGCTATAAATTAAGGCCCAGACATAAAAAAATAAGAAACAATTCAAATGAGAAAACTAACGGCCTAATTTATAACAAAACGATTTACGAAAAACAAATATGACAGACATAAACCAATGACAACCACTGAACTACAGGCTCCTGACTTTGGACAGGCACAAAAAGAATGTGGCGGGGTTAAACATGTTTGTGAGCGCTCAACCCTTCCCCTTACCTGAGACAGTGGTGTAACAGTACAACATAAGAACAAACTATAAAAATCAGTTGAAAAAGGCTTATCATCTAACCTTTAAACAAACTTATTAGTAAATGTTATCTTACCAATGTTGTAATTAGATCTTTGAATATAGCTTACATTGGCACAAATATCGATTTTGTCATCAGCAAATTAAAACATAACTAAATTTGTATTCTTTTCAAACGGGATGTATTAAGACACACCCACGTTCATTTTGATCTATAATTGTTAAAATGTACATTTTTAACTATTTATTGGATAGAAGAATACTTCTGTTACATAAATATGGGCTGTTTTTGACAATACAGTGCACATGTATCGGGTACTAGCATCATAAGTCATGCTAAATTACTGAAATCTTCGAAATTTTAGCATTTTGGTTAATTTTTAGACGGTTTCCGTCTGAAATGGAAGTGGCCGCATTTGTGTTCATTCTTAATATTTAAATGTAAGTTGTATTTGATGATAATACATAACATATATAAAGGTTGAGAATGAACACGGATGCGGCCACTTTGATTTTTGACAAAAACCATCTGAAAAGTGACATATTATGGCATATTTAAAAGATTTTTCATATTTAAGCTTGAATTTGAGCTTCAATAATGACTAAATCAGTTCAAATCTTTCACATAAACTAATTGAATCGACTAAAGTAGACACTTAAGTGTTTAAAAAGTGTCCAAAATCTTTCATCAGATGAACCTGAATTTTGAGGCCAAAATCGGCCCTTACCGGACCTACTCCTTTATTTGTTCAGTGAGTGTTCACTGGTGTTAATATGTCTTTTGGTTGAGTTAAGCCATTTCAATTGATATTTTATCGTGTGTCTTTCTATGTTGTGATGTTGCACTATTGTTTCAGATAATGGTGAAGGTTTGGTACCATTAAAACGTTTAAACCCGCTGCAATTGTTTGCACCTGTCCTAAGTCAGGAATCTGATGTTCAGTAGTTGTCGTTTGTTGATGTGGTTCATAAGTGTTTCTCGTTTCTCGTTTTTTATATAGATTAGACCGTTGGTTTTCCCGTTTAAATGGTTTTACACTAGTAATTTTCGGGGCCCTTTATAGCTTGCTGTTCGGTGTGAGCCAAAGCTCCGTGTTGAAGACCGTACTTTTACCTATAATGGTTTACTTTTTATAAATTTTGACTTGGGTGGAGAGTTGTCTCATTGGCACTCATACCACATCTTCTTATATCTATTAACTCATCATATGGATACAAATAGAAATACATCTAACAAAAACAAAGAGTGGACGTGGACAGGTACTTATATATCCACACAATTAAAAGACACTTAGCACAGGTCTGAGAGTACTCCCAGTTACTGACAGCTAGTTCTAAGCCAATAACAACTAATAAAAAAAAAATCATGTATCTAAGACTAAAATATCAATCAGTACACATCCAACATCCGATGGATTTAATGCCAAACTATAGGTATCGACATATTGTATTACCGTGAAAGTACATACGTGTAATATTTAGTATGATTTTAATTTACTGATAACAAAATCCATATTTATACCAATAAAAACAATATCCAAAGATTTATTTACCGTGTTGAATAGGTAACCTTTTAGAATAAGTTTACTTAAAGGATTGATAAGTTTACCCGGACCGTATCTAAATTTCTGGGCTCGGTTTACAACATCACCGTAAAATTTAGATTGTGCTATTCTGTTTGAAATATGTTTTCTACAGGTACAGCCAAACTTGCAGACCAAATCTTTGTATCTATGGAAGAATTTAGTAAAGGTTTTAAAAGTAATTTGTGGTAATGAAATCCTTGACTTAATCATTTACTAGTTATACATAGATTATGCTCATTGAAATCAAAAACGTCACTACAGACATGAGCATAGCGAATAAGTTGGGATATATAAACATCGTAAGACAGTGCCAAAGGAACATCACCTTCCAAAAAAGGAAAATTAACAATAGGGAAAGAAAAATCATCCCTTTTGTCGTAAATTTTTGTGTAGAGTTTTCTGGTTTCATACTGAAATATCTAAATCTAGGAAAGGACAGTTATTGCAGTTAATATTAGATTTATTTAAAGTAAGTTCCTTTGGGCAAATTTCAGCAGTATATTTAGTGCATTCTTGATTATTTAACGAAAAAATATCATCAAGATAACGGTAAGTGTTGTTGAATTTATCAATTAAATGGAATTTAGACGGTTCTTTACTGAGTTTGGCCATAAATTGTGATTCATAACAGTAAAGGAACAAGTTTCCTATCAAATGGGTACAATTGGTGCCCATAGGAATACCTACAACCTGTCGATAAACTTTATTGCCAAAACGTACATAAATGTTGTCAAGGAGAAAATTTAGTCACACCTCCAGTAAGTATATCTAGCATAATTACCTTTCTCATTAGAGAAAACGGCTTTATATGAGTTGAAGCAAATAAATTTGCAACCAGATTTATCAAACGACCATTTCATTAGATAGGCAAACTTTTGTTTGATAAGATTGCGTGGAACTGTAGTATAAAGGCCGGTTTATTCCCGATTGTCCCACTTTTTAAAATTTTAGAGTTCTGATTGTCCCACATGAAAAGTTCTGATTGTCCCAAATTATTTTATGAAGTAAAATGTTCTTAGATAAACAAGTTGCCTGTTGTTTTTTTTCTAAATAAACACGAATTAATTATTGCATGTTCAAACTATTATTTAATATTAATTTAATAAGAAGTAAAAATTATGATTTTTTTTAAATCATTAGTGGATTAATGCACTTTTGATTAAATCATATACTATTTCTAATTTATGAAATATATCTACAATGTTGCGTTTATTTATAAAACAAACATCAATACCGTAATTTTTTATAGAAATAATGCAATTGAAAAAAAAAGTATAAACTCATGAACACTCTACACTCTACATGCACACACTTGTAGATGGAGAGATGTTGCCACTAGTCATTGCAATTTTACTAGAGAAGCAACGTCAGATTCACCTGAACCCAACAACTTTCTTTATTGAAAACGAAGCTGCTGTCCAGAATTCTGCCATATCAGCCTTTCCAAGAATCACAAATAAAAGGATGTTTTTTTTCAAATATACCGGGTGTGTTTGCCGTAAAGTGCAATCACCAGGACGCGTCACCAACTATAAAAGGCAACCAGACTTCCATCAACTTATAACCGACCGTGCAAGGGCTGTATAGCCAGTCAAGGTCGTTAAAAACTTCCATTTGTTGTCAACTTATACGCAGGACAGCAGTTCTTCCGCTGGTACCACGTGCAGAAATAGAAGACGTCTAGTTCCATCCACTTAAAACCTTGAAATTTTGGACTCAACAGCAAATAACACTCAGTTTACGGACTATGTCACAACCTACTGGGTTGATAGCAGCAGGCAGCTATGGAACTATTACCAAACCTAAGAACCAAGGACGAAAAACCATCTCAACAAAAATTATACATGCTACTGAACTACCTAGAGAAGAGCAAGCAGCAAACGAAGTGACAATCAGTCAGTACCAAGACGGGGAGGGGGGTACGACCATCAAAGAGATTAAAATACACACAAATCAATCAATGCTTACAAGAACTAAAAGATCGTCTTTACGCCAGAACGGTGAAGTTACTGTGTTTCAGTATACTAACATTGCCTCTAATTTGTTACACTTGGACTAAATAAGTCGCTGTTATATGATATGATATGTTGTGATGTTTATGTTATGAATTATGCATGCTTTATTGTTGTGCTTATGTATTATGTGTGCTTTATTGTTGTTCCTTCTGCATTGTATGTGCTTTAAAGTATCTGCTCTTCATGTCATGTGTGTGCTTTTTGGAAAATAAGTTTAGCTGTTTATTATGTGTGCTATTCATATTTAGCTGTTTATTATGTGTGCTTAATTGTAACTCTTTAATAAACATTTATGTAGAATTGAGAAGTGCTTGGTATGTGTTATTTTATAACTTCGTATTATATTCATTTATACTTCAATTGTACCTACTATGTGTGCAAAATAAAATATGTAAATATTATTATTTGATCATGTTTATTTCATATTTTATAAGTTACAATGGTTAGTAATCTGTAATTAACTGCTACACACTATAAACACAAATTATTCATTATCAAAACAATTCCCGATTGTCCCACATTTAAACTTCCCAATTGTCCCAAAAACATATTCCCAGTTGTCCCACAAAATTTCATTACTATTTTACTTGTAATTTCAATCCGGAAGACACCGTATAAAGAGTGGAAAAGTCAAAACTGTCAACCAAATCAAAAAGACCATCAAAAGCACGTAATTTATCTAAAACATCCAAAGAATTTTTTACACTCCAAAAATGGTTAATTCCACTCTTTTCATATGTTTTATTACAAAAATTAATGATAAGTTCTTTGACATTAGTTAAGGAACTCGTTAAAAGCACTGAAAGATTAGTAGTAGAACACTTACTAGAGGCCAAGATGAAACAATATTTTACGGGTTTTTTGTGTAGTTTAGGTAACCAATACATAGTGGGGACCTTCAAATGTTCAGAGGAGGCCTTAAGCTGAGCTGTGGTAGTGACATGATTATTTCCTATATGACTTTCTGTGGAGCGTACGGCCTTGAATGTAGTTGAATGTATAATTTCATTCTTAAGGACTTCCGTGTAGTATTTACGTCATACCACTACCACATTGTTGGCTGCATTGTAGGCCAGTACAAACACAAAACGCTTTGATAGTACTTGAATTTTGTTTTTAATCCTAGAAATGAGCGTGTTACTTACTCTTTAATTTATTTCTAAATTATTTTCGAAATGTGATATGCGAATATCAACAATATTCAGACATTTTAATATTTTAATATTTAAATAGGAATCAAGTGACTTTTTGTCAGATTTCTCCCGTTTACACTTTTTTTTACAATAGGATGAAAGAGCATCTTTAATCACCTGACGACACTCTTCCTAATTTATTTTCGACAATGGACGATATTTTGGTCCTTTTTTCAGAAATTTTATAACCTCTTGGTCTTGAACGATGTTGAGGTCCCCTGTAATTACATGGCCATAGGGATCATATCTAAACTTTTGATGTTTCACAGTCTCATGTTGAAGGAGCATAATTTTCTATACTGACGTCTGATGTAACTGACGTATAATTAAAAATTAAACTTCTACTGGTTTTTTTTATACGAATAAGAAATTATAGGTGGCTCAATGTTATCAAAATATGGAGGTGTAAAGTTTTGAACGGTAGAGTCTTGAAAAATACTAGACAAATTAATAAAATCAAAACCTTGTTTGTGGTTGATAACATTTTCAATCCATTTGCACTAGCATTTCTCTTTCTGTTTATTTATCAGCCAAATAGAAGATGGACTTAAATATAAATTTACTAATGACCTTGGATCCTGTATGTATGCAGAAATGTCCTGACTGCTTTTCTGATTATAAATGAATCTTATGTTAAAAGTTTTAGGATCAGTATTACTACAGATTTCATATAAGTAAGGATAATCAATGATCCATGAAAATGAGGTTGTAATCAAATGAACTTAAACACTTTACAGTCATTCTAAACACCTGACCAAACATTTTCTTCCACAACTGATTTGTTGATGTCTAACCAAAAGTATCCTGTAATGGGTATTATAAGTGGTGCTATGACTAAATAAACAAGATTCTTGTTCTTTTATACTATAAAACCAAATTGGCATGATGACATATTACCCAACTTATTCTTACTCCTAATAAATAAAGTCTTACCACTCACTTCTAATGTCATTTAAATAGACTACTACTGACAAGAAAACCAATTTTCTGAATGGGTAAAATTTCATTATATGTACAATATATTAATATTAACGAAGTAAATAGCCTTAATTGCAACAGTATAAAGATTTTATATAAAGCAGCAATTAATATATTTGGCTGTTATCAAATCAAAAACCATTTGTATCATGATCAAAAATTTAACAGCTGTTTTAAATGTTTTAATTACATGAGACAATGTTATTCACAGTACATCTTGTTCAAAATAGAAATATATTTCTTACAAAATTAGTGGCTAACATTCTTTCTCTGTCAATAATTTGTAAACAAGATGTGTGCAAACTGTACCCAAACTCATAACTAGACATAGACAAAAAAATCCAAGTACAGTGGGTATAATAAAAATTCAAAGTAACTTCAAACAGAAAGTGACTGTCTAGCAGATCTGAAAAATCAATGGCATTCTTACAATTCTGCATTAGTAAGTTCCTGCCAAAATATCTAGCCACTCTTGATACAAAATCTGAGTACTAGTAATAAGTAGTCTGAGATTGCCTTGATGTTTGAGGAACTTTAGGCATGGTCCCCATTATGTCCCAATAAAAGGCTGTCAGATGCCAGAGCAGTTTCAGACTAAGTAATATGAAAGCAAAATAAATCCTCAGTGGGTATTATAAAAAGTCAAAGCACATTTTTAAACTGTACAATTAAGTGACTGCCTGGTGACTTCAGAGTAGAGTACAACCCAAATGGGGGAATGCAAGTCATATCATATAAAACAAGAATGTGTCCATAGAACACGAATGCCCCACTGGCACTATCATTTTCTATGTTCAGTGGACCGTGAAATTGGGATAAAAACTCTAATTTGGGATTAAAGAAAGATCATATCATAGGGAACATGTGCACTAAGTTTCAAGTTGATTAGACTTCAACTTCATCAAAAACTGCCTTGACCAAAAACTTTAACCTGGAGCGGGACAGACAGACGGATGAACGGACAAACGAATGGACGCACAGACCGAAAAACATAATGCCCCTAGGTGGAGCATAAAAAAAAAAAAAACAAACAAATAAAGGCACATTTGATCATATACATATATGCTTTATAAAATATATTTGTCTTAAAAAGCTTTATATATATAAAAATTAAATCATATCATATCATTTCAGTGATAGTTTCATTTTCCATTGAAGGGTAATTCTGGATTATCAGTATCCACTTGATGCCAATCTGGATATAACATAGGCAATTCTGCTGTTGCCTTGGTAACTACTGGTTTCAATAGTTCAAACAAATATTCAGAACCTCTTGATGAGAGATGAAGGCCATCATTTAGCATGTTTTCCCAGTCCTATAAATAGAATAGCAATTCTTCCTTTTATAATGTACATCAGTGAACGAAAAATCAATTCCAGTCATGCAACAATACAAGCTTCAAATGAATATGTATTTTTTGTTGTATATACTATAACGGGTAATCATACAAAATATCAATGTTCTATTAAAATTATTTCTAAATTATTCTTCAATCTTTTAAATCTCTTTGGCAAATTTCAAATAAAAGAAAAATATGTAAAAACATTTATTAGGCTTAGATCAGCATCTCAAAAAACTTACAGGTCTACACAACATAAACTATACACACAACACAAAAAAACAAATGACAGTCACAATACTCAAACATTAGTACAAAAACCTATCTTTCAAAAAACCTGCTATACACAAGGGAGAGAAAGTTCTGAATACAAAATATAATTAAAATAGAGCTGGGTGGGCGGGAATTTTAAGAATTATAAATTTAAGTCGATCGATGCGTCAACTTAAAAAAAAAAAATGACCTGTTCAGAGAAAACTGATTAAAAGAATGATCATATGAATATAGGGATTTTAAAGGAAAACTTTACTGAGTAGAAATTACAAGCAGGGCCAATTGAAATGGACCAGCTAGGTAAAATGTAAAATTCACTGAACCAATGAGAAATAAATGGAGAATGTGTCTATGGGCCACAGATGCCCCCCTTTGTAAATATGCATGAGTCAATGTACTAATTATTGAAATTTTCTTTGCTTTAAAAGTTAATGACATATATTTCTACATGTTGTTATTAGAAATTGCTTGCAGGTTTGAATGCTCTCATTGTTCAATAACATTCGGTTGAGGCAAACTAAAGTTAGAGAACGGAAACAACAGATTTAGCAATTTTTTCAATTTATGAAGGGCATAACTCAAGAACGGTAAAAGTGACGCCACCCAATTTCAAACTTGATCTGTGTTTTGTGGTTATAAGCATTGTGTATAAGTTTCATAACATTTGGTTGAGGCAAACTAAAGTTAGAAAACGGAAACGAAAATTTCAGCAATTTTTATGTCTATAAAGGGGCATAACTCATGAACGGTAAAAGTGATGCCACCCAATTTCGATCTTGTGGTAATAAGCATTGTGTATAAGTTTCATAACATTTGCTTGAGGCAAACTAAAGTTAGAAAACGGAAACGAATTTTCGGGACATACGCGACAGACGGGACGGATAAGGGTAAAACTTAATGCCCCCTCTACGCTATGGCAAGGGCATAAAAATGTACCACTCTAATCGTGCATGTGGATTAACTGAACCAGCACTAAGGAAAAGTAAATGTTAATAGTTATAGAAAACAAATAAAAGATAAATGAATTTTAATTATGCATATTTAGAATAAAAATTTTACCATAAACACACAACAAAAATTGTTAAACAATATGAAAACTTTATCTGCTGTGTGTTTGTCAGTTGTAGACATTTTAATAATAAAAGTCCAATCATATAACTGGGAAAAAAAACAAAGAAGAAATAATAAAGAGCTGTGCCATGAGCGCATGATACGCCCGTCGCTTTTTCAAAGAATAAAGTTCCATAACTCCTCAATGTCATATCAGAAATTTATAAAAAAACTAAAGGGAGGTTATTCTAATAGATATAAACCAGTCACCAACGTTTCATGAAAACTACTCAAAGCACTTTTGAGTTATTGTCCGAAAATTGGAAAATTACCCCTTTTTTATGAATAAAATCCCATTACTCGGAAACATGAAATCTAAAATTCATAAAAATCAAAGGGGAGCTCGCACCAATAGATATAAACAATTCACCAAAGTTTTTTTGCAAATTGGTGAAAGTGTTTTTGAGTTATTGTCCGAAAACTGGAAAATCACCCTTTTTTAATGAATAAAACCCCATAATTTGGAGACGTAAAATCTAAAATTTATAAATAACGGATGGACTGACAGATGGACGGATACGGTATACCATTATACGTCCTGTAAATGGGCGTATAAAAATCAAAAGAGAGCTTTTTTAAATGAAACCTACATTCTTTAATATTTTAAGAAAACATGAGTTTTTGTAATACCTCCTCTAAGGCATGGATGGATGGATGAACAGATTACCGTAATTTATAACCATTTAAATATTAAAATAAGTCATTATGAACTTTAACACATGATGCAGTACAACATAAGGATAATTTACTTTTTCTTTCACCATTTCTGTGTACATATCTACTGAACAACATCCTGATTCCCTGGCAGCTTCCACACAAGCCTTTGCGTATTTGGCTGTTTCTGTATTACTCTTAGTGCACACCCTATCTATAATATAACCAATAAAAGCAATTTTTACAGTGAATCAAACAGGACATTTTGTCAAATCAAAACATATCTTTTATATTATCTTTGTATTAACTGTATGTTTCATTCTTAATTAGAAATACTGAAAACAAAATTCCAGTAGATAAACCAAAGAGAGTAATATCCTTGGTTAAGGGGTGTGCCTATTGATTGAAATGGGTGGTTAACAATTGGATCCATTAATAAAAAAATAAAAAGAACACTGAAATTTGAATTGGTATCTGTTTAAAACACTAAATATAGTTTTCATGGCATATAACAAACTAATGACCAATTTGATATCATCACTTAAAACAAATTTCAAATACAGTATCTTATATTCAATTTTCCACAAAAGATTCACAAAAAGCATGTTTAAAGAAAATCTAAATTTTACACTGCTTAAATGTGTTTGCTGCATTATGAATCATTATACCTTTGTTTTACTTGTACAAATTATAGAATGACCCATCAAGGGTCAAAGGTACATGAACTGGTTTACATTTTTTCAACCTTACTTAAACACACATCTTTACAGATCTTAGTTTCTATAAAATATATATAGTGACTAAAGAATATATCACACAGTTCATTCAATATTAATTGTAATCTCCAGAAAAAAAGAAAAATACATAAAAATATACTGTTAATCAGTTAATTAATTTGGCCATGAAGATAATTCTTTTTATGTATGGGAATTGAACATTGAACTGAAAATTGGTAATCCCTCTGTAGAGTAATATAGTAATGATATACTGACATAAGAGGTCTATAAATACAGTAGCTCCAAATAGAAATTTTTGTTATTTGAAGCACTATTAATTATGTGAATCATTCACTACCCAAAAAGGGGAAGAAAAAATTCAAGCAGTAGGTGTCTGACAGATCCAGAAAACACTTGATCATTACAACTCATCAATGGTAAGCTTCTGACTAAATATGAAGTCCTTCTATTCAGCAGTACTTGAGAAAAGTGTGACAAAAAAATTCAAAGTACATTCAACATACTGAAATTTTAAAGTATCGGCAAACAGGAAGTCGGTGTCTGACAAAAACCTCAAATGCTCACATGTTACAACTCATCAATGTGAAGCTGCTAACCAAAACAAGTACAAAGTCTTCCTGTTCAGTTTTACTTGAGAAAAAAATGACAAAAAAAATTAAAGTTCATTCAACATATTGAAAAATTCAAAGTATCAGCAAACAGATCCAAAAAAATGCTTACATGTTACAACCTTCACTGCCAAGCTGCAGTCTTTTTGTTTATTAGTACTTGAGAAAAGTGTGATGTAAAATTTTAAGTTCACTTAATACACGGTATAGGCAAACAGGAAGTAGATGTTCAACAGATCTGAAAAGTGCTCTCCCCTTACAACTCATCAGTGCTTAGGTGCAGAGTGCAGACCAAATATAAAGTCAATCTGTTAAGAAAAATTGTGATGGAATTATTAGTTGGATGAACAGATGGACGGAGGATGGAGGGGTTTTAAAATTGGCAGTGCCAACATTATTAAAGTTATATGAAATGGGTTTCTTGTAATTTTAATGTTATCAAAATTATTGAACCAATGCATGCATATATACTAAACTAAGTCCTGCATGCACTTGTTTTAATATTTATTATGAATCTATAACGTATTATCGACAAATAATATTTCATTCAGTGATTGTTGAGCACAAGCTTATTAACTTTTGAGTGTGTTGCCGAAGTTTACCTGATCGTGACATTGATAAACAATCATCACAGAGCATGTGCAGCTCGTGAAAAATAAGTATTAGTGATACAGCCATAATATTATTTTTTTTAAATTTCCATGCCTTCCCATTTGTTAATTTAACTTTTCCTCAACAATTGTTAAATGATTTGTTGTATTAAATGTGTTCTTTAAGAATCAGTTATTGCTGTTAAACTTCCAGTGCATGTGTTTACATTCTTTCATCACGGTTTTCCCCTCGCACTTGCACTGTGCATTGGCCGAAGTTCTTACGAGAGGTCTAGTGGTAAAGGTCACTAAAGGTGAATTAGTGTACGGGAAGACAATAATTCAATAGCAGTACATTTATGAAGATTTTGATAATGTAAGGGATTTTCTTTTACAAGAAAGATCATGTATACACTTGTTTTATATTAAAATTTAGCCATTCAAGAAAATAAAACAAAAGTTTCATATGACTTTAAAGAATGTTTATATTTGGTCTCAGAGCAGAAAATTGTGCTATCCTGTAAAATGGAAATCTTTTAAATATGTGTTGTTTTATTTCTGGAAACTTCTCCCTTGAAAATGGGGATGTAATGCCAGACAAATGCATATGAGTGTTATATCCACTTAGCCATAATTGTAAACCACACATGAAATCAAATCTTATCAGTGAAGACCTTCAAGAGCAAGCATCAGGATAATGAACATCAATAAATTTGATAGTATGTATGTCATGTATGTTCAAAATTTCAAAAGAATAATATCACAAATTTCAAGCTATTCTACACCCTATTTGCCTTAACCTATTACCTTGTGAACTCAACATGGAAAAGGATCATCTTTTCTTTTTGAAATAGATTCCTTCCAACTTTAGTTAACATTTCATTTTTGGCTCACAAAACAATATCTGTTAGGTTTGTTTTGACTTTCATATATTTGTTATTTCCTATTAATGTTTATGAGAAAGTTTCCTATATGTTTTACTCATTTTGCCAATTATCTCTTTTTAAATTGACACTGAGTATGCTCAATTTAAAAGTTGAAATCTATTGTTACTTAGTTTCAATAATCAGGAAATGTTATTTAATTGTGAAAATGTTTAATACCTTAAAATGTTCCTAAACACACATTTGATCCTGAGAGAGAAATGAAAGGTTATGGGTATGTAACAACTGGAGGTATTAAAAGGAGGAATTGAGATGTAAAATATACCCATTGGTAAAAGTTCAGACTTAATTTATTTGTACATAGACAAACTACTATTAGTTCTGTATGAAACCAATGACATATTTACCAGGGATTCTTACCATTTATTTGACAGTCTTTTTCCCAAGCTGAAATGTTACTGGCTGGTGGTCCTATAATAACAACTTTTTCTCTAGGCACACCATGGGACTGTAAAAAGTATGATAATTTAGTTTTGTTTCTCTGGACTGAAAATGAGAATGAATACTGCACCTTCAAAAACATGAGAGGAGCATTAAACAAGTTGTTGTCAACAAATTATGAGAATGATACAAAAATAAGGAGATGTGGTATGATTTCCAATGAGACAACTATTCACTGTAGTTCAAATGAAATGGAGATATGCAATTATAGGCAACCCTAAAGTTTAATTTTTTTGGGGGGTTCCAGTTTTTATACGGCCGCCAAAAATTTTGGTGGTCGTATATTGGTATCACGTCGTCGTCGTCCGAAGACACTTGGTTTCCGGACAATAACTTTAGTATTAGTAAATAGAAATCTATGAAATTTAAACACAAGATTTATAACTACAAAAGGAAGGTTGGGATTGATTTTAGGGGGTTATGGTCCTAACAGTTTAGGAATTAGGGGCCAAAAAAGGAGCCCAAATAAGCATTTTTCTAGTTTTCAGACAATAATTTGTGGAATGATGTATGGATCTCTCTGAAATTGTACAACAAGTTTCCATACCACAAAGGGATGGTTAGGATTGGTTTTGGGGGGTAATGGCTCAAACCGTTTAGGAATTAGGGGGCAAAAAAGGGGGGAAAAACAAGGGTTTCCTTGTTAATGGACAATCACTTTTAAGTAAAATGTTAAATTTGGATTACCTCCCTTACACTGCTTTAAAATTATGTATAAAGAAATTTTGTATTGTCTTGAGGTGATTTGTTGTCAATTTATTTTTAAAAATGCTGAATAAAGATATATTATTTTTAGACATGATTATGTATGTCATTTTCTGGGGGGGGGGGGGGGGCAATTAGCAACAGCATAGTGAATTGCACAAAAGCAAAAAATTGAATATAAATTCAAATCATATAACCAATTCAAAACAGTTATTCTGTGTCAGAAACCTATTATGTGTCAAACATTTAATTTCAATCCAAATTCAGACCTGTATCAAGCACGAATATTGTGTTCATTTTTGCCCCAACTGCTCAGGGTTGGACCTCTGCAGTAGTATCCAGCTGCACTCGGCGAAGCAATTTATTATATATGGAGACAAAATTATATTTTTATTTATTATTTTTGTTACTGTATATCGATTCATATTTGTTTTTCCTTTCTTGTTTTGGACATTAATCAGGCTATTGGTTCTCTCATGTGAATTGTTTTACATTTTGTTATTGAGAGGGCTTTTATAGTTTGCTCTGCAGTATAGGTTTTGCTCATTGTTGAAGGCTGTACGGTGTCCTACAGTTGCTAAAATCTAAGTCATTTTGTCTCTGGCGGATAGTTGTCTCATTGGCAATCATGCCATATTTCTGTATTTGATATATGTACTTGATTTTGTGGTTTTGACAAATTCTGCATAAGTATATACATGTAGTAAACTTGTCTTTTGGTGAACACTGAAATTTGTGGTTCACCTATACCTATGAAGTCCACAATTATTGGGACCATAAGAATAATAACTGATTACACAGTACATCAGGAAAGATAATGTTACCTTACATTATTTCCTATTATACTATTTATACTATCTATATAAACATAACATATATGTAGGACTCAAATCTATGGTGGGTTCCAAATCTATGGCAGATTCCCAATCTATGGTAAATATGGCAAAAACAAATGAAATTGGTAAAATATTCATCATATCTTCTTTAATATTAAGGCAAAACTTTTCAAAAGAATTTGAAAATAGAAAATATAGGTCTTTGATGACTTTTTATAAACACAAATGAGACAAGAATTCTACAAATTTTAAATTACATTGTAATGATAATTTTTAACATCTGAGCTCACAAAAATTGAAAATTAAAGTTCCAATGTAATTAAAACATATTTTAAAATAAAAAAATACACGATCATAATTATCCCTCAAGAGTAAATTACTTGTATTTTCTCAACTATTTCCAGTAGGTTCTGTTTAAATTCATCCAAAGGAACATGCTGCTGTTTGTTGGTGGGAAGATTAGAGTCATTAGCACCCAAAAATACAGTAACCATGGAAATGTTTTTAGCATCAAACTCGCTTAAGATAGATGGAATCATTTTATTGCACCACCTTGTGTTGTATCCAGAAAATCCTCTGTTAATAACATCACATTTCCTAAAAAAAACAATAACAATCATTAAAGACACAAATATAACTAATAAAGAGATGATAACTGAATTGTATTTTCAGCTTTAGGATATTCACTCTATGATTCTAACTTTATAATAATGTAAGTTTACATAAAAACATGTGTTGGAGCTAAGAAAATTTATTCTAAAACCTACAGGTATGTATATGTCCAGTAAGGTTGAAAATGAAACATATCATTTTTATCTCCCTTTAATGCAATACTAGCAAAATTTCTTTTTCCATGTTTTTGTTGGAGTCTAGTACATTTGTATTGCATAAATGGAATTATTTTTGCACATAAATGTGTCAGACAAGAAAATTGTCAGCTGAAAATTTCTAATCATAATGTGAAAGGTTTAACATCACATATTTTAGGCTTTATGTAACCTTAAAACAGATCAAATTTGACATTAAAATAGCCATAGTTATAATTAATTTTAATTTTTATTTCATAAATTGTAGTTTATTGTTTATTGGATTTGGATTTATAGTGACTCCTTCTTCACATATCATTAGTTACATTCTGTACATCGTCAGGCGTGTAGCCACGTTTACGTCAAAACACCTGGACGTACACATGAATTTTGGAGAAAAAATATTTTAATCTAAATAGATTAAAACATCTGGCTAAAAGCACATGAGCCTTGTAGTTCTTTCTCCACTGACTGTAATTGAAAATAACAGTCGGAAGAAATTTACTTTTTAATCAAATGGTATCATATTATTTATTTGTTCGTTTTCTGTCAAAATCTGAATCTACTGTGAATTATCCTCCCTTTCCTATAGTTTAAAGCAATTCATTATCTGCTGAGATACGATATGCAGTTTTGTCGAGCCTGCGAGACATTCTGTAATCGGCGTTGGCGTTGTCAATATTTATGTTCAGCCTGTGGTTAAATTTTTTTTTAAAACATCAATAAATTTGTAAAACCTTTATGAAATTTTACAGAATATAGGCAGAAACTTTTTTATGACCAAAAGAGTATCCAGAGCATGATTATGAAAATTTACTTTTAATTTTTCCGCATTTTACTGAAAAGAACATTGTTTCTATTAGTTAACAAGTAGACACCGTTTGTTACGCATCAATTACTTTGTCAAAACTTCAATGAATTTTATGTAAAAATGTTAACACCACTTGTACAAATTTTTTTTGCACCAGATGCGCATTTTGACAATTAATGTCTCATCTGTAATGCTCGAGGCCGAAATATTTGAAAATCCAAAACCTAATAAAAACATTGCAAGAGCTGATCAAAATAAAACGTACCTAAAGTATAGCCAATTCTGAACAAAGAATCAGAGCTTTGCATGGGGGAGATATATTCCTTTATTTTCAAATGATTTCAAGACTTTTATAACAGTCAGCAAATTTCAGTCTAAAAATTAGATTTTTTTTAATTTTTCAGTATTTTACTATTTTTTTGGGGCAATTAACAGAAGGTCTTAGATTAAATATTTTTCACCTGCTACATTTGTAAACTTTCATAGATTGTTATGAAACTTGAGCAGAAGCTTATCTTCCAAGATCAAGAAAAAACTTTTAAAGAAAAGTTTGATTTCTTTTAAATCCTGTATTTGACTGATAAATGGATTCACTTTTTATAGTTTAACCGACAGCAGCAATCCCAGGGGAGACACAGGATTCCACAGAACCCTTTGAATATGTTCATATCACACCTGACCATCTATGAAAATTTATTATTGCATGTACTTGTCCATTAATGAAATTTGCGCATAAAAGGGGAGAAAACTAGATTAAGTCATAATAATCAAAAGAACGACACCATTGAAAATGTAGACTTGCTTTTTTTATATTTCGAAAGGTTTGGATCTTTGGTTGATTGATTGTTTTACCCAACATCTCCTTTTAAAACATATTTCATAGTAACAACTATTGGCCATTAGATTCCAAATCAACACACTGAATAAATTATACATGAAAAAAATCAAGAAATTAGACTTTAAAGTATGTTGCTATTGATGAGTTTTAATGACAGAAATAGTATCTCTCTCTCAATAAATCCTTAGCTTCCGTCGGACCACTGCTGGGAGGTTCCTGGCCCTGTACCCGCTGGGGACCCTCAAACCCCTCGCCGAGGTTCGGGCATACACTTAAAAATGGCTTAGCTACGCCACTGATCGTTGATGCAGAACTTTAAACAGAATGTTAATAAAATCTGAAGATAGCAACAGATTGGATGTGAATAATAAATATAACAGTTTTATATGTTTTCAAAAACTATGCTATTAACCAGCTTCTTCACAGAAAGGCTTGATGATGACATTCTACTAATAAAGCATCAACTCTGATGTAAAAATAAAGATGGAATCAGTTTTTGACAAATATGGAGCGGAAACTTTTTTCCATTCTGTAGCATCGAAAATACAGCAAACAACTTTCCATTGAACTGAGTTTTCAAGACTTTTGTGAATTTATCCTTCTTTGGTCTTTTTCCAACTATGATTTTTTTTATTTTTTTGTCTGTACTTCTGTTGCCATGGTAATGATAGGATTATAACCTTCTAGAACTTCACTGACCTTTGTAGGAAATTGGCAAGTAAACTACCCCAGCAGCCATCTGCAGAAAAACTATACTGAAATATAATTAAAAAACTTTTAAATATAATATATTTAGCAATGAAGCATTGTTTGACACTATTTGTCTATCATTTATTAATAGGAATATATACAGTATCGAGGATATGGTCACATGGCATGGTAGTTAAGCATGAGGACAGGTTTTGATTTAGATTGTATTAATCTTGTACAATTGGAATTTCTAGGTTTTATTAAAAAAAAATCTAGATAGCTCCAGATTGTAAATCAGATCTATAGTTATCTATGGAAATTATTAGTTTTTAAGCCATTTTTTTATAAATCAGCAACCCCCAATCTGGGATTAAGATCTATTATTCATCAGTGTGAAGTAACCTTGGAGCAGCCTGATGTAAGCTATCGGTAGCCACCTCGCAATGGTTCTCAACAGTGCACAGCTAGTCATTTAACAAAAACCAACAACAAAAAATAACCATATTGTCGAATTTTTAGACTTACCAGTATAAGTTCAAATTTGCTATATTCAAACAGGGGCCTCGTTGGCCGAGTGGTCTTAGTAGTCCAATTACTGTTTCACTAGCCTGTCAACACTGAGTTTGTGAGTATGAAATCTTGCACACAGCAGGTGCTTGTCTCCAATCTTAATTGACTAGAATTGTCAGTTTTCCTACCGAAGGTATGTTGTTCTCCCTGGGCACTCCGGCTCCCTCCACCAATAAAAACTGACTGCAACAAAATAGCACAATAGTGCTGAAAGTGGCATTAATTACCAATCAATCAATCAATCATTCTATATTTAAAATTCCTCAGATTTGAAAATGTCAATGTATTTATTGTATTTTTACAACACATAGTAAGTACGTGTATCACTTCTGACTTCTTATTTTTATAACAAAATATAACTTGTTAAACTGAAAAGCAACAAGAAAATCTGGATGAGATATACAGATTTCTTCTCTTTATAGTTATCATAATACAGCGTAGTTAGACTCACCTGGGTACTAGAACTTCCTATAAGAATCATCTTTGGCCATACATTCTTCAGGTGAGACATTTTTTTTCTACTCATTTCTTAGAAATCTCTATAAAGGGATACCCACACAGTCAAGACAGTGTACAGGAAATACAGGCCTTGAGGTTCAGGATTTTTTTTATCTGGTCCTTGATTGTATCTACATGTGAAAGTTTTATGTATAAATACTGTAGGTAGTGTGGAAGATAAACCTCCAGAGTACAAACATGAAAAGATTGGAAGTCCATAACAAAGACATGGAAATGAAAGCTGATACACTGCTCAGAAATATCAGTTATGCAAGGGGCAAAATATTATCTAAGAACAATGCTTAACCATTCAACATCAATTAGAGGAGTACTTGAACAATGATGACATATACAAATATGGCAAGTCTAGATTTGGAAAGGCATTGAACATTCTAGTTGACATGTACAAGATCTCAATGGAACATGTGGGTACAAGAATTAAGCTCGCTTAATAAAATAGAACATATACTGTGGATTCATTTATTTTCGTGGGTATCAATTTTCGTGGATTGAGGAACTCTTGCATTTTCGTGGATATTTGATTTCGTGGTTTTGCCAATCTCTACATACAAAGCCAAATTAACATTGGTAATTCGTTGAACATTTGAATTCGTGGTTCACCTGTACCCACGAAACCCACGAAAATTGGTATCCAACGAATAATAATGAATCCACAGTAATTCTGGTACAGATTTTATTTTGTTGAGAGTTCAATGTACTTGTGTGTTTGTTATCTTGTATACCATTTTTTAAATACAGATAACAGATATAAGAAGATGTGGTATGAGTGCCAATGAGACAACTCTCCATCCAAGTCACAATTTATAAAAGTAAACCATTATACATGTAGGTCAAAGTACGGTCTTCAACATGGAGCCTTGGCTCACACCGCACAGCAAGCTATAAAGGGCCCCAAAAATTACTAGTGTAAAACCTTTCAAACGGGAAAAACAACGGTCTAATCTATATGAAAAACGAGAAACGAGAAACACTTATGAACCACATCAACAAATGACAACCACTGAACATCAGGTTCCTGACTTAGGAAGATGCAAACAATTGCACTGAGTTTAAACGTTTTAATAGTACCAAACCTTCACCCTTATCTGAAACAATAGTATAACATCACAACATAGAAAGACACACTATAAAATATCAATTGAAATGGCTTAACTCAATCAAAAGACATATTAACACAAGTGAACATACACTGAAGCCCTTTTTCTGTAGTACTGATTTTAACGTTTTATAGGACCTTAAACTGAACACGATATATCGAATGGTTGAGATTTAAAAAAAAATAGTTTAACCCTGTCATATGTTCATATGCATGACACAAATCAGTAACCTTGTCATTGGTTGTCTTTTGACACATTTCTTTATAAAAAAATAATTTTCTGAGTTACCTCCCCTGATATAAGTTTTAAATTTAAATTTTTAATTAATTCCTGGATCAAATTTGCTTATTTCAGTAAATATTCAGACCAATAATTTTAAGCTATTCACAATAAAAAATTAATTTAGATCCCGATCTACCTTAATATCCAGTGGCAAATATATCATGCATATGGAGCCTGATTTTTTTAAGTGGAATAATATTCATGTTCACCTCAGTTACTGGGATGGCTTATTTTTCTATATAGTTTGTTGTAAACATAAAATAAGAACAACTTCAAACTTGTGATGATCCTATCATATAGTGAATTGTCAGTAATTTGTCTAAAAGTGACTACATAAACTCAAAAAGGGGGGTGTCTAATTTGTAATGGGAGACAACTCTTAATTGTTTATCAATTATATATCTCATATTTTGTCTTTTCATCTTTAATAATGATCGTTTTGTTATCAATATTTGTATGTATACACGAGTCCTTTATTGGAATACACTATTAATATTACTTTTATGGTTTTATACAAACAAAAAATCCCGCCACAAATAGTATGAAATACGAGCACCTGCTTCAGTGCTTGTCGGTGACGTCATTTATAATAAATAATGACAGCGTTACGTGAAGTCAGTATGACTTTCTCTACTCAAATCCCCCACGTTGCTGTTTACCTGAGTCAATGAATCGCCGAAAAGAAGAAGCTTGGGCCATGTGCTGCTTGACATCCTACTTTTTGACATCACATCTGCATCTTCTTTGATCCGTTGTTGATGAATGTGGTGCTGCACAGGTGGAATTTTATCAAAGGAAAAATATTACAAAGTACATAACCCAATTTCAGATAATTCGCAGGGAAATTGTTTTTTTATACATATAAAAGTAACAACAAATGACAAATACACTAATATTTAGTGCAGACGATGTAAACAAAAATGGCCAATGTTTGCAGACGGATTTGTTCTCGTCTTGGACAAAGATTGGTGTTAAACCCATCGTCTAGAAATTTTGCCACAAGTCTAAGATGTTTTGATAATAAGGAGCATATATACACTTCTGAACACGATGAACTTCGAGCTACGTTAAGAAAGGTAACAAAAACTGACTTTAAAATAAACATGGACTTTGGTCATACAGAGAAGTTATTTACATAACACAAATTGCTCAGAAAAAAAAAGTGACAATGTTTCCAATATAATTAAAATACTTTCGTAATATAACAGTACTTTCAAAATATTTATACTGCATCATTCAGTGCATAGAATAGAATAGAATAGAATATTTTTATTTCCCAAATTACAGGGCCCATAAAGGGCATAAAATCAGATACAATTGATTTACATAATTGGTAACAACAACAATAATAGTCACTTGAAAATATATATTTAGTAAATTAGCATTGGTCAGAATCAGAGCCAAAAACCACATATATATTGTGAATAAAAGAATAAAATTACATTATATGCATTCATTCTCAAATCATTTACTTGACTTAGTGTCAATATGCATACCCAATCTCCTTAATTCAAAACAGTCACAAATATAACAGCCCAGTTTTTCCATAAGAGTTACATTTTCTTGAGTCAAGAGTCATAAAAATTTAGAAGATTTATTTAAATTTTACAAATTATAATTGTCAGATATGTATTGAAAAAAGGTCTTCCCTTTGAGTATCATAAAGAGGACATTCTAACAAAAAATAAAGCTCATCTTCAACTTTACCAAGTGAGCAATTTGAACAAAGACGCTCAGATCTTTCTATATATTTTTTTGAATATCTGTCTGTCTCAATTTTTAAAGAGTGAGCACTTATTCTTAATTTACAAATTGACTGTCTTTTTTTAAAATCTTGTAGTTCTAAATATTTTTCTTTTTTAAAACAATTTTTTTATAGAAAAATAAGTACCAAGCTTCCCTTTTTCAGAGTTAATTGTTTGATACTTCAGTCTATTCCAAAATGTTAAATAACTTTCACATAGTTTATTTTTAACATAATGACATAAAGAGCCAATTGATTGGTCAAAATTTGGTAAATCAATCTCTCTCTGAATATAATCTATACTAGAGTACCATGTATTTACATTAGAAATATGTAATTGTTTACAACATATGAATGCATCAAATAATAATCCTTCTTTCAAACCTTCCAGTCTATGACAATATTTTAACATTGATTAAATTATAGTAAAATAAATAGGAAATCTACCAAGCTCTGACATCACAGCTATGTTACTGGACTTTCTGTTTACACCAAGAATATATTTCATTGATTCATAATAATCATTATCTTTTTTACATGCAGCTGAATCAGTACGAAACATTCCCCATATTTCACTGCCATATAATAGTATGGGTTTAATTGTATGATCATAAAGATGTAAAAAGTGCATATTTTCACCACAAAACTCCGAAATCTTGGTCACCAAATCCATGTTAAAGGTCTTACATATGTATGTACACAGTCGCTTGAATTTTAGTGAAAAAGATATGAAAAAAAAGTTTTAAAAGTAGTGATATATATATAATATAGGGGTATATATCACTATTTTTTTTTTTTTTTTTTTTCATATTTTTATCACTAAAATTCAAGCGACTGCGGTATATGTAACATAAATATACCATTACAAAAAAAAACAACCGATTAAATTGTAAATGTGTTCATAAAACCCTAAAAAATATGCTAGGTCTTTTCACCGCCGAACACCATCGCACTCCACCAAACACCACCGAACACTGCCGAACATCCCAAAATAATCTAAAACTATGAAAAAAATATTTTATTATGTTATCTTATCTATTTCACATATTTAGATAAAAGGTTAACAAATAAAAAGGAAACGAGACCAATTGATAACACCCAAAAGAGTAGAAGAGTCATCAACACTGCAAAACACTGCTGAACACCCATAATTATACTTTTTTATCCTTTTTTTTTAATTTATTTTAACTTTTGTTGTAATTAAGTAAAAAGATTAACAAATAAAAGGAAATAAGACTGAATTGTTAACATCGTACAGAAATAGAGAGTAACCGACCACACTGAACACCGTAAAACACCACTGAACACAAGAAAAAACATTTTTTTAATTTTTTTTGCTACTTATTTTGTCTACTGGTTATAATTTAGTAAAGAGTTTCAACAAGTGTTATAGAAGGTTTGATAGGTTTAATAATGAAGTAATTATGATAAGATATGAATCACACTAGTGTTTCCACTTTCTGTTGTTTAACCTGTTTGAGAGAAGAAGTAGACTCAGCCTACTCTTTTTCATCTTGTTTACTCCATCTCAATTTGGTAATTATATTTACTTAAACAGCAAAACTGTTTTTTTCGTTATTTTCAAAATTGTATGCAGATTAGTATATTTGTTAAAAGCGATTAACCATGAAAAGCGAACAAGACGTTAATCTGATTATCACCGACGTGTGTCAAGCTGTATTTCCTTCCAACTTTCATTTTACACATTCTTTTGTGGATATCATTCATTCAAACTTAAGTTATTATGTTGAGATCATTGAAATGATTATTCTTATTTATTTCTGAGTTAACTTCAAACTCGAGCACAAATCATTATTGTTAATTGCGATTAATCAAGATTGGGAATTATCACGTTTAATCTGTTTATCTAAGACATGTGTCAAGATATCATGAATATTTTATGTACAAATTACATTATAATTTTCGCATTTTTTCTACAAGACTTCTCTGTACTAAACATTTGAGGGACAATCTGAAACATAACCTCCAGATCAAAATTGGAGTAGATGATAAAGAAAGGACCAAGTTGATGGATGTCATTTTTGGTACAGGAGGGGTTGTAAATGCTGACAACACAATAGACTTTGAAGAAATCTCTAGTACTTCAAGAATGAAATTGAACAATATCCAAAGTTTCAAGAGTACTTTTTGAAAAACTTTTAAGCCGAGAATTCAAGAGTGCGTTAACGTGCCTCAGCACACCAATAAAGACAATTCTCCAAAACTTTGGACTAATAACAATGCTGAAAGTATTAATCACGTCTTTAAAACTGCCATAAAATGGAAACCACAGTCAACGCCAGACTTGATAAGAAAATTGTATGACTGTGTCCTCGCACAATTCTTTCAACTGAGAGGTGCCCTCCATGGACATGGGGACATTGTGTTAAAACCCAGTGAGGTTCATTATCTGGTTCCAGATCAGTTGTGGAGATGTAAGTCGAATGATGAGAAGATAGACATATTCCAAAAGTACTTGGTTGACCAAAAAAGGAAGAGAAAAATAGAGATGATAAGTTCTTCTGATGGAAAGTTTTCAGTGGTCAACAAAGCTAAATCAATCGCCAAAAAGCCATGCCAAAGAAAACGCCCGACAAATGAAAAGACAGCCAAGAGATGAACTACAGAATGACAAAACAGACCCTAAAATGACATAAATATATATATTGAACAAAATAAAAAAAGAATTCATCTGCCCAGAACCAAAAAAATACCTTAAATAATTATATTGAAATAGACATTGAATCATATGTATTTGATTCACAGAAACAAGAACATAATAAATAGACTTTCACAAACGCTGTGACACGTATTCTCCGTTTAATTATTCTTTGAAATTGCGATAAAAAATCAACAAATTCAACTGTTTTCTGCTTTAATTGACACACATTATTGTTTTTTTCATAGTTTTAATTCACTTTTGGGGTGTTCGGCGGTGAAAAGACCTTCCCCTTAAAATATACTCTAGAGAACAGAAGATTGTGAATATTTTGCTTTTTTATATGTCATGAAATTTTAAAAATCAAATTTTAAATATTAAAATGTTAAATGTACAAACAATTATTTTTTTTTTAACAAATAAATATTTATTTGCCAAACACAGTGCTCAGAATGAACCAGATAATCTCAATCCTAATTTTCAAACATAATATAAAAAATGAAATAAATAAACAAACCCAGGATTCTTTAAGAAATACAGATTCCGAATGGAGATTCATTTATTGTATTATAAACCATGACCGAGCCACAATTTCAGAAATCATTTTTGTCGAGCCTGCGACTTTTGTCGCAGAAAGCTTGACATAGGGATAGTGATCCGGCGGCGGCGGCGTTAGCTAACTTCTTAAAAGCTTTATATTTTAGAAGGTGGAAGATCTGGATGCTTCATACTTTGTATATGGATGCCCCATGTTACGACCTTTCCGTCAGTCACATGTCCAATGTCCTTGACCTCATTTTCATGGCTCAGTGACTACTTGAAAAAAAAGTTGAGATTTTTTGTAATGTTAAATTCTCTCTTATTATAAGTAATAGGATAACTATATTTGGTATGTGCGTACCTTGCAAGGTCCTCATGCCCGTCAGACAGATTTCACTTGACCTCGACCTCATTTCATGGATCAGTGAACAAGGTTAAGTCTTGGTGGTCAAGTCCATATCTCAGATACTATAAGCAGTAGGTCTAGTATATTCGGCGTATGGAAGGACTGTAAGGTGTACATGTCCAACTGGCAGGTGTCATCTGACCTTGACCTCATTTTCATGGTTCAGTGGTTATAGTTAAGTTTTTGTGTTTTGGTCTGTTTTTCTTATACTGTATGCAATAGGTCTACTATATTTTGTGTATGGAATGATTGTAAGGTGTACATGTCTAGCTGGCAGGTGTCATCTGACCTTGATCTCATTTTCATGGTTCAGTGGTTATAGTTAAGTTTTTGTGTTTTGGTCTGTTTTTCTTATACTGTATGCAATAGGTCTACTATATTTGGTGTATGGGATGATTGTAAGGTGTAAATGTCTAGCTGGCAGGTGTCATCTGAACTTGACCTCATTTTCATGGTTCAGTGGTTATAGTTAAGTTTTTTGTTTTGGTCTTTTTTTCTAATACTGTATGCAATAGGTCTACTATATTTGGTGTATGGAATGATTGTAAGGTGTACATGTCTAGCTGGCAGGTGTCATCTGACCTTGACCTCATTTTCATGGTTAAGTGGTCAAAGTTAAGTTTTTGAGTTTTGGTCTTTTTTTCTAAAACTATATGCAATAGTTCAACAATATTTGGTGTATGGAAATATTTTATGATCTATATGTCAGTCACACAGGTTTTATTTGACCTTGCACTCATTTTCAAGGTTCATTGCTCAGTGTTAAATTTTTGTGTTTTGGTCTGTTTTTCTTAAACTATAAGCAATAGGTCAACTATAGTTGTTGTATGGAAGAATTGTTAGCTGTACATGCCTGCCTAGCATGGTTCATCTGATCTTGACCTCGTTTTCATGGTTCATTGGTCAATGTTTAGTTTACTTGGTTAATGTTAAGTTTATGTGACAGTTGTAATAAAGCTTTATATTTAGGACTATCAGCATAATATGAATGATTAGTAAAGAAGGCGAGACATTTCAGCGTGTGCACTCTTGTTAATTTTTGACTTGAATTGTTGTTTGTTTCTGATATAAGGTATGCCCATTTTTTCTTATCCTCTTATATTAGAAAATGACAGCACTGATGTAACTTCAGTGTATGTAATACAGGATCAAATAACACAAACAAATATATAAGGAAATCAATCAATCAATATATCACAAATGAATATACAGTCAAGACTATTTGACTGCTCAAATAGCATAGCTGCAGTATAAAAATCTTTCTAGGTTTACTTATATTTAAATTGGAAACATATAATGGAATCGGTTGATTTGTATTGCAGTCATTAAAAATTCTGTACCTGTATAAATTGAACACATAAAATAAATATATACTATGTAATATTATAATTATGCAGTATCATTACTCTGAAGTAAATTTGCTCAAATATTACTTCAGAGCAGATTTCTAACAACAGTCATGGGGTATTATAACTCAATAGTGCCCTTTCTTTTACCACTTTCTTATGTAGGGTGGAAATCCACCAGACCTGTAATATAGTTCAGTTTCCTCAGTGATAGAAATATTAATGTCAGAACAACTTTATGTTCTACATTTTTCCTTTCAGATTATTGATAAGGACATCAATCCTTATGTAGATGAATGGGAAGCTGAGGGAATTTTTCCAGCACATAAAGTCTTCAAGACACTCGGAGATGCTGGTATTTTAGGTGTATCAAAACCTACAGGTATGAATAAATAGATATGTGTGAATAAATCTTGCCACAGTATGCCTTAAAGGGGCATTAGCTGTCAAATTCATGTGCACAGATTTGACTCAATTTCTTATATTTGATGTATAACATACTAAAACATATATCCAAATTACAAAAAGTAAAAAATAAACATATAACAATGCATGGACTCTATAATAAATATCAGCATTTGTGTGTATTTTAGTTTAGACGCCATCTAATTAACCACCAAGAAGACCTCCGAAGACTGCCGACGATCTTATAACCGATATAAATATAAATGTAAATATAAATAGATAGCGACCACGTGCAATTGGATTTTTCTAGGTCTGTTTGATTTCATGGTTTAGGTTAAAAAATATGTTAATCATCGTTTATACCTGTATAAGAATGAATTTTTGTGGATTGAATCAGTCAGTGAAATGGTTCACCCTTGTTTCACTTTCAATGTTGACATTCTTTTCCTTTTAATATCTGAGCATGCCTATTACATATTGAACCCATCTCCAGCTAAGGGGTTATTTCAAAATTCCACTTTTATTGATACTTGAAAGAAAAAGAATTGTATTTTAAATTTTTGTCTAACTCTTAGCTAATGCCCCTTTAACAGCAGTTCAATATCTAAGTATTCAATACTATATTTTGGTAGGACCAGCCCAGAGATGTTATCTATGCCATACTCAATTGAGGCAAGCTTTATCATAAAACCAAAAAGTACAAGAAAATTATAGAACAGGACATACATTTAAAATCACTCATTTATATGATAAGTTCCCGTATAATTTCAAACTCCCAATTCCAAATAGGTGACATATTTTAAAAAAAAAACCAATAATTCATCATCAACAGTTAAAGCAAAATATGGAGAGGAAAAAACGCTGCTGAAACATGAAACAGTTAAAGCACAATAGAAAATCATTAATTTGAATTACTGGTAAAGTGTAATGGAAGACAAATGAATAAAAGGAGATGTTGGTAAATGTCCTTGAGAAGTCAACCCAATTACACAAATCTGTGTGTCAACACAAGTCTTCATTAAGGTGTCTATAGAGTATGTAAAAGCAGTAAATTCCCCTGAGTCTGTCAGTAAAATCATATTAAAATCCATTAACTGGGCTTCTTATTCACTATACTTTGACTGTTTGACAAACTAATATATTTAAGACATAACTAGTAATCACATAAAACAGTTTCATGTGTCCATATAGTTGCTTTTATCCTGCAATCAGCTAACTATTGTACAAATAACAGGTACACAAATAAATTTTTGCTTTATTTGTACTTGTACAAATAAAGTCTCCTGTTACCCCGCTTCCATGTTGAGCAAGCGGTAATGTGAACATTTCTTTTTGTGTACCAGTTCATTTTGGGGTCCTCTTCGCGGTCCGCGTTTAAACTATGTCGATTTGAGACAATGATTTAGATTTAAACAACTAAAGTTTCAAGTGTTGGGTGTAAATTTCAGGATAAAAACAATATACGTACATTGTCGGAAAATATCAAATGTATTTGTACTCGCTGCGAAACAGGAGAAAAGCTCGGCGAGCCTCGCTTTTCGTCCTGTTTCTAAAGCTCATACAAATACATTTTATACTTTCCGACAATGTACATATATTGTATATATATTTTTTAGAATATGGAGGTCTGGGTTTGGATTATTCTTACAGCTGTGCTATGGCAGAAGAATTGGGTAACATTAACTGTGGGGCTTTACCCATGGCTATAGGTGTCCAAAGTGATATGGCAACTCCTGCTTTGGCTAGGTAAGTAGGTTATTAATCATGTTGTCAAATTTGCAGTTATTATTTAATCAACAGAAATTTTATGGTAAAATTACTTTAAATAAAACATACAATTTTTATTGACTAACATTTAATATTCTTCAATACATAATAATCCTTGTATGTAGGGGACAGATATAACAAGACAAAAAATACAACCAGTTAAGATTCATAAATCGGTGAGTATAAAAAGAAAGTGTTGAGGTACTTATTGTTTTAAATGAAGAGAAATGGTTGATTATAAATTTTATCATCAATATCAGTTTGAAAAAAAAAGCTAGCTCAAAAGATGCATTGATGACTTGTAAAAGACCTATTATGCTACCTGGTATTTTAGGCATGTTTATAATTGTCACTGTTCAAAATTTATTTAACATATTTATGGTCTTGTTGCATGAGACCATTAATATAATTCTCATATTTGTTACTGTAAATATGCTGCAAGTCATATATTGCTTTCTTTTATGATTTTGACCTTTAAATATACACTGGATTCATTTATTTATTCACTCATTTAGTATTAAGAAAACAAGCCTATAGAAAATTTGGACTTCATTGAACATTTAAATTTGGGTTTACCTATATCCATGAAATCCACGAAAATTGGTACCCCATGAATAAAATGAATCCTCAGTATACATGGAATATGAGTATTTTCTTTTCAAAATTTTGAAAAAAAATTCCTTGTATCAAAAAGCACATTGTATATATTAAGTGGATTTGAAATGATGCTGATTGAAGAAGAAATGCAAAATTTACATCCATTACAGATTTGGAAGTGATAAATTAAAGAAAGAATATCTTGCACCTTCTATTAGTGGTGATTTAGTTGCATGTCTTGGAGTTAGTGAAGTTGGCTCAGGATCAGATGTAGCAAGTAAGGTTAATTTTGCCATGGTGTTTTCTTGAGATTGTAAAGTAACATTAAGGATAGGTTGGGACATTTTTATAAAGGGAAAATGGTAATCAGATCAATATCAGATCAATTTGAAAAAAATTAATGTGGGGTGGATATAAAAGAAACAACTATCCGTTGTAAATTTAGGCATTTATAAGCAAACTATGCATAAAAGACAAATAGGTCTTTTAATGACTGTTCTCATTAAAAGTTGCTGTAAAGTCTACAGAAAAAATCAAAACAGTCATCATACATAAGCATTGATTTGAAAACTCATGAAAAAAAAACATGTTGTTTTTCCAGTTCAGAGAACAATTACAAGATGCTGAAATCTAATGGTTCCCCATATGATCATATAAATTTCATGTCTAATACAAAATATTTTAGATTTTAAAAGAAGCCAAAAGAGGCTGAACAGAATGTCTGGTTTTCAAATTCTTAATATTTTTACCTGAAATTGAACAAGACTTAACTGCATCTTAAGGACTAGCAATAAAAAAAAATGATATAAGTTTAGGCTGAATTAAAGTAAGATTAAGAAGCTGGTGACTGGAAAAACGTAGCATTTTTTTTCTTTTTTATCTAGTAGATGAATGAATTATTAGCAGAATTATATATTGATTTGTGAACAAGAACTGACTTGAAGGGGTTCCTAAATTTATTTTGTTTAAAGGCACGATAGAAATGAAAAAAAGTCTTTAACCTTCTACATGAAGCTAAATTGCCATTTCTTTAAATTCTAGGTCTTAAAACAACTGCTGTGAAGAAGAATGGTGATCTTATTATAAATGGTGGTAAAATGTGGACAACTAATGGAACACAAGCAGACTGGATGTGTCTGCTAGCTAATACATCAGAGGGCAAACCTCATCAAAATAAGTCTCTTATTTGTTTACCAATGAATTTACCAGGTGAACTAAGATTCTTCTTCTACTTCTACCATAGCATATATGTGACCAGCCATACCATTTTCAGGCTTATGGAGGTACCAGGGTCAAAATGAGTTTTTTGCATTTTTTTGAAGTTAACATAGATTCAAAACACCCTGACAAGTTATTTTGCTAGATTCTTCAAAATAACAGAATAATGGTCATTTTTGTTATTTTTTATTTTAATTTTTATGCCCCGCCGTAGCGGTGGGGGCATTAAGTTTTACCCTTGTCCGTCTGTACGTACGTAAGTCCCAAAATTGGTTTCCGTTCTCTAACTTGAGTTTGCCTCAACCAAATGTTATGAAACTTATACACAATGCTTATTACCACAAAACACAGATCAAGTTTGAATTTTGGTGGCGTCACTTTAACTGTTCTAGAGTTATGCCCCTTTATAAATGGAAAAATTGCAAAATATTTAGTTTCCGTTCTCTAACTTAAGTTTGCCTCAACCAAATATTATGAAACTTATACACAATGCTTATTACCACAAAACACAGATCAAGTTTGAATTTTTGTGGCATCACTTTAAACGTTCTAGAGTTGTGGCCCTTTATAAATGGAAAAATTGCAAAATTTTTATTTTCTTCTAAATATCAAGTAATTTTTTAAATTGCTGAATTTTTCGTTTCCGTTCTCTAACTTTAGTTTGTCTCAACCAAATGTTATAAAACTTATACACAACCGTTCTAGAGTTATGCGTGTTTACAAATAGAAAAATTGCTGAATTTTTAGTTTCTGTTCTCTACTTAAGTTAGCCTCAACCAAATGTTATGAGACTTACACACAATGCTTATTACCACAAAACTCAGATCAAGTTCAAATTTGGGTAGTGTCACTTTTACTGTTCTTCAGTTATGTCCCTTTATAACTATATGATATGCATGTGGGGCATCATCTGTGTCCACATTTATTTTCTTCAATTTTTCACATGTATGTTCTTCTTTTACAGTTGCTATGCTATATTGTGTTTTTATTCGCCCGTCAAATTTTTGACGGGACGTATTATGTTATACAAATGTCCGGCGTCCGTCCGTCTGTCTGTCTGTCTGTCCGTCTGTCCGTCTGTCTGTCCGGCGTAAACATGTCGCACCGTAACTTGAGAATGACTTATCCAAATTTCATGAAACTTAACATAGTTGTTTCTTATGATGGTCAAACGATCTGTATACTTTTTGGTGAAAATAAGATTAAAACTTTTTGAGTTACGGGACTTAGTAACTAAAACAGGTGTGTGTTTTTTTTCACATGTCGCGCCGTATCTCAAAAACAATTTATGATTATTGCTTAAAACTTTACACACTTCTTAGTTATATTAATCTTAAGATCTGTATACTTTTTGGTGATGATTCAAAATTTTATTTTTGAGTTATTGAGTATTTTGTTAAAAAGGGGGAGGGGTTTTTCACATGTCGCGCCATATCTCAAAAACAGTTTATGATTATTGCTTTAAACTTTACACACTTCTTAGTTATATTAACCTTAAGATCTGTATACTTTTTGGTTTTGATTCAAAATTTTATTTTTGAGTTATTGAGTATTTTGTAAAAAAAGGGGGAGGGGTTTTTCACATGTCGCGCCATATCTCAAAAATGATTTATGGTTATTGCTTAAAATTTTACACACTTCTTAGTTATATTAATCTAAAGATCTGTATACTTTTTGGTTTTGATTCAAAATTTTATTTTATAGATATTGAGTTTTTTTTTAAAAGGGGTGTTTTCACATGTCGCGCCGTATCTCAAAAACGATTTATGATTATTGCTTAAAATTTTACACACTTCTTAGTTATATTAATCTAAAGATCTGTATACTTTTTGGTTTTGATTCAAAATTTTATTTTATAGATATTGAGTTTTTTGTAAAAAAAAAAAAGGGGGTTTTCGCATGTCACGCCGTATGTCAGAAACTATTTATGCTTATTGCATAAAAATTCACACACAAGACGACGGGCGTATCATGCGCTCATGGCGCAGCTGTTTATTTTAAGAGGGGTTGGGGGGTGGGGGGGATAGTTTTTTTTAATTAATCAAAATGTAATTGTAGCTTTGATAACTAAATAACTGAAGATTTTTATGCCCCTGCCGTAGCGGAGGGGGCATTAAGATTTACCCTTGTCCGTCTGTACGTCCCAAAGTTGGTTTCCGTTCTCCAACTTTAGTTTGCCTCAACCAAATGTTATGAAACTTATACACAATGCTTATTACCACAAAACACAGATCAAGTTTGAATTTTGGTGGCGTCACTTAAACCGTTGTAGAGTTATGCCCCTTTACAAATGGAAAAATTGCTGAATTTTTCGTTTCCGTTCTCTAACTTTAGTTTGCCTCAACCAAATGTTATGAAACTTATACACAATGTTTATTACCACAAAATACAGATCAAGTTTGAATTTGGTGGTGTCACTTTAACCGTTCTAGAGTTATGCGCCTTAACAAAAGGAAAAATTGCTGAATTTTTCGTTTCCGTTCTATAACTTAAGTTAGCCTCAACCAAATGGTATGAAACTTATACACAATGCTTATTACCACAAAATACAGATCAAGTTTGATTTTTGGTGTTGTCACTTTTACTGTTCTAGAGTTATGCTCCTTTACAAAAATAAAAATTGCTGAATTTTTCGTTTCCGCTATGAAACTTAAGTTTGCCTCAACCAAATGTTATGAAACTTATACACAATACTTATTACTACAAAATTCAGATCAATAACAAATTTGGGTAGCGTCACTTTTACCGTTCTTCAGTTATGTCCCTTTATAACTTTATATGATATGCAAGTGTAACAGTGGTTTGATTCCGCCAGTGTACTTTATTCGGAGGAAGAAAATCACCAGTGATTTTTATCCACCAACAAAAATTCACTAAGTTTTTCTATCCGGGTCCAGTGTAAAACATCCACCAGTCATTATATGGTTTTAAAAAAGAGTTTTTTGGAAGGGAAAATATATATAAAATGCGGCTTAGTAGTTTTAGTGTATTTGAAACTTGCATAGTTGATTTATGTAAAAAGTGGAGAGTTTTCATCCAAGGAATGTTCACACTAGTGTTTTTGTACCGGAATGATTGCACTAGTTATTTTATACCGGGATTAATTACACTAGTGCTTTAGAATCATACATTGATGAAGTGATTAATACTCAGTTTGAACACACGATAACACAATAATTCTTATTAACGAATAAGATTTAACACGGTAATTTTTCTATGCAAATCCATAAAATCATATGCTTTTAAATTGTCACTAATTGTAATATTCTTATTTATTGGATTGCCGAAGTTTTTCTGTGTATTTGCTTTTCGGTCGACTTAGATATAAAATCATATCTTCTATGTCGATATCAAAGGATAATTGAAACTATAGTAAGAACAAATCTGCTCTTTACATTTGTTTTATATCAAGTTCAATGTCCTGATCATTGATAAAGTATTTTGAGTTATAAAATTATCCTCCTCATCATCATCAATATTATTTACTGGATTGACTCTGGTTAATTAAACTGGTTCTTTGAAAATCATTCTATTTTAACCCATTTATTTATGTAAACAATAAACCGATCTAATATAAACAAAACAACGATATCAAGATCGACGCTTTCACAATATTTACATCCAATATTCTCTAGGGAAAAACAGTTACTCGGAATAAATACACGGCGGAATGAAAGTACGCTTACACAAGCAGGGGCATCATCTGTGTCCCATGGACACATTCCCAATTTATTTTAATTCGGTTGCCAAAGCAACAATGTACCGGAATCTGCAATCAAAATAATAATGACTTTAACATTTTTCTTTCTTTCGTAAGGAAAACTACATCAATGCTAAGAGAATACCAAGATATATAATAAACCATCAAGGAACTGTGTATCATTTAATATTCTTTCTAATGTTCATCTATTATCTTATTGTGAATACATTTTGTACATGTATCCTGACAAAGTGATTAAATATGATCTGTAAATGCAGAGTAAGATGAAAAATCAAACAGCATGATCAATAGTATTGGGACATGTAGGTAAAAGGGATGTAAGGAAACTGTCAACAACACATACATCTTGTTTACATAGTTCTAAGACAGTCATAGATAAAACAAAATCAAACAAGGAATAAACATGGGATGAGACGGGGTCCTAATGGGCAGGTATATTCTTGCTTGATTTACATGTACCTGTATAATGTTTATATTTTCCCTTACAATGTGAAACAATGAGATTTACTCCAAAAACTTGGTGTCCATGCTGCAATCTAATTCGGGAAAGTTAAAAATTTTCAGTACTATATTTTTCGAAATAATATCTCGCATTGGTGAAATAATTTAAACCATTTTGTATAATCGAAAACATATTAATGATTCAGGAGAAAGTGATTTACGCAATGAAATCTAAAAGATAAATTGTGTGAATTTAGAAAGCAATTCTAAACGGGATTTTAACCTACATTATCAATTTTATGTAAAAAATCTACTTGTTTTGTATATCTTAATATAAATTTCAAATTTCCTCAAGTCATGAAAAAATTAAACTTTATTTTACCACATGATATAATTGGACATTCAATAACAGGTGCCCAGATTATGTTACATGATTTTACATCGAAGTTTTCTCATTATGATGTTTACCGCCATAAGCCTGGAAATGTCATGGTGGGCCACATATGAGATAACAACCTGAAAACACAACTTAAAAAAAAAATCAACATCTTAAGGTCACAATATGATTTTCTAGGATGGACAGAGTGCAAACAATATACATATATAAAAAGCTCAATCTCCAAGAGTCTAAGCTAAGTTGTGAATGACACTGACAAGTTGGTAGGGGATTTTGTGTCTTGGATTTTTGGTAGAATCACTATCGCTAGCTCCAGATACTAAAGTATGACATCAGATGCTACTAATGCTGTGAAAAAGTAACCATTGTTACACCATATAACAAACAACACTGAAACATTAACAATATGGGAAATTGTATCAACTTGACACAATCTTTACAATTTCTAAAGCTAAATCTTAGATCTTACTTGATTTTAATATGTAATTGTCAATCCCCAATAATGTAAAAAATATTTTTATGACACTTAATGAAATATACATTTTATTTATTGCTTGGTTAATCTAGTACAATTGTATTGAATCGGGTATCTGGAAAAAGTGTGGGTAAACCTGGGACCATAATCTGATAATATACTGGGGAATTTGATGAGTTCAATCAAAATAATTTTACTTTATTTTGAATATTGTAGATGTAGGCCAAAATTTCAATACTATCTTATGTGTTAGAATCTGTTTAGCATATTTTCAACTAAAGTCATTAATTGAAATTATGCATCTGTTCTGTAAAATGTCTGTTTGTTTCAAAAACCAAATTTAATTTGTAATGCCTTCAAAGACTGATATAAATCATCATTTAATCATAAATGAACATAAAAATGATATGTGTAGACTACAAATGATTTAGGTATTTTGGCAAGAAATTAGTATAAATTCAAAGGAAATTTTTTTTTACACAAAATGTTATTACATTGAAAACTTAAAAGTAGTACAGAATCTCAAAATTAAGTTTTTATTTAAATGCATGGCTGCATCTCTTGTACATTCACCACATATTTTTCTTTCCAATGAATCATGATAAAGATCCATTGATTGATTGTTGTTGATAAACACCTAGTTACCATGATTAGGTAGAGACGTTTGTAAGCATCAATGAGACGGAACATCGACCCAATTATTTTACCCATTAGTTCAATGCAATTTTATCATAATTGAAGGGCAGATTTTTTTTCCCTGTATTTGACAGCCAAATTTCTATTACTTGTTATACTAGTACACCTCTTCGGTATTAGTTTAAACATGATTTATTGTTCAAAATGACAAATGCTTGAGTGTTTCTAGGAGAATTCTTGAAAAGTCATGACAGGCATTTAAGAGAGCTATACTAATTTGAGCATTAATAGTATTAACTTCCTGATTAAAAGGGAGAATAAATTTGGACCATTTACTCAGACAATCATCTACAATATGCATTTCAGAACAACATAAAATTTAACAGAAGTAAAATGAATAACCTTTGAATATACTACAAATTAAGGCATCTTTACACAATTTAATCTCGGTACAATATCCCATTTAAAAGATGGTAGATTTAGTAAAGGACTTCATTTGTGGGTACTTGACTAGTATCCTGTAACTGGGATCCTATTGAAATTTACAAGTAACAAATGTATCTTAACAATATGAACATCTTTGTCACATCAACAGTGAACATGTTATGACAGAGCAACTCTTTTTCACCAGAACTGATAAAACTCCCTTATCAATTTTTTAACATCTTTATTGTTTTGAATCCTTTCCAAATAAAACAGCCTTGTGTAACATTATTTTTCTCACTACATAATATAATAGGTTTATGCTTTGAAAAGTGGTATATATCTCAGACATACACTAATTTGTCGTGTTCAATTGTAGTTTCAGCTTGTTACCCTCTTTCAATTTATACTATTGTTTTATCATATTTTATAATAACAGGTAATTATTTTACATTGAAGGTATTACTATTGCTAAAAAGATAGACAAAATGGGAATGAGAAGTTCTGACACAGCACAGATATTTTTTGAAGATGTTCGAGTTCCAGCAAGTCATATTATTGGAGATGAAGGGTTGGGTTTTACATATCAGATGATACAATTCCAAGAAGAGAGAATTTTTGCAACTGCTGCTGGTATGTCTGTTTAGCATTGTCCATGGTTGTGTTATATGTGGGACCAGTCACCTAGACATTGATGTCTAATATTTGATTTTGAAACTCCCATCTTGGTCTCAAATCTTCTGCTTCACTGATACTTATAGTACAAACAGCAGTTTTCAAGAGTTCTTTGCTTCCATCTTCATATTAAAAAACATCATTTTATAAAAAGTATGTAATTGTCTAATTAGGAGTTAAATTTTTTGTTTGTAAGTGGTTCTCAAATAGATTGATTAATCTGTTCTTATCATCAATATGCAGAGAAATTCAGGTATCATTTAAGAACCTATGCTTTCAAGCAAAAGAAGTATACTCAAAATAAGGGGAACCGCAATGGTAACTAAAAGGGAATTATTAAGATCTCAATGCGTATTTGGTATGTTTTGGAGGATTTACCATACTAATAAATGACCTTTGCCATTTCTGTTTACCAGTATATTTTATTAAGAAGACAGTTAACAAATGAATTACTTGGAAGACTCAACACATTTTTTAAAGTACATGTAGTTACATCAAATGTTTTGCTTCCTTTTGATTGAAGTATTTAAAAAAAAAAAATATTTATTCTCACAATTTATATTTGAAAAACACAATGTGTAGTAGCTAAATCTTAGTTTGCATTGGTTATAAGTATGCAAATTTCTCGCTGCATTGAAGACCTGTTGGTGGCCTTCTGCTGTTGTCTGTTCTGTGGTCGGGTTGTTGTCTCTTTGACACATTCCCCATTTCCATTCTCAATTTTAAATATGTCAATTTATTAACTTGGCTACACAAATGTTATTACATTCATAATGTAACCTAGCAATTTAATAATGCAACTCCTGCTTATTAAATTTCAGCTTTAGTACCTTTGGATAATGTAATCAAACTGACTGCAGACTATGCAAGAGATAGGAAAGCCTTTGGTCAGTCCGTTTTAGACAATCAGGTTGTTCACTTCACACTAGCAGAGCTAGCTACAGAAGTTGAAAGTCTCAGATCTATGTTGTACAGAGCTGTAGGTAAGATAATTGTAGTTGTAAACTACTAGCAAGTCGTATTATTATTATTATATGCATCTAAAAATTCTTTATGACATTAAAATGTTTATTTCTAGCAGTATAAAATGAAAAATAGATGAGTAAATCTTTTTCATTGCAGTAAAAACATTTGATAGAAAGTATGCTATTAGGGGAAATAACTCCATTTTTTAAACATGAAAATTTCCCTTTTTATTTTCATCACCTTTTCTAAAGTTATATATATGTTATTCGTATGCAATGGCTACTAATTGTTCAACATAATTTATAAATCAATAGAATCACAATTAATCGACCAAAACAGCTCAGTCATTCGTCCTGTAATGGCAATAAACTGGCAAGGACTACCTGTCACTTCTATCAAGCAATATCTTTTTACAATGTTTTTGCTTTTTAAGAATCAAAAAATATATTCATGATGATCTGCAATACCTTTAAATTTCTTGTAGCCTGAAAGTATGCATTTCAAATTTCAAACTATTTATCATTTATTGTCAATTGATGGCAGTATAAGGACTTCAAAACTTTTTTTTTATCACAGAACATTATGTTGTGCAGCTTAACAAATTATCAGAATTGATATTATCGAAGGTATAATTTATCTGGAAATTACCTTCTTGGCAGTTTACCACAGAGTTTTGAACAACACTAACTGAGCTGAAAAGCTTTATATAATTAGTGCCAGATTTTAATAATTTTAAAACTTTTGATCTTAGGTCAGTATATCCAGGGACATGATGTTACAATGTTGGCATCAATGTGTAAGCTAAAGGCGGGTAGATTAAGTCGTCAAACTACAGATTCATGTCTACAGTTCTGGGGAGGAATGGGATTTACAAATGAAGTATTAGTCAGTAGATTATATAGGTAAGATTTATAACATTTAATCGGTTAGATATTCTTTTCTTGATAGTATCTAGAAAAACATGGATGTTGAATAAAAATTCAGTAAAGTATACAGTATATATGTTCCGGACCATATATGTATTTGGACCATATGTGTATGGTCATGACCATATGGGTGTATACTCATATGGTCAGACCATACATGTATGGTCCGGGTAATTAATACAATGAACATTGAAGAGATACTTCTACTGTAAATTGCATAAGTATACCCTTCAAGGTGTCACAAATTAAGAGTTGTTAAAATGAAATTTTGACTCATTTATTCATATGTTAATTTATTGTTACATATACATGATTAATGAAACAAAGTGAATACTCTGAAGTTAAAATTATAGTAGAAAAAGCATTTTTACATGATCGTAATCAATTTTTCTCTAAGAAACATAATATATCGACTTTGAAATATATAACTTCAAGAAATATTTAAATGAACCGTTAAACAATAAGTGAACTGTTTTACTCACAGGCACTTGGGGCATTGAACTTTTTTAAAATTATTATTTTGGTGGTTAAATTTGTTTTTAGTAAATTCAAATGTCTTCAATATTTCAAATAATTTTTATTGATTTAGTGTGTTTTTGCTCCTATTCATACGATCTTATAATAACAGTAGATGATATGTGCTGTCCCTCGATTCTTATTTGAAAAATAAGATTAGATAGGCAGCACATATTACTTACTGTGATTGTACGAGCTGTGTGTTCCTACAAAAGAAGTTAGAATTTATTAGAAAAATACCTATATGGTCTAAATACTTATATAGTCCGGCCCTTTAATAACCAAACTAGTATATACACATGTGGTCATGACCATACAAGTATGGCCTAAATACTCATATGGTCCGGAACATATATATTCAATCAGTTAACTTCAATCTTGTTGAGTTTGTTTGACAGCTCAAGGATGACAGATCTGTAGCTGTTATGGCTGTAATTGCATGTATATACTGTAAATTCAGAAATTTTTGTTATGTTTTTATTACCGAAATTATTAGGAAAATTGAGACATCAAAGGTTTCGTGAAAATAAAAACTCATTTTCAAATCTTTTAGTAGCATTTCCTGTAATTACGGTTAAACAGGCATTAGCTGCCATTTAGACAAAAAATTAAAATACGTTTTTTTTTTTTTTCAAATAGTTATAAGAGCAGAATAATAATATTTAGCTTTTAGCAGTCAGTTTGGTTCAATTTAGTGAAAATAAGATCGAAAACATCGCAAATGTATTATCGACTTGCAAGTCGATAATTCAACCTCAGTTGAACTCGTATTCATGTAACCCTAACTTGACCTTTAGCTGAAGATTGGTTATGCACGTCCTAAGCGTGTTCAGTTATTAAAAAGAAAAGAATGTCAACATTGAAAAGTGAAGCAAGGGAGCCACCATAAAAAAAAAATTCTTTGACCAATTCGGCCGAAAAGAAATCCTCCATATCCAGGTAAAACCATGATTTACATTTTAAAAATTTATGACATGAAATCAAACAGACCTGGAAAAATCATAACTACACAACTCCATGTGCTTCTAATTCTATTTATATTTATATAATATTTATTAATGATGGACTTCTCATCTTAAACTAAGTTGTCCGACTGGGTTTTGGTTATTAAAATGAACTTAATAGTTACCAGAAATTCTCTCTTTAGTTTTCCCACTTAGATTAGACAATCAGGTTTCCACTTGAAAACAGTTTTTGTTTATATCATGGGGAAAGGATAGAAATGGGATTCACTGCAAAATATTTTCAATCGCCAGCTGGGCGATCTGGATGATAGATTATGGCCTAAACTTTGGTCACCTTGGGCGACTAGGCGACCTTTAAGTTTAGTCCCTAGAACAGTTATCAATCACAACCACTGCTGTTACTTTTAATAGAAAATATGATAAAAATGGTAAAATTTTAGAATTTTGTTTTTTGGAATATCCCTGAAAATATTCAATAACTATTTTATTTGTCAACACTACTAGAAAAAAAAATGTATAAACAAAAACACTGATTGAAATGATCTGGATAAGTAAAACCTTGACGTAGAAAACAGATGCTGCACAAACGACACGTTCTTAATGGAAAAGCAAAAATGATGAAGCCTGTATTGGAGTATATGAAAGGGTGTACAGGGACATAGTAGTAAACAGAAATATAATAAGAAATATCATTTAAAACTTTCACACAACAGAAGAATTCCATTTTAAGTAGCCTGGTAGCTATTAATACCTAGGACTAATACATGAATAATCTATTGGTCCAAGTTAATACGGACTATATCCTCTTTCACACTTAACATCTGCATATATCATTACCACTCATTTGACATTTGTAAAAAAAATGGTATCTACATATAATCAAATATTTCCCAGTAAAAAAAGGTTCTAACAGCAGTCACACAGTGACTATTATTTATGTTTGTTAAGTAAATATACTATAAGCAATGCTTATTTTTATATTTCAGAGATTTTCGCTTGTTATCTATTGGAGGAGGTGCAGATGAAGTTATGTTATCCATTATATGTAAATACATGGACATTCTTCCAAAACCACCAAAGAAGTAATGAAGTCAAATCATTTTATTTTTAGGGACTACTCTGTATATAAAGTTGAAACACTCTATCTAAGAGCAGGCTTTTGGGTTCAGAGAGGGACTGTGAAAAAAGTAACTTATTATATGTATTCATTCTCAACTTTTCCTCCTTTTGGAAGTTCATTGTTATTTATCCTGTTACTCAATAAAGTTTAGGGAGAGTTGGTTTTGGTCATTCAGGGGGTATCTCTATTATTCTGGATTAATTTCAGTATAAAGGATTGGATTCAAGTGAAAAAAGTCACAGAATATAAATATATGTCAGTTGGTTTATGATGATAATGACAGGTCAGTAATAAATTGGATTGCTTTTATGTGAATATATTGTGGTATGTGGTCATGTGTCCAAATTTTGGTTCGTGACAATGTTTGTTATAAATTGGTCACCTTGGTCTGCATTGATGCAAGAAGCTTAAAGTTCCTATCATTAATCAAGTTAATAGGGTGTACCTGGCTGCCCTTTCTACAGATGACCAGTGCACATCTTGAACCCTACCATATTGGTGATGGACAGGTATAAGTTAACCTTCCTAATCCACTCAGCCACTCTGTCCCCTAGCAGCAAATGTATCATCAATAAAGAATAAAAGTTTCCATATTATATAAATTTTTGGTATCTCATATGAGTCTATGACATAAATTGGTTTTTATACGACCGCAAAAAATTTTTGAGGTCCAATAGTGGTATGACGTTGGCGTCGTCGTCCGGCGTCGTCGTCGTCGTCTGAAGACACATTGGTTTTCGCACTCTAACTTTAGTTGAAGTGAATGGATCTCTATGAAATTTCACCATAAGGTTCAATACCACAAAAGGAAGGTGGAATTGATTTTGGGGGTTATTTTACCAACAGTTAAGGAATTAGGGGACAAAAAGGGGCCAAAAATAGCATTTTTGTAACTTCCAGACATAACTTGTGTGTTAGTTTATGGATCTCTCTGACATTGTACCACAAGGTTCCATATCACAAAGGGAATGCTGGGATTGATTTTGGGGGTAATTGCCTCCAAATTTTAGGAAGTAGGGGCCAAAAAGGGGCAAAAAACAAGCATTTTTCTAGTTTCATGACAATAACTTGTGTGTAAGTGTATGGATCTTTATAAAATTGTACTACAAGGTTCCATATCACAAAGGGAAAGCTGGAATTGAGTTTGGGGGTAATTGCCCAAAATGTTTAGGAATAAGGGGCCAAAAATAAGCATTTTTTTAGTTTCCAGACAATAACTTGTGTTCAAGTGTATGGATCTCTCTGAAATTGTACTGCAAGGTACCATACCACAAAGGGAAGGCTGGGATTGATTTTGGGGGTAATTCCCTCAAAATTTTAGGAATTAGGGGCCATAAAAGGGCAAAAAACCAAGCATTTTTCTAGTTCAGGACAATAACTTGTGTGTAAGTGTATGGATCTTTATGAAATTGTACTGCAAGGTTCCATATCACAAAGGGAAAGCTGGGTTTGAGTTTGGGGGTAATTGCTCTAAATGTTTAGGAATTTGGGGCCAAAAAGGGGCCAAAAAACAAGCATTTTTCTAGTTTCCTGACAATAACTTGTGTTCAAGTGTATGGATCTCTCCGAAATTGTACTGCAAGGTACCATACCACAAAGGGAAGGCTGGGATTGAGTTTTGGGGGGATGAATCATAAGGGGGTTCAAAAAATTTGGGGGGGGGGGGGGTTTCCTTTTTTTTCTTTAAAATTTTCCATTTTAAATTGGTTATTTCTGATTTATATATAAAAGCAAATAATAATGATATGGTTTGAATAGGTAAATTAAAAATCTTTAAGTTCTTAGACCACATTCATTCTGTGTCAGAAACCTATGCTGTGTCAAATATTTAATTACAGTCCAAAATCAGTGCTGTATCAAGCTTGAATGTTGTGTCCATACTTGCCCCAACTGTTCAGGGTTCGACCTCTGTGGTCGTATCAAGCTGCGCCCCAGCGGAGCATTTTATTTGTCAATGCTCCCACACTTTATATTTTATTTTTACAGTCCTCCTCTGCTCATTGTCTTCTCATTTATACACTCAGGAAATACTAATGCCTAATTAAACTTAGATTAGGAGAGATACATGCACCTTATAGTAGGTGTTTGTAAAATATAAAATCATGCATAACATATTTCCAAATTATTTTTGATGTTATAATTAATATGTGAATTTATATTGTTAAGCCTTAAAATGGTTAATTTATATTTATATAACATTACTAGAAGGATTTGATTAAAATAAAACAATCGCTTTATTGTAGAACCATAATATTTAAGTTGTGTATACTATTGATTAACCAAGCATCAAGTATATGTTTATGGAAACATAAAGTGATTTATTAAAACTCACTAACAAATGATCAGGGCTCACACTACTTCAGAATCATAGGGAGAAGTGACTTCTCTTTTTGAAACTGAGAGGGAGAAGTGGTGAGATTTGAAAGAGAAGTGCTCGTTCGCTCGAGGTGCTACACTGTTTGGTTTTTACTATAATACAAAGGGCCATATGTATCTTATTTTTTTATATTGTTCAATTTGTACCTGGGAATACAATAAAAGTAACAGTTCAAATTCAATTATGATGTGAAGGATAAATCTTAAATTGATAATGAATCTAATGAACATTTTAGGGCAGAAATTTCATTTGTGATGTCACTCAGATGTCATAAACATGTGAAAATGGACATAATTGACCTAAAAATTGCCATTTTACCCATAGTTTTTGGACAAATAGATAAGAGTGAATCCTTACCTAAAAAGATATTTTACCCACATTAAAATCTGGATAAGACAACTTGAAGCAAAATATCTTTTAGAGAGAACTATTGGCTCATATCTAAAAATTAATGACAACATCTCAAAATGTGCCATTTGGCAGTTATGCAATAATTGAAAGATGTTTGAAGCCCAATGCAAATATTTCACATAAAAATTTTAAAAATCTGACAGTCTAATGTCTAATGAACATCTGAAACATGGTGATTTATAGATACTGCTTATTTTTAATTTTCAAATTCAAGGTGCCACAAGAGTGGCCTTATCATGTAAAAGATTAAATGCAAAATTCTGTGTGAATAATAGATGGTACTCTGTGATAGAATTCAGTCTTTTACAGCTCGCTGTTGGATGTGAATTGAGTTTCATAGAATGTGTTCTTTATAAAGTCCAAAAAAGCTGTAGAAAGACAGTTAATATTTTCATGATGAAGTCAACAAAAAATGACCAAGTTGTTCCAGAGAAAAATTTTGAAATGTATTTGAATTGTATAATAATTCCGGTTGTCTACTGTCAGAGCTTATCCTAAAATATTGTAGAAAAAAGGGTACAGAAGTACGATATTTGAGGGAATCAATGATAGGTTTTTATTTAAACAATATTATGAAAAAGTTATCATCTTCATATACAATTTTATGACATTCATGAATGCTATTAAAATGAAAATAAGAACTGTAAGAAATAAATATTTATCATATAAATGAAGGAATGAGTTACAGAAAAAATAAAATTTTGTAAATTTAATATATATATGATATATCTGAAGTACAAATGGTAAGATTTAATCACTTATTGATATAAATATATTATTGTATTTTTATCAATTCATTATTCAGGGCAACAGAAAATTTGTGAATTGCATTTTATTTTTATTTTAAGATATGAAATAAAAAGATGTATCATTTTATGTTTTGTACTTTATCCTTCATTGGACAGATTAACCCTAAAAACCTGTTACTGTTGAAATACTTCAGTCTGGTTTATATTTCATAGCAATAGGTGATGCCAGTTTATTGAAGTTCAGTCAAGAGATGTTTACTTGGAAACATAGCTGGTCAGACTAAGATACTGTCACTTGAAACATGTTGTTTCTCCAAAGCAATTTTTGTCTCGCCTGCGAGAAGTTTTGTGATCTTAACTTTTCAGACAGACAATCCAACCATATTTGCGACTCAACATCTGGTGGTGGGCAAAAATATTAGCAAGCATCATATAAAATATCATTCAGGGCATTCAAACGATCTGAACTGGATCCAACTTGCTCAGATATAGTGATTCCTGTATATCAACTAACTTCTTTCATGGGGGTATAAATGTATAAAAAGTCATACAGCCAATAGATGCCCCCTGGACAGTACACTGACATGAAAGCAAAACACTTTTGAGTCTATTTTTGTAAACAAGAGTGCATACACTGGAATGTCTTGCCAGCTTAACTAATAACGATAGAATTGTATATTGAAAGTCTTAAAGATCATGGTCTTACCTCAAGTATTACATACATTAATATAATCAATGATCAATGGAAATGGAAATGAGGTCAAGGTCAAGGTCAGGTAAACTCTGCCCAAGGGACTTGTACACATTACAATAAATCTGCTACTAAGTTGTTGAAATCACAAAAACTTTAGATTTGCCTTTGAATGTTGAGGTTAAGGTCAGATAAACTCTACCAGAGAGACATGTACACCTTACTATCATTGTATTCACCAAATATTGTTTTGGTATCTGAGAATGGACCTGTCAAGAAAACTCAATTTTGACCAACCATAACAAGAGTGCATACGCTGAAATGTCTTGCCTGTTTTACTGACCATGAATGATTTTTTTAAACTACAAGTATCACATAAACTAAACATTATAAATGATCGATGACAATAATTTCAAGTTCAGATAAACCCTGGCAAACAGACATGCACACCTTACAATCATTCTTCGTACCAAATATAGTTTACCTTTTGCTTAAAGTATATAAAAAAAACAAACAAACTGTATGTTCACTGCAGGTGTTAATATGTCTTTTGATTGAGTTAAGCCATTTCAATTGATATTTTATAGTGTGTCTTTCTATGTTGTGATGTTACACTATTGTTTCAGATAAGGGTGAAGGTTTGGTACCATTAAAACGTTTAAACCCGCTGCAATTGTTTGCACCTGTCCTAAGTCAGGAATCCGATGTTCAGTAGTCGTTTGTTGATGTGGTTCATAAGTGTTTCTCGTTTCTCGTTTTTTATATAGATTAGACTGTTGGTTTTTCCGTTTGAATAGTTTTAAACTAGTAATTTTTGGGGCCCTTTATAGCTTGCTGTTCGGTGTGAGCCAAGGCTCCGTGTTGAAGACCGTACTTTGACCTATAATGGTTTACTTTTATAAATTTTGACTTGGATGGAGAGTTGTCTCATTGGCACTCACACCACATCTTCTTATATCTATGAAAACTAAATATTGACCAATGAACCATGGAAATGAAGCCAAGGTCATAAGATACATGACAGACAGACATGTACACTTTACAACCATTCATTGCACCAAATATAGTTGACCTATTGCTTAAAGTATCTGAGAAACAGAATTAACCAGGAAAACTTAACATTGACCAATGAATGCATAAAAATGAGGCCAAGATCAGATGAAGCATGTCAGACAGACATGTACACCTTACAATAATTCCATGCACCAAATATAATTGAGCTATTGCTTATACTAGTAATATCTAAAACAGACTTAACCAGGAAAACTAAATATTGACCAGTGATTCGAACCATGAAAATGATGCTAATTATTATTAATAAAGGTCAGTTGAACCCTGCAATACAGACATGTACACCTTACAATTACTTAAAGTATCAGAGAAAAGGACCAAACTACAGATACTTAAGACTAACCAATGAACCATGTAAATGAGGTCAAAGACATGTACACCTTTCAATCATTCCATACACCACATATAGTTGACCTAGTATCTGAGAAATTGACCTAATCTAGTAACTTTAACCTTGATCACTGATCCATGAAATAAGGTCGGGGTCAGGTGAACCCTGACTGATGGACATGTAGACATTGCAAGGAACCCAAATACCAAATATAGTTATCATATTACTCATAGTGAGAAATTCAAATGACAAAAAATTTGTAATTTTTTTTCTCAAGCAGTCGCTAAACCAGGAAAATGAGGTCAAGGACAACTAGACATCATTGAGATGGGAGCCATCTCTGTGGGCCCCGCTGTGAATAACGTGTGGTAAAAAATTTGTATCTTTACCATAGGACTTGACCTTTGACCTAGGAAGTTGTACATACATTATGACACACCCTCTGGTGTTGGTTAATATGCATGTCAAGTATAAACTTTTAAATCATAACGGTTCTCTAGATATAGAGCAGACAAAATCTTTACCATAGGACATGGGGTTGTCAAATGAAAACCAAAGTTTTTGACCTTGACCTTTGACCTAGGAAGTTGTACATACATGATGACACACCCTCTGGTGTTGGTTAATATACATGTCAAGTATAAAGTATGAAATCATAACGGTTCTCTAGATATAGAGCGGACACAAGTTGTTACGGACGGTTGGACAGACGGACTGACAGATGGACGCACAGACTGATCACTATAGGGCGACCCGCCATTCGGCAGGGCCCTAATAAACATATGACAGACGGAAACTTCATAACATAAGGTATCTTCATACAAGGTATGAAGCATCCAGGTGTTCTACCTTCTAAAATATAAAACTTTTAACAAAAAGTTATACAGCCGCTGCTGCATTGTGATCCCTATGTCTCACATTCTGCGACTTTCATGACAGGTGAGACAAAAAATGGTATTAAGATCAGATGCAGTCAGAATCATGCTAGACCAACATGTTCACATTACAATCCTTCTGTACAGCAAATAAAATTGATCCAATGCTATAAGTAATGTGGATTCATTATTATTCGTTGTATACCAATTTTCATGGATTTTCTGGGTGTAGGTAAACCTTGAATTTAAATGTCCAATGAAGTACAAAGTTTCTATAGGATTGTTTGCAGACTTTAGCAAAACCAAGAAATCAAATATTCATGGTAATGAAAAAATTTCCCAATCCCCGAAAATTGGTATCCACAGTACTGTCAATTCAGAAATTTTGGGATGCATTTTCGTCTGGTCTGCAATGAAAAGTGCAAAATGTGAGAAATAGGGATTACAATATGGCAGCGGCATAATCTATTACTACTATTTGTATAAAGCTTTATATTTCAGAAGGTAGAAGACCTGGAGGCTTCATATCTAGTATATGAAGTTTCAGTCTGTCATATGTCCATCGTCTTCGACCTTTTTTTCATGCTTGACAATTTCTAGTTTTTTTGACATGTGAATTTATCACTCATTATGAATACATGTCAGTCTGGCAGGTTTTAATATGACCTTGACCTCTATTCATGATTTATTTGTGAATGTTAAGTTTCAGTAGTTAGGTTTTTTTGTGTTTTGGTCTGTTTTTCTAATATTATTAGCAATAGGTCAACTATATTTGGTGTGTGTAATGATTGTAAGGTGAATTGTCCATCTGGTTTGGTTTACCTGAATTTGACCTCATTTTCTTGGGTCATTGATAAATCTTTAGTTTATGTGATACTTGTAGTTAAACTTTATCTTTAGGACTATCATTATAAAATCAATCATAGTTAGTCAAGCAGGTGAGACATTTCAGTGTGTACACTCTTGTTTAATTTGATTGTTGAGCAATGGACAGAATTGCTTGATTAACAAGGAGAATTCAGGAAATGCTTCATACAATAATGCTTTCTAAATTTAGAATGGAGTTCTTATTTTTGCAAAACATATCCAGTCACAATTTTGGAATAACAAAAGCATCCCTAAAATTTCTGAACTTTATCTGAGTAACAGACTTGTCACAAAAAAAAAAACTTTTAATCAAATGACCATGAAAATGAGATCAAGCTTAGATGAAACATGCAAAACTATAAAATGTACAACTATTTTATATACAAAAAAACTTAATGCCCCCACCGCTACGGAGGGGGCATAAAAATAATTGACCTAAAGTCAAAGTAAGGTGAACCCTATCTAATGAACATTTGTTCATTGCAATGATTCAATATATCCCAGTTTTCCTAGCACTCATAATAACTGAAAAATTCACATTAAAAAAAGTTGTTTTTTTTGCATTCACTAAGCCATGAAATTGAGGTTAAAGACAATGGACATATGCGAGATATGAAACTTCAGACCTTATGGCATCTGCCTTTTAGATAGGAATTATCACAGTCCTATACTGTCTGAAATATAATGTTTTATGCAAAAAGTTAAAGCCATTGCCACTGCATCCCAATAACACCAGATACCTGAATTAGAAAGTTCAATAGAGTGAAATATACTAAGTTTATAAAGCAGGCATAGTTATTCCCCATTTCCATTCTCAATTTTATAGTTATAACTACATGTATGACAGCTCTGCAAATAAAGCTTCCATTTTCATTTCATGGTAGACAGTTGTTGCCAAGTATACTGTAGTTGACTTTCAGAAATGGTGAATCCTGCAATTTTTCTTATAGAAAAACTTATTAAATAGGCTACATTACCTTTGCTTATCAATGAAATTTTTCTGTGGATACAAACTGCTACTCCTACCATTTACATTATAACCAAATTTTCATAATAACAACTCAATTTAACACTGGTAAGATCTTTGAACATTGGTTTTATTGGTACTTACATTGATTTTGTTTTTGATAAATTAAAACACAACTAAATATGTATTGCAATACTCTTATGAAAACTTATGGTCCTAAATCCTGTTGATATTATGTACTTATATATATTTTTGCTTGCAATAGGTCATGCTTTTCCCAGACTGTTTATATCTTTACAGTATACCTGTTGGATGTGTAATGATTGATACTTTAGTTTGGGAAACTGATTTATCTAATTTAATAGCTGTTATTGGCTTTGAACTAGATTTAAGTAGCTGTGAGTACTCTTAGATAGGTACTTTCTATATGTTAGTTGTTTTCTACATCCTGCTCATCAAATGAGTCAAGAAATTTCCAACTTAATCTACAGTTTGTTCTTATGTTATGCTGTTACATCATTGTCCCGTGTAAGGGATGGTTGAGTGCTCACAAACACTTTTAACCCCACCAAATTCTATATGTGCCTGTCCCAAATTAGGAGCCTGTAATTCAGTGGTTGTCCTTGGTTGCAGTCTGTCATATTTGTTTTTCTTTTATTACTTTATCATAAATCAGGTTGTTGGTTTCTTTGTTTGGATTGTTTCACATTTTTGTCATGTCAGGACCTTTTAAAGCTGTCTATACTGTATGGGTTTTGTTCAATTGTTGAATGACATACTGTAAATTATAGTTTCTTAAATCAGCTCCATTTTTACGTTGTTTGATAGCTGTCTCATTGGTAATCATATCACATCTCCTAATCCTAATCTTATCTGGCGACATGGGCAGCTCTGGAATTTTGTCAACATAAAACATTCACTTGTCACTAAACTGTACAGCTTTATTGTCAATGTTTTATTTATCAAAATTTTATTCTCAATAAGCTGTTCATGTGAAAATTGTCCAAAGATATTCTTTCTTTGTTAAAACCTAACATAAAACATGTAAAACATAAAATAAAAACAATTTTTGGCTTCTTGTCCATGTTCCTATTTTATACACTTTGAACTTGTTCTCCTCTTATATAACAATAAAATGTCATGTATCCATAATGATAATAATATCCATCAAATGTTCATGGTGCTCCATTTTCTCTTGGTGATGCTGATGGTGATCGACTGTACGAACGTGATCTGTAAAAAAAACCCAATATAATCATCAATAAAGGCTACAGTAAAAACCTGACATTATCAGTGCAGTACTAATTTTTTTATTTGGTCTTTGGTTTTGTAAAATTTTAGTTAAAGTATTTTCCCCCTATGTTCTATTTTTAGCAACATCAGCTATGTCTGTTGATCCATCAAATCCCCAGATACAATTTTTAAACTAGCTACCCTAAGGAACATTTAGGTAAAGTTTGGTAACATTTGGCCCAGTAGTTTCAGAGGAGATATTTTAAATAGTTCATATGACAATGACGGAAGACGACAACAGACGCCAAGTGATGGCTAAAGCTCACCTGGCCTAAAAAAATATTTGTAATCAAATGTAGTAATCTTTAATTTTCCAACTGACAACAGAAATCATCAAACATAAGTTGAAATAAATTGAAAATCATTTCTGAATGAAATCTAGATGCTGTAAATCATCAAACTAACAAATTAACTAAACAAACCTGTCTCGACTTCTCTGTCTGTCATATGACCTGCTTTTTGACCTACTATATGATCTCCTGTAAAAAGTAGATGACAACAGTAAATAGACTATAAATAAAGTTCTAAAGATTCTTTGTTTGTTTACTGCATTGAAAGTAAATGAGGAATGTGTCCATGGGACACAGATGATGCCCCCACTTGCATATAATGTTATAAAGGGATATAACTCAAGAACTGTAAAAGTGATGCTTCCCAAATTTGTACTTGATCTGAGTTTTGTGGTAATAAGCATTGTGTATAGGTTTCATAACATTTGGTTGAGGCAAACTAAAGTAAGAGAACGGAAACGAATTTTATTTTTCCATTTTTAATTTTGTAGAGGGGCATAACTCTAGAACAGCAAAAGTAACGCCACCAAAATTCAAACTTGATCTGTGTTTTGTGGTAATTAGCATTGTGTATAAGTTTCATAACATTTGGTTGAGGCAAACTAAAGTAAGAGAATGGAAACGAAAAAGTCAGCATTTTTTTCCATTTGTAGAGGGGCATAACTCTAGAACGATAAAAGTGACACCACCAAAATTCAAACTTGATCTATGTTTTGTGGTTATAAGCATTGTGTATAAGTTTCATAATATTTGGTTGAGGCAAACTAAAGTAAGAGAATGGAAACGAAAAAGTCAGCATTTTTTTTCCATTTGTAGAGGGGCATAACTCTAGAACGATAAAAGTGACGCCACCAAAATTCAAACTTGATCTGTGTTTTGTGGTTATAAGCATTGTGTATAAGTTTCATAATATTTGGTTGAGGCAAACTAAAGTTAAAGAACGGAAACAATTTTTCCATTTATAAAGGGGCATAACTCTAAAACGTTAAAAGTGACGCCACCAAAATTCAAACCTGATCTGTGTTTTGTGGTAATAAGCATTGTGTATAAGTTTCATAACATTTGATTGAGGCAAACTGAAGTAAGAGAACGGAAACAAAAAATTTAGCAATTTTTCCATTTATAAAGGGGCATAACTCTAGAACGGTTAAAGTGATGCCACCAAAATTCAAATTTGATCTGTGTTTTGTGGTAATAAGCATTGTGTATAAATTTCATAACATTTGGTTGAAGCAAACTAAAGTTAGAGAACGGACACCAATTTTGGGACGGACCTACAAATGGACAAGGGTAAAACTTAATGCCCCCTCCGCTACAGCGGGGGCATAAAAATTAGCAAAGAAATATAAATCTGACTTGCATAGTCAAGATCACCCATCATGCTTATGAAGTTACTGTGATGTCATAAGTATTTATTTCACATCTCTCATATGCGCCATGAATCAGCAGTACATCTGAATAAAAAAAAAGTGTGCTTTGTTTGGACAGTGTCCAACACATGAATGAAGTCATCTGAAACCTTGACCTTACAGGTGGACATTCTAATCTTGATTTATTATATAACCTATGATTGTGAGCAGTACATTTTAAAGAAACTATTGACACAATTTTTACATGGCTTGACTAGAAGAAACTGTCTTGTATGTGACCTACATTTGAGACCTTGACCTTACCGATTTACACTTAAATCTTGTTCATTTATATACACTGGTGGCATTCCAAAATTAACATTCAGCAAAGTGCAGCTGCAATTTATCTAAAATATGTTTATCAGTGTTCTTCCATTTTTGGAATTCTTTCATGATGTTCATTTGAACTTTCTTTTCAATGCATCTCATTTTTTACCCGCATTTGATATAAGGATGAAGTAAGGTTAAGTGAATTTATAAAGTATCGATATTTAAAGCAAGATACCTTCTGTAACTTCTGCTCCTTGACCTCCTGTAAATTAAAAAAAAAAAAAATTTAGGTCAGGAATCAGTTCGTAATTGCCTGCATTGCCCTATAAAGTATACATATATATAATCCTAGTACAATGCAGTAAATTTGTTTTTTTTTATATCCAGTTTGATGAAAAGGACCAATATGGCTGTTATCTAATATAAAAACAAGAAGATGTGGTATTATACATCATATACTTTTTTTATAAAAATATAACGAGTAGGACAGGCAAATTGTTGAAGAAAGAGAATCTGGACCTACTACAACTTTCTAGATGAAGCTTTATATAATGTTCTTTCCCAGTACATTTGAATACATAACTGATTTTGCTGTGTGTACATCTTCATTCTTAATGTCTTTTAAAAGGAACATAAAAATCATGCACAAAGAAACATAAACAGAATTCATAGTCATTCTGTATATAAATTTCATTTCAGGAGAAGTTATTAGCTCACTTTTTCAGTCCCTTGAATTGAATAATAAAAATCAAAAAATTAATATAAATCTATCATATTACATCAATCAGATGTTCTCAAGATATTAATAGCTTGTCAGATATCAGTATTTATATTTTTAAATCTTGTCTTTCATATTTCCTTTAAGAATTCAAACTTCTTCCATTTAGTGAAAATCTACAAAATCTTCCAAAATAGCCTCATTTGAGATCTTTTCGCTAATATTTAGATAAAAGCCAAGGCTAAAACCAAAAACTTTATAAAATGATCATTTATCTATAAAGTTAACATAATTTTGAAAGGCTTGAATAATTTTACTATTTTTCGATTTCAGGGGCCATAAAATGACTCATCATACCTCCTCCTTCCTTCTAAGATGCAACATATAGACAAATTTTCGACACTTAAAAAAAATCATTTTTGGAATAATATATATAAATCTCTTACCTTCTATCATAAGACCTTGATCTTGATCTTCTGCAAATAAAATAATTAGGCATGTAAAAAATGTACTGTATACTGTATGTTTTGGTTCAAGAATGAATTTCTGCATGGATGAACATTTATATTTAATTCTATCCATTTTACATTATTTTTTATTACAGATTTAATTTTATTGAATTTAATGATTCACAAATGTTTTAATGCCAGCATACTTACTAGCTATCTAATACAGAAATATGTACAGAGCTATTAACATTGATATTTCATGTTGTGTCTTTAGATTCTCCAGATTTTAGTATTGTATATTTAATTTAATTTTCAGTGCAAATTTAAGTATTTTCTGTATAATCAAAACCTAGAACTGTGCAGAACAGTAATATGACATCCTGAATTAAAATACAGACAAAATAAGAAAATATCCCAGAATTGTAACCAATGTTTTCCCAAGTATAGTTAAATAGCAATATGTTTTCCTTCAAATTATAATACATTCTATTTTTATTGTGTGTGCAGTTAAAACTGGTTTAACCCCACAGTTTGTGTCTGTATCAAGTCAAGCTATCTAGACCATGTGTTGTTTGTCTTTCCATGTTTATTTGTGAGTTGGGATTAGCTGGTTTATGTCGATGGTTCTACTGTCTAGTATTTTTGGACATTCCTGTTATCCATTTTTATGTGTTATTACATATTAGTGTTAAACATTTCTGTGTTATGATGAAAAACATGTACCTTCTGTCTGGTGTTCTGGATCTTGTTCGTGACCTTCGTGATCTGAAATAATTTTTAATCAGTACAAATAATTGTGTAATATGCATAATGCTTAGTATTCTAACTTAGTTTCTAAGGTTATCAAAAATGAGAATACCTGACTTCTCATGATGTTACTGTCAATGGGTTCAGACTTATATCTAAACTTGTTTTATATAACAAACAAAAATTAAGTTTTCACTTTACATTAACTTCCTCCAACTGTATTAATACAACTTAATTGCATTTAAGAGGAAATGAATTATGCAGATGTCTAAAGATTTGCCTGCCTGTAACCTTTTTAAAAGAATTAAATTTGTTAATTTTACTATGGGACATGTACAGACACTGATTATTTAGGGCTACCAAAAGCTGCTATAATCATTACTCCAGTGTACAACAGTACAGACATCTTTACTAGTGTTTGTTACTGACAGTCTTCAGTGTACACCTACCTCCTTGGTGACCGTGACCTTGATCTGTATCTACAAACATATATATAAATACAATTTATCAAGCACCACTTCTAATCAAAGTCAAAATCTCATTTCAAAATGAATATCTACTAACCATAACAAGTTAATCAGTAAATAATTACTTTAACAAAGTTAAATCTGAGCTTAATACTTTTAGTAGTTTAATATAAGAACTTACTAATTAATAAACAGAGACGTGGGGTATAAATCAATGGTATAGCAACCCAAATAACACCAAAAAAATATAGCAACTCAAATAACATCAAAAAAATACTAAAGATATTTTCTTAGTATGTGTATTCTTCAAGCTGCTGTCAGTGATGCAAGATAATAACATTAACAATAATTTTGAAGAGAGATTTGCATTCAGTTACAAGTAAAACGATGATTTAGGAAATAACTTTTAAGATACCGGTATACCTTTTTGGGCTTCTACTGTGTGATCTATATGACCTCCTTCTATCGTGATCATCATAACGGGATCCATGGTATGGTCTTCTATCTTTTGTTCTCATCTGACCTGGTGCTATAATAATCAGATATATAGGTAAACTAACCAGGGTATCAAACTTTAAAGTGGACATAGCAACCTGTTTATCTTTTAGTGGATAACAAAATAATATTTTTCACTTCTATATAATAATAAAGTAAATAACAAAGGTGACATATTCACTTTAAACTAAATGTGAAACAACCAATAATGAAAATGACATAGATTACCACTAAAATGACCTCCTCCCAATGATTTTTTAGACCAAAAACAGCTGTATAACTATCATCATCAAAGAAAATTTAACGTTCATAAATGACCAAAGGAAAAGCAGTCATGGTCAGACATAAATGTTCATCTTATAACTGTTCCAGTTCTAACAATTGTTTGGCTTACAAATATTGGCTTTGAGAGCATCCCTGATGGAGGTAATTCAAGAAAAGCTCTTCGGATGCATGAAATTTTTAAAGTGTTGCTTTAATTTTTTACAAGATTCTATTGACTAAAAATAATTTATCTGTTACTTGTAGTCAGTGAGAAACTATCCGACCTAAAGGAAAAGAAAAAAACACTCAAATCACCAAATTCTTAAATGTGCCATCCTGGCAAAATGACTTTCTTAAATGAATACATGAATAGTGCCATCCAAGTTGGCAAATTAAGCTTCATGAAATTTTAACTCAACAAATTGTTCTTTTAAATTTATAACATCAATAGAAAGATATTCCCTTTAATGTTGAAAATGAAGAGGTTTGATTTTGATTACCATATTAAGTTGAACTTACATTTTCTATCTCCCCTAGCAAATTCTATCTCTAATTCTCTGCCCTGATATCTTGTTCTGTCCAAGTGATAAAGTGCATCATCAGCATCTCTAGGATCTTCAAACGTCACACTTGTTAAGGATTATGCGTATTAAAACAGCATGCAAATGTGTGCAACATTCAATGAAAGAATTTCATTTCTAAATATCTGAACTATAAATTTCCTTAATCATTTCATAAACTTAACATATTTTCCATAATTTACAAAAATGTTTTCAATATATTTTTATCATGTTTGTTTTTTATATATTGATGCACGTCAAAAAATAAATATCACTCATAAAGATTTTATTATAACATAATCAGACAATTGATTTTGAAGTGCATGGTGCATAGAATCTGCTCCATTTTACTCTCACTTCTTTTCATTTAAACACAAGAAACAGTTACCATAGCTTTAAACACAAATGACATCTTTTAAAATTATATATAGTTTTTTGGTTTGTTTTTTTAGATAGGATCCTCTTTAGATTTATGTAACATAAGTATTAGTTTAAAGACATGTATGATCAGCATCTTGAAAGCAAACATTGTTTTGTCCTAAAAGTTAGCACCATTACTTATGCTTTATTTATTCTTTTCTGTTAGATCTTTTGAGTATAACCCACAAGCAACTATCTTTATCTTTGCCTTTATTGCACAACAGTAAAAACATGCCAAGTCTTGCATCTTTGTCTTTATTACATTCGCTGATATTTCTGTCTTTCGATGTTCTTTTTACTTTACTTTTTTGCCTGTGTCTTTTATCTTTGTCTTTTAGAAATCTTTTTCATTCAATTTAGTTTGCCAAGTTTGATGTAAAGCCTTTTATCTGTTTCTTTAATACTATATAATCTTTATCTTTGTGCTTTCATAAAATTTGCTCTTTAGACTATATCTCTTTTGCATTAAACGGTGACAATTCTTTGTCTTTTTTCTACCCCTGACTTGCAGTCTGAGAAAAAAGAAAAGCACAATATTAGACACACATGTAGGGGGACTATTCATTGTCTATTGCATGCAGTGTTCTTAATATTCTTCTTAAAGATGCTGCAATATATATATATATACTTATCCTAAGCATGAATAAAGTTATATTTATTTTCACAGCTACAAATAGTGGACTTGTTTTTTATAAGCCATTGTCATTATACTGAAGTTTGCCCCCAAACTATCTCATAGACTTTACTAGTATGACAATTAATATAAAAAGAAGATGTGGCATGATTGCCAATTAGAAAACTTCAGAAATACAATAAGAAAAATACTCTAAGACTACTAAGTTTGTATATATATTTTGCAATCTTTCACATTTTATCAATAAAATAGAAAGATTACCAAAGTTTTCAAAAGTATGTTTTTTATGAAATGCACATTTTTATTATAATTATGGGTAATACATTTTGCACATCTTTTTAATGAAAGGATATTGAATATATGCAAATCCTCTAGGTAGCCTAGAATGATAGTCTAACGGTATATAAACATCTTTCAATGGTCCATATTTACCAAACATTGCTCTCATTTCATCTTCCCTAAATTAACATAAACAATACATTGTAAACTAACTCGCAAAAATTCTAAAAAAAAACAACTTAAAAAAAAACTTGGCCCAAGCATTTAACAAACACTTACATGTAAATTCAGCTGAAAATGTTTTTAAAATCACAAAAAAATAAAGGAAAGAGTACAATTTAACCACACTGGCAGCTGCATATCATCCTTTAACATAATCGTTCCTTTTCAATCTTATACTGAGTTAAGTTTTTCTTTTTTGGCAAATTTTTTTGATTGTAAATACAAGGCCTAATTCATAAATTAAGAATTAATGATATAGTACACATATTCTATAGTAAAACTAAGCCATTCAAGTATATAATAAAATGCTCCACTGGGTGCAGCTTGATACGACTTCAGAGGTCGAACCCTGAACAGTTGGGGCAAGTATGGACACAACATTCAAGCTTGATACAGCACTGAATTTGGATTGTGATTAAATATTTGACACAGCATAGGTTTCTGACACAGAATGAATGTGGTCTAAGAACTTAAATTTTTTTTAATTTACCTATTCAAACCATATCATTATTATTTGCTTTTATATATAAATCAGAAATAACCCATTTAAAATGGAAAATTTTAAAGAAAAAAAAAAGGAAAAAAAATCCCCCCCCCCCCAATTTTTAGAACCCCCTTATGATTCATCACCCCAAACTCAATCCCAGCCTTCCCTTTGTGGTATGGTACCTTGCAGTACAATTTCAGAGAGAACCATACACTTGAACACAAGTTATTGTCTGGAAACTAGAAAAATGCTTGTTTTTTGGCCCTTTTTTTTGCCCCATATTCCTAAACATTTAGGGCAATTACCCCCAAACTCAAACCCAGCTTTCCCTTTGTGATATGGAAACCTTGTAGTACAATTTCATAAAGATCCATACACTTACACACGTTATTGTCCTGAAACTAGAAAAATGCTTGTTTTTTGCCCCTTTTTGGTCCCTAATTCCTAAAATTTTGAGGCAATTACCCCCAAAATCAATCCCAGCCTTCCCTTTGTGGTATGGTACCTTGCAGTACAATTTCAGAGAGATCCATACACTTGAACACAAGTTATTGTCTGGAAACTAGAAAAATGCTTATTTTTGGCCCCTTATTCCTAAACGTTTTGGGCAATTACCCCCAAACTCAATTCCAGCTTTCCGTTTGTGATATGGTACCTTGTAGTACAATTTCAGAAAGATCCATAGACTTACACACAAGTTATTGTCATGAAACTAGAAAAATGCTTTTTTTTTGCCCCTTTTTTGGCCCCTAATTCCTAAAATTTTGAGGCAATTACCCCCAAAATCAATCCAAGCATTCCCTTTGTGATATGGAACCTTGCAGTACAATTTCAGAGAGATCCATACACTTGAACACAAGTTATTGTCTGGAAACTAGAAAAATGCTTTTTTTGGCCCCTTATTCCTAAAAGTTTTGGGCAATTACCCCCAAACTCAATTCCAGCTTTCCCTTTGTGATATGGAACCTTGTAGTACAATTTCAGAAAGATCCATAGACTTACACACAAGTTATTGTCATGAATCTAGAAAAATGCTTGTTTTTTTTACCCTTTTTTGGCCCCTAATTCCTAAAATTTTGAGGCAATTACCCCCAAAATCAATCCAAGCATTCCCTTTGTGGTATGGTACCTTGCAGTACAATTTCCCTTTGTGATATGGAACCTTGTGGTACAATGTCAGAGAGATCCATACACTAACACACAAGTTATGTCTGGAAGTTACAAAAATGCTTATTTTTGGCCCCTAATTCCTTAACTGTTGGTACCATAACCCCAAAATCAATCCCAACCTTCCTTTTGTGGTATTGAACCTTATGGTAAAATTTCATAGAGATCCATTTATTTAAACTGAAGTTAGAGTGCGAAAACCAATGTGTCTTCGGACAACAACGACGATGACGACGCCAACGTCATACCAATATACGACCGCAAAATTTTTTTGCGGTCGTATAAAAATAGCATCTCTTTTGTTAAGTTAGAAGTATCAACTCAAACCAGAGCCAATTATGTCTATAGCACCATTCCCTACATCTTAAAAAATTCAAGAAAGTAAATACTAAAGGGCATGATTAGGGATCCTTCCACACACAAAATTCTCATAGAAATTTGAGCCAGAAAGGACATTTTTTTATTTTGCTTTTTGTCATCAGACATTTTTTTCTTGTCACAGTGTGATATAAAAAATTATAGGAACTATCCCAATGTGTTATATTGCAATGGTGGGCAAATAGCAATACATGTAATCTGCCTCTTATCTTCTGAAGCAAGACAACTTGCTCCAGACCTAATCAATCCAATTTTCCACCAAAATTAAACTTCTTTTCATCAGTGGGTCGAGTTAGCAGGTTTTTTTTCAGCAAGATTGAATTCTTTTTCATTAATGGGGCGACTTCGCAGGTCATTTTAAAATACCTTTCATCAGTGGGGCGAGTTGGTTAACTATGACTGGAGTGAGTATGTGAGCCATAAAAGTGTCCTGGACACTTTTTCACAGAAAAGGTATTTAAATGTGTCTGATGCTGTGAAAAAGTGTCCATTTAATCAGACATAATTTCATGATAAAACTATTAAATTCTGTCCTGTTAAGGTTGATGTTTGAATAAAACACTTTTTCACAGTAAAAATTGTCCTTTAAAGGGAGATAATAAAAAGTCACTGAAATGTTTTCTATATTTAATTTCCTATTACTAATACAAACCAATTAAGAACCAGTTATAATTTTATCTAAACAATGGTGATGATCATATTTTGTATGAATTCAATACTCCAGTTTAGACGTCATGTTTTAATAGAGACAAAACCCCCATGCTAATTTAAAAACTTCAATCCAACTGAAGCTATGTTATGATGCTATGTATACATTTTGTTGGTATCGAGAGTGGACACTTTTTCACTTGAAATACTGTCCTTCCTATGAAGGACACTTTTTCATATGAAATATTGTCCTTTCTTTGAAGGACACTTATTCACATCTGTGGACACGATTTCACAAGTAAATATCGTCCGGACAATATTTCATAATAACATTATGTCTGTGGACACAATCTACTGTGAAAAAGTGTCCGGTGGATATAATTATATAGCGGACAATATTTAATCCTACAAGTAGGTCTGTGCTACTTGGCAATGGGCAAGTTGGTTTAACATGACTGTGGAGAGTAATGCTGCAAGATTTGGCAACAGGGCTAATTTTGTGTGATTCTCTTTTCTTTTCAGACTAATAGATGTCAATTTCATTCTGTGTCTGTGACAACAAAATTTTACAGGAACGTCTGTGAGAGCAAGAAATGGCGGAAAAGTATAACACAGAGGGTAATGAGGCAATGGAAATTGATTGCAAGATTGGGCTGCTCTAAACTTAGTGTGCAGTAATTATGCGATTTCTAGTCGATTGGGCCAATGGATAAAAAATAACCTTGCTCCTTCGTTAACATTTCTAACATATAAAGATGTATTTGGAGGCCTTGAATAACGTGACATTTTGATGTAAATTTCCTAGTTTATATCTGCGCAAGCGTTCTTGAATCTGGTCTCTTGTGCTAAATTCTAGATATAAATCGGACGTAGTCTCAGCAAGGAAGCAGCTATATATTTCGGTTACCTCCCTTACAGGAAGTGCGGGCACTGGTTGTCAGCGAAAACAAATGGTGGACAAAAATGTGCCATAATTGAGAACATTTCAGCTGTTCAAACGCTACAATTATGTTTTTCTCGTACATAACTGGAAGACTAATAATTTAGAAATGACTTTCCTTTATGAAAATGGTTGATTGATGCGTTAAATATAATAATTTTCGAACTGTGGTTATATAGTCATAGAATTAATTTCTGATAAAAAGGAAATAAACTTAATATTTGAGGACAGTCAGCCATAATACAACTTTATTTCATTCTCCTGTTTACCACCTTTTCCCTAAAAAGTCTCAAGTTATTATTATGTCTATGCACACAAAGAATTTTAATATGGATTCATTTAAAAAACCAGAACCCAACAATTTTAAGTTGACAGAATTTAGAAGAGACTTGCATAATCGACACAAAAGAGAAGTCCATATGAGAAAAGAACGATTAAGGGCAGTTGAGACTAGGTTCCTTGCAAAACAAATGATTACTGTGGACACATCAAGAGCAAGGTCGAATTGTGATGTGGTCAGAATGTGTATCAAGGAACTTGGGTTGAAAGAGGTACAATGTAACATTCTTTCATTAGTAAATCATCGCTTTTAAATATCAATGTACAGCTGCGAAAAAATTTGAAGTTTAATTTTATAGAAAATTTCATTCATGTCATAATTAAAACCATGATTTTAATACATGTAAATGAAAAAAAAAAAGAATTTAGCAAAATTCTATTCTAGCATTGTAGCAGGATTATAGAAGTTATATACATGTTAAGAAGTCAATCAATTATTCATTTAAAACTTGCATTAAGATATTGAACAAAACACTTATAGTCAACTTATTAGGACTAGCTACAAAAATGTAGTTTTCTTTTGAAAAGAAATAAGGAGACTTTTTATGAACCAACATTTACCAGTCAGGGGAATTACTGAAATATAAAAATCACTTATTTAAGTAGCAAATTAGAAATTTTGTCATTTTATGAACTAACATTTACCAGTCAGGGGAATTACTGAAATATAAAAATCACTTATTTAAGTAGCAAATTAGAAATTTTGTCATTTTATGAACTAACATTTACCAGTCAGGGGAATTACTGAAATAAGTGATTTAAACCTTATTTAAGTAGCAAATTAGAAATTTTGTCACAAATTGTGATTTTGTAGATTTACCAAAATTTTAAACATATAGGTTTAGATTATATCTTATTATTTAGTAAAATTGGAAAAAATGAACCTTTTTCTTCTTTTAAATAGGAAGGTTTATCTCTTTGATGCAATCATTTGGCTTTAAATTCTATATTTGTTGAAAAAATGCTATAATTAAGGCCTTCATTAATGAACTGATACTAATCAGATTTTTCCCAGCAGTGGGAGTAATTTTCCTGTAAAATTCAAGGTTTCATCTTACAGATTATGTAATAAAATTTTACTGTACGCGATAAAAAAATTCACTGTTCGGGGGGTGTTGAAATTAGTGGGGGTAATTAAAATAATAATACTTACAGAAGTGATTTTTTGGAAGAAAATAGATGTATGATACTTAAACAAGTGATTTTTATGTCATTATCCCAGATTCAGTACAAGGTCATCACCTGACATGACTGGTCATCCTATCAACACAGATGTTGGTTCTGATAATTTTAGCAACATAATCATGATATATAGTCCCTGGATTATTAGTAATTGTATATTTAAAGCTACAATAAAATGAAATCACTTAGTGTAGTGATTTATTTGTACTACTTAAATAGGTGATTATTAAAGAAAGACAACTCTTACTTCCAACATTTGTAGACACAATGTTACTTGAATCAGTGATTTAAAAATCACTCATTTAAGTAAGTCCCCTGACTGTTTACATGTAACATCTATTAACTTTTTTTCAGTTCCCTTTTGGTAGAAAAGAGCATTGTGATATACATTGGCATGCTGTTAGCTATGAAGAAAATCCAGACCTATATGGGGGAAAAGTTAATAAATTTCCAGGTATGATTAACATAAGTCCTGAAATCAGGGGGATACCGTAATAATTTTAAGGAAAAACAGTAAAAATATATTGTGATAACACAAAGAGATGCTATTGGCAGTAATGAAATATAAAAGAAGAACACTTGTGGAATCATCTGCCTTTTCTTTTCATCCATCATAAACTTGCCAGAAGAGTTTTATTTTTTGTTTTTTGAATGGTCCTAATGATGAGGATTCAATTTCATTAATTCAAGCATAAATGTGGGAAAAAATATTCCCAAAACAAAATGATCTTTTATCATTCAGATATTATCCTTTTTGCTGAAATCTGCCATTACCTGATATTTGCCACCTTTTTGATTATCACACTTTCCTTTGATATTTGTTGTCAATCACTATGTCATTCTGCTAATACTAGCATACTGAAATAGAACATCCACATCAATAACTTTGTCAAACTTTCTTTTTATTTCACAAAGCTAGAACAAAAGCTAATCTTCATAATAATGAGATTTTACTAGTAAATCCTATTTTCCCATATTTTACTGATTTTTAAACTATTAGGTTTTTTGTAGCGGCTAAGCAGCAGTTGAATGCAAGACCACAGTCACCTGAATTTCTAGCAATAAATGATTAAAAATAGGTAAAAAAAAATAATGTAGTATATAATATAATATACAGTATTATAATATATCCATAATTTTTTGCCTATTTTTAATCAATTCTTGCTAGATTTTCAGGTGACTGTGGCAAGACAGAGGGTCAGTAGAACCCTTTAATAAAAAAAAATGTTTAATTCAAAACTGCCTTTTCAGCACATTCCTGTTTTGATTCCAAAAATGGTAGACAAGAGAAACATATATTTTACATTTTCAAGTTTGAAGCTTGACATTCTTTACATAAAGTTAGTTTGGGCTAGAAAATACAATGTAATATGAAATAATCTTTGCCACTAAACATGTACGAATACATGTACCTAAATTAAATGTCAGAAAATGTGTCAAATTGATACTCACCAGCACATTTAGTTCGCATGGCTTCTTTAGACTGACTTTACAAAGCTATATCAAATGATACATGATAAATTAAGTAAAAGGAATTAATAAAAGAAAGAAACTAGTAGAGATGATAAATTCAGTTAACTTCCTATTTCTGTTTTTGCATTTGTAGAATTGGTAGGAGTTGTAAGAAATATGCATGTGCTATATATAATTTATATTTAAACAACAACATAGACACAATTTATAACTTAAAACATAGTTGAACTTGAAAATGCCATTCTCTTGGCCATCGAATTTGCCACATGTTCATTTTCCTGTTGGTTGATATAAGGTAAACTATTAAGGTCATGTTAATCTTATGCTATTAAAAGATAAAGTTGAACAAAAACAATCAACGTGTTAATAGCTCCCTGAGAAAATTAACTTAGTATCGTCAGTAAATTTGTCTTTTTTGTCTTAAAAATAAGCTGCAAATTTTGGCAAATGTGCTTATTATAAGTACAATAATTGGGGTAATGTCTTATTTTGCTGATTTATCGTTACAGGTGGATATATGATTAAATCTTTAAATTTACTTACATTACAAAAGATTTGTCTGTCATATATCTTGTCTTTGTTTTTAAAGGTATGACAGATATCTGTAGCAAGATGATGTTGTTTAGAAGTTTAGACCAGATGAGAGAACTGTTTCCATCAGACTATGATTTTTATCCTAGAACATGGTATATGCCTACACAGTTTCATGAATTCTCTTGTGAAGTAAGAAAATTGACAGAAAAAAGAGTGAAACCTAGACCAACATACATTGTCAAACCAGATTCAGGTGCTCAGGGAGATGGTATTTATCTAATCAGGGATCCAGTAGATTATACACCATCACCAAATGGAAAGTGCCATGTTGTACAGGAATATCTAAGTCATGTCTATTTGATAGACAGGTATAAATTTGATTTGCGAGTATATGTTGTGTTAAAAAGTATAGAACCTTTAGATATACACATCTGCAAAGATGGTCTTGCCAGGTTTTCAACTCTTCCATACGAAACTCCCACATACAAAAATTTGCATGAATCATTTATGCATTTGACAAATTACTCATTGAATAAAAGAAGTACCACATTCAATAGATCAGAGCGAAGTGATGAAGGAAGTAAAAGAACTATAAGCAGTGTCTTACGCAAAATCAATCTGAATGGCAAGGATGGTGATCAAGTATGGAAGACCATAGAAAGAATAGTCTGTAAAACAGTTATTGCTATGTTGCCTACAATGAGGATTGAGTATCAAGCTAATATACCCTCTGGAAAGACAAAACTCTCTTGTTTTCAGGTATTTATCATTATTAATGTTCACACTTAATGTATATAAGTACTTACATTCTTATTTTTGAAGTCAAGGTGCAAGGTTAATGAGGCTATTTGCATTTTTGTCGAGCCATCGACTTTTGTCGCAGAAAGCTCGACATAGGGATAGTGATCCGGCGGCGGCGGCGTTAGCTAACTTCTTAAAAACTATATTTTAGAACGTGGAAGATCTGGATGCTTCATACTTTGTATATGGATGCCTCATGTTACGAAGTTTCTGTCAGTCACATGTCCAATGTCCTTGACCTCATTTTCATGGTTCAGTGACTACTTGAAAAAAAAGTTAAGGTTTTTTGTAATGTTAAATTCTCCTTATTATAAGTATTAGGATAACTATATTTGGTATGTGCGTACCTTGCAAGGTCCTCATGCCCGTCAGACAGTTTTCACTTGACCTCGACCTCATTTCATGGATCAGTGAACAAGGTTAAGTTTTGGTGGTCAAGTCCATATCTCAGATACTATAAGCAATAGGTCTAGTATATTCCGTGTATGGAAGGACTGTAAGGTGTACATGTCCAACTGGCAGGTGTCATCTGACCTTGACCTCATTTTCATGGTTCAGTGGTCAAAGTTAAGTTTTTGAGTTTTGGTCTTTTTTTCTAATACTATATGCAATAGTTCAACTATATTTGGTGTATGGAAATATTTTATGATCTATATGCCAGTCACGCAGGTTTTATTTGACCTTGACCTCATTTTCAAGGTTCATTGCTCAGTGTTAAATTTTTGTGTTTTGGTCTGTTTTTCTTAAACTATAAGGTCAACTATATTTGTTGTATGGAAGAATTGTTAGCTGTACATGCCTGGCTAGCATGGTTCATCTGACCATGACCTAATTTTCATGGTTCATTGGTCAATGTTTAGTTTACTTGGTTAATGTTAAGTTTATGTGACAGTTGTAATAAAGCTTTATATTTAGGACTATCAACATATCAATGATTAGTAAAGAAGGCGAGACATTTCAGCGTGTGCACTCTTGTTTACAAGAGACCTAGGAATTTTCATTAAAAGTCAGGTGCATATTGCTGATTTTCTGAAACCTTATTTTAAAGACTGCTGAGATAAACTTTTTTAAGTATTGGTGAAAAAGACTTACCTTTACTTTATATATCACTAGTGCAGTGCTGATAAGAAATGTAAGATGGTCCTAAAGGGTGCTAATGAAAAGTATTATCACATATACATTACATACATGTATGATGTTGATTAGGTACATACATATTATCAGTAGTTTGCTTTTCATCAATTTCTTATATAAAAAAAATTAGTTGCTAAACTTTTGTCAATTTTTGTGAAAAGATTTGTTAGATATGTGACAATCTGGGTAATGCTCTTTTAATGAAATAGTATATGTGGTGAAAAAAGTAGAAATTAGGAGATTTGACTTTCAGATAGAGACTCGCACCAATATCTGGAGAGTTAACACATTTTCACAACAAATGAATTTGTTGCTGTAACATGATTTAGGTAGTAGATGTGATACTAAATGTTCGCTTAAAAATCTTACCAGATTGAAATATAATAGCCAAGTTAACACCTTTATTAATCAAGATTGTTGATAGAGGTCCTGATGGTTTCATTCATTTTTCATATGTTATTTGTGATAAAAATATACATAAAGCAGTATCTTAAAATTATATAAGAAATAATACATGTATTATATCAATAACATGGCTGAAAAAAGTGTGATATTCAGTGATGAGACACTACTGTTTAGTCAAATATAGCAAATTATATGGACTTGAAAATCCTTTAATTATCTGTTGACAGAGTATAGTATGTTTATACATTGTATATGTACCTGTTAATAGTATGATGAACTATTTATTGAATGCCCTTTGTTATATCATGTCAATTAGACTAATACTTTATGTCATATTTAAATATTATCATATATATCCTGATACTATTAAATGTTTTATGGTTTGTAAAAATACAAGATGTAAAGATAGGAGTTTAAATGGTTTTTAAAATGGGTTAGTCAGTTATCATGATCATACCATACATGTAATACATTGTAATGTTGTGATAGACTTTAATATGTACAAATGTAGATTTTGATCAGCTTCCTAAATTATACTAGACCACCTAGACCCCACTTCATTGTTCAGTCTATTTTTTTTAAGAAATGGTCAAATATTTCACAGTTATCTACTCTGCTGTAAAAAAATGTATTCGCCAGTTGTAATTGATTTAATATTAAGTTTCATTAAATCCATTTTGAACAGCTGTTAACCTTAATTCCACTTAAAAGCCTTACATGTATATATTTGAGGATGGAGGAATTATTAGAGACTATTTTATAAACTGAGACAGTAATACTGATTGAAACTATCAGTATATTTTCCCTTTTTATTTGAAATTTAATGATTCAGCAGCGAGCTAAAACAAAGCAGCCTGAACTATTGACTGCAACAATTACAAAATCAAAAACAACTAATAAAGAATCTCTGAAAAGTTTTGAAACCTAGATATACATCAGCAGGTATGAACATAATAAAAAGTTTATGTGGTATTGGCCTTTGACACAGTTTAAATTTTTGTCTCGCCTGCGACGAATGTCACGGAAAACGAGACATAGGAATTGCTTTTTTGGCAACGGCCATGATGGCGTCAACAATTGTTAAGTTTTCTGGTTAAATTAGTTTGATAGGAACTACTTGTGATAGATCATTGAATTTGATATTTTGTATGAAGATGCATTACTATCAGTATCAGTACATATCAGTTTGACGACAATTTTGAGGCCCTGCCCCCTAGGCCATGGTCCAGTGACTTTGATTTAATTAGCCATTTTCAATGTTAAGTTTTCTGCTTAAGTTATTTGATAGGAACTGTACTACTTGCAATAGATCAATGATATTTTCTATAAAGTTGCATTACTATCAGTACATATCAGTTTGATTACTATTTCGAGGCCCTGTCCCCTAGGTCATCATGGTCCAGTGACTTTCAATGAATTAATAATTTTCAATATTAAGTTTTATGATTAAGTTAGTTTGATAGGAACTACGTACAATAGACAATATTTTCTATAAAGTTACATTGCTGTTTGTACATCTCAGTTTGTCAACCATTTCGAGGCCCTACCCACTAGTTGGTCCAGCGACTTTGAATTAATTAGCAATGTTGCTGTCCATCAGATTGTCTTTTTCTGAATTTTATGCTGACAGGCGCGACATATCTCTGTGTCAACAGTCAATTTAAAAAGGTAAGTTATTTAAAACAAAGATTGAAAATTCTTACCACATGTATAAGAACTAATTAGATATTTTTAACTGCAAAATTATTTTCATAAATGAAATGAAGACTGTAAACATTTGATAGACTTGCTTGTGCTATACTTTATTTCAGATACTTTAAATTTAAAAACATCGTCTCAAATGTTCAAAAAATGACATAAAATTAGTGAAATTAAACTAATTCTTATTTTCTGTCTATATATGCCATGTACAGTTGGAATACATAAGGAATATTATACTTGAGTAAAACATCCCATTTTTTTTATGCTATTTGATTGGTAACCTTGAAAGAAGTTATATACAATGTGTGGGCCTATGAACAAAAACAAAGACTAGAACAGTCATGGTATTTAATGTTAAAATCAGGGCACTAAATCCTGTAAAAAATAATTGATATTTGGGCTTAAAATATCTATATCTATGGAAATGAACGTAGATATCAAATGTATCCCTGGTCTTATTCCAAATCTGGTGATTTTTTGGGAAATTCGAGCAGAAAGTTTTGAAATTTGACATATTTTTTACGGGGTGTAGGAACCTATAGCTAAGGTAGAATCCTACAGGTAGTCAAATATAACACTTTTTAATCCAGAGACAGAGAAATTTAAATTTTGCGCTCAATGTTGTGAGCCTTACGTCATAGACGATGTAAGCTGGGGATAAGAGCCCTTATCACCTGTAAAGATCATCATCAGAATAACATGTAATATTATACTCTCCAGAAAGGGATAAGGACAAGTTAAGTATTACTCATGCAATAGTGTTCAAATGTATTCTAGATAATTTGAATTCAGGATTTGTATTGTAGATTCTTGGTTTTGACATAATATTGATGGACGACCTGAAGCCTATGTTATTAGAAGTTAATTCTGGACCAAGTCTAAGTATTGAATGTGAGCAGGAAGTGGCTCCTGGAATAGTTGAGTATGTTGCAAGTCCTACAGATGAGGAAATCAAGAGACCTTTGGTCAGAGATACTATGATGTTGGTTGTACCAAAAGAAAAGCTCAAATATTGGTAAGTTTATTATTTCATGTGATATACTGTATTCTCTCTTAAAAGGTCTATAATATATATGTGTGAAGTGTGGCAGATTTCAAAATAAAATACTGTATATTCAAAAATCATTGCTATGTTTTTATTATTGAGAAAATTGCGACAAGATAGTTGTTGAAAAAAAACCCTCACATCTTTGTTTCGCCTGCGACGAAAGGTTTTTTTCGTCGCAGTATGTGAGACATAGGTATTACTATCCGGTGGTGCCGTAAACTATTTGTTTAAAGCTTTATATTTCAGATAGTAGAAGACCTGGATGCTTCATACCTTGTATGCAGATACCTTATGTTACGAAGTTTCTGTCTGTCATATGCCCATTGTCCTTGACCTTATTTTCATGGTTCAGCCACTGCATGAAAAAAAATTACAGTTTTTTTGTCATGTGAATTTCTCACTTATTATGAGTAATAGGATAACTATATTTGGTATTTTCATATTACCGACTTTTGTCTCCGAAATTATATAATTTTTCGACAAGTTACCTTTTCTGTAGTTAGACATCCTGGTACTCAGTCAAGTAAGAGCAACCAAAATAAGTAAAATCAAACATGTAATATGAGGGGAAAGTTTACTGATTTCCGATGATTTTTGTCATGTAAAGAATATGTAAAGCAGTTAATTTCCACCCAAAATTATACCGATTGAAAGCTTTATTTTACTTCTTTACCTTGCTCTTACTTGACTTGGTACCAGGATGTCCTACCACAGAAAAGGTAACTTGTCGAAAAATTGTATAATCTGGAGTCAAAAGTTGGTAATATGAAAATAGTCTTAACAAGTTTGAGCTTTCTAAAAAGCTGTGGACTGCTTCGCTCTATCCTAATTTAAGGTAATATGTGTGCATGTGGTTGTTGAATTAGTATTCTGGAGGTGTGCCTAGATTGGCAGAAGTTATAAAATACAGATAATGCATTTTTGTAAACATTGTATAGGAATATTGTTTAGCAAAACAAATCGTGCATATTGCAGATTAACAAAGCAAATAAACACGTATTAATAATTGATATTTCAATATTGAATTTCAGTGTGCAATATATGCATAATAAAACGAACATGAATTAATGACAGTTGATCGGAACTGAAATACACATACTTAATTTTCCGGCATTTGATGTCTTATCCTGAGACGAGAAAAGTCTGTAATTCTTTATCTCATTTAAGCCAATAGCTGTTGCTGTATCTCGGCCGCATCATAAAGCAACCAATGAGAATCTATATGTGATTAGTAATTATTTCAGGATGGCGTGTATATCTACTGAAACTAATAGCTATGCACCGTGATGCGAAGCAAAAAGTTGCAAAACTTTCAGTTTAAATTTCGTCTAAAATGAAAGAAACATTAGCAATGTCTAACCATTTTGAGTCATTAAAATCATTTCAAATTTAAACTGTTGCCTTCCCTAAACTGTTCTTGAACTTTTTGAGTAAAGTGGTAAGAAAATTCACGAAGTAAATGCGATGAAACAGCCACTACAAGTTTGTTGATGCTATGAATCTAGTGACCATTCGATATCGACAATTTAAAAAAGGGCACCAATTTTTAAGACATCTCAAAATGACCGAAATTGTGTGAAAAAATTTCCGGATCCTTGGATGTACATGACAGTCTGGCAGGTTTTATTTTACCTTGACATGGTTCATTGGTCAAATTAATTTTTCATAGTTCAGTTTGTTTCTTAGATACTATTAGCAATATGTCAACTATATTTAATGCATAGATTGATTGTAAATTGTACATGTCTGTCTGGCATGGTTCATCTGACCTTGACCTCGTTTTCATGGTTCATTTGTCAATGTTAAGTTTTCCTGGTTAAGTTTGATGCTTAGAAACTATAAGCAATAGGTAAACTATATTTGGTGTATGGCATGATTGTAAGATACATGTATTTCCAGTTTGGTTTATCTAACCTTGACCGCATTTTCTTGGATCATGGGATCATGTTGAATTTATGTGATACTCATAGTAAAGCTTTATACTTAGGACTATCAATATAAAATTAATGGTCAGTAAAGCAGGCGAGACATTTCAGCTTGTGCACTCTTGTTGTGTTTTGGTCTATTTTTCAAGTACTATAAGCAATAGGTCAACTATATTTGGTTTATGGAATGATTGTAAGATGTACATGTCTGTCTAGTCAGTATCATTTGACCTTGACCTCATTTTCATGGTTCATTGGTTAACGTTAAGTATTTGGTCTGTTATTTGATTACCATAAGCAATGGGTCAACTATATTTGGTGTATGGAATAATTGTAAGGTGTACACATGTCTGTGTGACAGTTTTTATTTGACCTTGACCTCATTGTCATGAATCTTTAAAAATGTTAAGTTTATGGGATACTTGTAGTAAAACCTTTATCTGTAAGACTTTCAACATAAAATCAATGGTCAGTAAAACAGGTGAGACATTTTAGCATGTGCACTCTTGTTAATTTTGAAAGCATTAGTTGTTGCAGCATTTCCTAAAATTGCAATAATTAAACTTATTAACCAACAATCTAACCATAAATTCACACAATAATTTCTGAGTATACAGTATCCACAATAAGCAATACAAGTATTTATTTATACAGATTTTTCAATTAATAAGAACAAGAAAAATAGTTTCTGTTAAATTTTTGTAGGAGAAATGAGTTTATGCTGTAGACTGCTTCACAGAAGTTTGTACATTTCATTACAAATTTTATAGTAATAGGCAATATACACGAGGTCAATGACTGTATATCACATAAAAATATACAGGTAACACATTTTGTCTTCTCAAAATTGTAAAAAGATTGCAGTATAAGATAAAATCCTTTAAAAAATACATTTTTTTTTTTGTCTCACCTGCATTCAAAATTGCAAAATGCAAGACCAAGGTCTGCTAATCCAGTAGTTGGGGTCTTAGCTAATTGTATAAAGCTTAATTTTTAAAAAGTAGAGGCAAGACAATACTGATTTTGTAGATAAATTGCTTATGGTCTCAAATTTCCATCTGGGTCAATATTTCTTATTCACATCAAAGTGAGTAATCCAGTTATAATTATTATGTAAAGAAAAAATATCTGTGCAGTGATATTTGATGTGTTGCTATTTTTAAACAAAAATGTTACTATTAATGCCTACCTGAAACTAATTGTGCATATTGACCCATCTGGCATATGTCAGTTGGTCTTGACCTTAGTTTTTATGGTTCAATCACTTTCCTAAGTCAACAGTACATGCCCATCTGACAAGGGTCACATGCACTTGAGTTCATTTTCATGGTTTAACAATCAATGTTAAGATTTGGTGGGAGCCTCCCAAATTTTTACTGTTGAAAATTAAAACACTCTCTGAAATCCTGTGAGGTCCTGCACTATATCATCTGATTCAAATCAACAATATGGCCAGTGTGAGCTTTTGCCATCACTTGGTGACTGACCTCATGTTCGTGCCTTAATTTTACAAAAAAAAAAAACTCTTCTCTGAAACAACTGGGCCAATTAGAGTTAAACTTGGCCACAATCATCCTATGGGTATACCTATTAATATAATTTTAAAATGTGTTGGATGATCCCACCTGCCAACTAACATGGTAACAAAGGCTAAAAATAGAACGGGGTAAAATGCAAGTATTGTCTATTGTCTTGAAAACCATTATAGATAAGAAAAAAAATAGAAATATTTAAATTTTTGCAGAGCTATAAATGTTCAGGATGTCAAGATCTTCCTCTGGTCCATTTGACCAAAATTATAAGACCACTCCTTATAGGAGTTTTAGCTCAACAATTTTTACAATTTTTTTGAAATTTGGCCTATTATCTTGAAAATTATAAAATATAGAGAGAAACTTTAAACAGCCAAAAAGATTTCCACGACATGATCTACATAAAGGTCAACATGGCTTAAATCGTCAGTTATCTTCTTCTAGGAGTTATATTATCCTTGATTAAAAAAAAAAAATTAACTCAGTTTTGTTTTTGGCAGAACCTGTAGTACTGGGTAGGTGGAGATAGACTGTATTAAGCACTAAAAACTTTTAGCAAATTAAGAATTTCAAATAATTCAACATGGTACAAAAAATTCAGTTTATATGAGTTAATGCCCTTGAATGACAATTTTTACCCATTTTTGTGGGGTTTTTTTTGTGGAAAATATAGAAGATAAAGAGAAACTGTTATAGCAAAAATGATCAGAAAAATAAAATCTAAAATATTTCAACATGACCAAAATCATCAGTCAACTAATAATAGGAGTTATTGCCCTTGAATGACAATTTTACCCATATTTTCATTTTGCTTGAAACTAGATTAAACTTATTGCATTTTATTAATTTCGTGATAAAAAAATGCCAAGTGAATGATACACTAGTTTATATCTATCTTATTTGTAGTCGAAGACGAAAAAGGAGATTAAAAAGACTGCAGCAGGAACAAAGGGAGTCTTGTCGAAGTGGGAAACGTCCAAGGTTTAAATCTGAACCTCTTCAAAGGCAGAGAACTCACATTCTGATTATAAATGCTGATGAACCTGATGAATCAAAAAGAGAAATTGATGTCACAAAACAAATGTCTGAGATGCATCTGGATCACTACAAAGGTTAGTGGACCATTTAAAAAGTGTATATCTGGGTAGGTGTAAATTCAGAATAGCCCAACAAAGCTGTTACTTATACTTGTTTTACAAGGCAGTACAACTCATTGTCCAACCTTCCTGGTTAAGATTTTTTTTTACAATTTTGGTTTGATGTCATTTGATCAATATACAGCTCAATTCATGAATGGACAATGATGAAAAGAACATAACATATGTATATATGCCAAAAAGGTGATCATGTAATCTTCATTTTATTGACTAGTGATAAGTGTTAAGGTTTTCATTACAGTGTAGGTTTAAGCTAGTTCAGTAGGTAGTAAATTTGTAAAGTCTGTGTTTTAGTAAAAAAAAAAAACTAAAATTAATTTAAATGAATAGAAAAGGAATTGCACAAAACAATTAAGTGCAGAGCTTTGCTGAAAGTTCAATGAAAATTGAGGCATTGCAGGTGAAGGAGGTGTTTCAGATAAAAAGTTCAGCTTGATAATATGAATTAACAAATGAATTGGTGAACAAAGGAAAGGACAAACAGACTCAACCATCACTTTACACCTCTGTCTCACTTAGCAAGTGATTCAAAAATACCGTTTCAATATATTAACGAGTTTCATTTCTTTGTTTGACATGAAAAGGCTTGTAAAACAACTTAAAACAGAGTATCCTATAATATCTATGAAAGTTTAAAACAAAATTGAAATTAACTTTATTCAACTCTTTAATGTCAAAGATGAAATGCTAAATAATACATCTAAATTTGAAAAGGTTTCTGATCTTATAAGACAATTTAAAGTTTGAATAGAAAATCAAATCGATACAGGTAAATAATGCTCAGGGAAAATAGCTATATGAGGTTTAAAAGGAGATCAGATTTTGAATAAGATATAATATTAGCCAATAAATCATTAGTTTAACTTTTAGATTCCAGAGACCAGGAATCAGCAACATCTAGAGATGCTGCCAAAGATCTAAGTGAGGTTGACATGCCTAAAATGGAGTTGGATTCTGAGATGTCAGAGTCACATGACGATGACACAATCCATGAAGAAGATTCACATGAAGATGATCATGACCATGACAGTCCAACATCCCGCAGAGAATCTTGTTTGAAACATATTTATCCTGCCATATATGATGATGAGTTTGAGAGGTTGAGATTGTTAGAAAGAGTAGCTGAGTTATTCAGATTTTGTTTAGGAGTAAGAGGGTCACTTAGGATAGGACCAACAGGTTTCAGAACATTTGCCAGGTAAAAAGAATTATCATGATTATCACTCCAATTTACTAATATGTACAAGTTTTGGAAGAAATGGACCTGGTCTCTTGCATAATTCACTGTTTCAGAATCTAAAAGTTATCAGTAATTTTATTGTTCATTCACATAAAGGAAAATAAAGCCACATTATTGGACGAAAATATTCATAGCTTAGTGGATTAGCAACCAATTTCAAAGTTTTGTTTACTCTTTTGAAAATAGTATCTTTAAAAAACCAGAAAACAACTAAATGAATACTTCAAGGAATAATTAAGGACACTGACTGGCGGCATTTTCAACTTGGAACACGCTATTAAATTTACAATGACTATTCATCTTGTAAGCTTAATATTAATTCTCTCTACAGATATTTTTAATATTGAATCAAATATTGCCAATTTATCGCCAGTGTAAAGTTATTGACTTTTAGTTTTCCAATGTTACAGGAAATGTAGACTGAATAGAAGAGGAATGACCAATGCTGCCATAGATATAATGTACATAGATATGCAGAGAAAATTTGATCATATGAATCCTGAGAGAACTTCTGGTATGTATTTTAACTCTTTTCCTTATCTTATGATATCTGAAATGTTAGATATAAAATGTAACAAATAAATCTGACTTGAGTGTTATAAAAATGGTTGTTCAAATATTTTTTTTATCTTGTAGTATTATCCCATTCAGTTTGGATCATAATTTTTCATGGGGTACTTATTTTTCATGGATTTAGAGGGTTAAGGAAAACCACAAACTTAAATGTTCAACATAGTATCAACTTAAATGTTCAACATAGTATCAATTATCTATACCAAAATCAAATATCCTTAATACACAGTTTTTCCTCAATCCAGGAAAATTGGTACAAAATGTACCCACAAAAACAAATGAATCCACAGTAGTAATGATGTTTATGTATTTTTCTTATTTTGAGTATATGCCTGCATTGATATAAGGCTGTTAATATATTTTCTTTTTTTTGGGGCTATTTTCCAATAAAAGGAGGTCTGCATTAAAAAATGTATTCAAATTTTCATTATTTATTTATCGTTTTTATATGATAATAAAAGAACAGTATTTCAATGTCCCTCTAGTTGCATATATTTTTTGTTTGGTTCTTTTTTACTTTATAATAAATTTCTTACAAGAAAAGTAAGAATTAGATTGCTAACACATATAATTTCTATTATTAAGGGGCATAAATCCAGTAAAAATTGTTGGCGGGCACTCTTCAGAGACCTTGCTGATATTAGCCTATGATTAAAATTTTATAACAATTAAACAAGAAATGTAGGTGTGAGAGTGCTTCAAATGCAATGTTCAATATAAATAACACTCCAAACAGACATAACGATTGTAAAAATAATTGATCAGCCAAGATTTTCAAACTTACCTCTAACATTGCCATTACAAATCTTTGATATAGATTTCATAACAATCCTACAAGAACTGAAGTTGTGAGAGTGTTTACCATGCAATTTTCTATATAATCTATATTTCAAAGGGACATAATTCTTCAAAAAATATTTGATTGCCTATTGTTGAACTCAGTATAGACATTGCTGATAACAACTTTTGATATAAATTTCATAAATATCTGGTAAGAATTGTACACTTGAGAATGCTCACAATGGAATATTCTATAAAATTTACATTTCCAAAGGGACATAACTGCTGTTCAGATAATTTATCAGCGCTGATTTTCAAACTTGTCCTAGACATTGCTGATATGAACACTCCATATAAATTACAAAATAATCTTACCAGAAATGTAGGCTTATGAGCGCTTACAATGTAATTTTCCATATAATTTCCAAGAGACATATAACTCCTTCAAAAATAGTTTGTCACTGATGTTCTCATCTTTCCAAAATATTGCTGATATAAACATTTGATATAAATTTCATAAATATCTGGTTAAGAATTGTACACTTGAGATTGCTTAAAATGCAATTAAAACAATAGAATTTACATTTCCAACGAAAATAACTCTTACATATAAATCATATTTCCAAGGAGCATAACTCTTTTACATAAGTATTTCGATCAGAATTGATTTTCGAACTCATCCTAGACATTGCTGATATTATCCTATGATATAAATTTCATAAATATCTAGCAAGAATCATAGACTTGAGAGCACTGACAATGCAATGTTCTGTAGAATAAACATTTCCAAGAGGCATAACTCCTGTACAAATAATTGATTGGTGTTGATTATGAAATTTGTCCAAGGCATTGCTAATATAAATCTTTAATATGAATTTTGTAAACAATCCTACAAGAAATTTAGGTTTGAGGGTGCCTAACATGCAGTTTTCTATATAATTTATATTTCCAATGGGAATAAATATTTGATCAGAATTGATTTTCAAATTTGTCTCAGACATTGCTGATTAAACCTTTGATGTTAATTTCATAAATATCTGGCAAGGATTGGTAACTTAACAACACTTACAATGCAATTATCAAGGGACATATCTTTTGTGCATATAATGGATCAGCGCTGATTTTCAAACTCGTCCCAGACATAACTGATAAAAACATTCCATATAAACTACATAATAATCCTACCAGAAATGTATGCTTGAGAGCACTTACAATGCAATTTTCCATATAATTATTGTCGAGCCTGCGACTTTTGTCGCAGAAAGATCGAAATAGGGATAGTAAAAGCTTCATATATCAGAAGGTAGAAGACCTGGATGCTTCATACTTTGTATATAGATGCCTTATGATATGAAGTTTCGGTCTGTCGTATGTCCATTGTCCTTGACCTCATTTTCATGGTTCAGTGACTACTTGAAAAAAAAGTTCAGATTTTTTGTAATGTTAATTTCTCTCTTTATTATGAGTAAATGGATAACTATATTTGGTATGTGCGTAACTTGCAAGGTCCTCATGCCTGTCAGACAGTTTTCACTTGACCTCAACCTCATTTCATGGATCAGTGAACAAGGTTAAGTTTTCGTGGTCAAGTCCATATCTCAGATACTATAAGCAATAGGTCTACTATATTTGGTGTATATAATGATTGTAAGGTGTACATGTCCAACTGGCAGGTGTCATCTGACCTTAACCTCATTTTCATGGTTCAGTTGTTAAAGTTTATTTTTTGTGTTTTGGTCTGTTTTTCTATTACTGTAAGCAATAGGTTAACCGCATTTGGTGTATGGAAATATTTTACGAGGTACAAGTCAGTCTGGCAGGTTTTATTTGACCTTGACCTCATTTTCACGGTTCATTGCTCAATGTTAAGTTTTTGTCGGTTTTTCTAATACTGTATGCAGTAGGTCTCCTATATTTGGTGTATGGAAATATTTTACGATGTAGATGTCAGTCTGGCAGGTTTTATTTGACCTTGACCCCATTTTCATGGTTCATTGCTTATGTTTAGATTTTGTGTTTTGGTCTATTTTTCTTAAACTTTAAGCAATAGGTCAACTATATTTGGTGTATGGAATGATTGTAAGGTGTAGATGTCTGTCTGGCAGGTATCATCTGACCTTAACCTTATTTTCATAGTTCATTGGTCAATGTTCAGTTTTCCTGGTCAACTTTATTTCTTAGATACTATAAGCAATAGGTCAACTATATTTGATGCATGGAATGATTTTAAGATGTACATGTCTGTCTGTCTGGCAGGGTTCATCTGACCTTGACTTCATTTTCATGGTTCATTGGTCAATATAGAATTTCCATGGTTTGATCTGTTTCATTTATACTATAAGCAATAGGTCATCTATATTCTGTGTATGGAATGATTGTACTAAAGGTGTACATGTATTTCTGGCTTGGTTTATCTGACCTTAAAATGATATCTAGAAAATGATATGTAAAAATGAAAATTTTTGAAATGTAAGTAAAGAGTCTGATGTGTAAAATAAAAAAGAAATTGAAGATTTATTTGTGAAATGATATTATTTTTGATTTGCATTTGTAATTTTTTAACAGAAAATAAGCCAAAGAAGACAGTAGGTGGGTTGTCAATGCTTTGTTTCACAATCATTCTGTAAAATAAATTAGTTTCAGCTCAGATCACAAGATAAGTGAGAAATCCCATCCGGATTTAATAGCTTAGAATATTAAGATGTTTGATACATTATAGTACAGATTCTAATGTGAATGGTGATTGGGTAGTGGTAATATCCATAAAAATTGAAAAAGGTTTATCAAATCTGGATAATTTCCATGAAGATCCTAGATTCAAATGCAGTAAATATCTTTTATTGACAAAGCATTACATTAGAATCTGAATAATTGTCTTGTATTTGAATAATTGCCACTACCAATCTTGTTCTTGACTGTTGCAGCTAGAGTTTTACTGTAGTGGAAGTACTTTCTAGAAAACTCAGTTTGAATCAGTGAAAGACAGATTGATTGTGGCATGTTTTCAGATTCAATACACTTAGTATTCATTACATTGCACACTCAGTTGGCTTTTGTACTATTGTTGGTAATATTAGAATTAGATCCTAACTCATATTAGCTTATCATCAGGTAAAACAGTTTTCACAGTTCATGATGTAACAGTACGATGACTTGACAAGCAAATGTTAGAATATGTAAACAGGCAGGACATGATCATAGTAAAGAAATAGTGTTATTTTGAAAACTTTTTTTTGTGAGGATAAATCTGGATTTGAGAAATCAGAATTGGGATGTCTCTAACCATTTTAACCGTGATTTAACAGGAGTATTGAAGCTTGGCATGACTTTGCTTGTCAAGGTTTAAGTTGCTTCATTTTACTGAAATTTTATTCTAAGGTGATAGCCACAATAAAACACATTTGGTGTAGAGATTTATGCAAAAAAAAAATTCAGGATTTGAAATGATGCTGCTATAATAGAAACTATTTAGTGTATTATTTATTAAAAATGAAAGACTACAATTTATTTCACATAATAGATAAAAAAGAATAGCTGCTTAGGTTATCTTCCTTTATAGACTTATATATATATAGGTAGGTATTTGTAAAGTTTCTACAAGGACACTACTTTCTTGTTAATCAGGTGGTGAGTTTTCAGTATTTCAGGTAAGATTTTTTTAAAAGATACTATATTTATTATGTTTTGATGATTATACTGTAAATTTATAAAAAATGTAACGGATGTTGATAAATGACAGTTTTTTGAGCAGCTTATATTTTGTAGTTTTTGGTGGTATTTTCAGTTGCAGAATGTAATTAGTAAGAGATTTTAGAAAATAAGCCATAAATTATGTCAGCCTTACATAATTTGAATTAATGACTAGACATAATTCTGAATTTAGGGTCAAAGAATAAATGTTATAAATTAAATAAAGTGTATTATCAGCTTTTCTGTTTTTTTATAGGTCTCTGTTTCCAGGGATTTTTATCTTCATGTTTAGAAATTGCTAGAAGAAAGTTTTATGCTCCCACAAAACTTGAAATGTTGGAAAATTTATTGGAATATTGTGAAGTAAACATTTGCCAAAGAGATGATGATATGCCACCAACATTGCCAAGGTTGCAATACCGACCAAAACAAAGCTCATCATCATATGGCCAATCATCAACATTTCGTAGAAAGATGACACGTGATATAAGAGAAGAGACCATAGAAGACCTTTTGGATAAAACACAAAAGAATTCTGAAATAGAAGCATTTCTTCGTCAAGGAAGAAGAATGAATTATGTTCCAAAACCTGTGCTTGATCAACCTACTTTTATGTCATTCAATTCTGAATAGAAGAAATAAGATGTTCATGAAAAGCATGTATGCAAGGTCCATTTTTTAAAGAAAAATATTATTAATTTCAAATTGTTTTGCTACCTGTATTAGTTCTTTTTTAAACCCCTTAAGCAACCACATAATTCTAGACGGAACATATCCATTTGGACATCAGTGTGTTCATTGGTTCATCTGTCAAGATTGAAGTACTAGTATAACACACCATAGGGGAATGAAATTTTGTCAATGCATAATCCTTTGGAAAGTAATAAAGATCCATACAAAACGGTGGTTAAACAGTCATATATTTCATGCACCAACTATCAATACTGACTTGTGACTTTCATAGTTTTGTGAAGTTAATTGAGAATAACTTACCTATCTAACTCATATTAGAGTAAAATAAAATATGCATATCTAGTCTTGTAATGTTTCTTTTAAGTGAAGTAATATTATATTTGATTAGCAACATTGTAATAGTTTATATTTACTCAATATATTTAACTTTTTGTTAACTTCTGAAACTTTCAGTTATTCAGATATATGATATCCACTTGAATATGATTTCATTGTACACAAGAAGTGAGAATGTTTCTTAATCTGAATCAATTCAGTTGTAGTTATAAGTAATAGACATTAAAATAAATTGTTTTTCATCCAAACTCTGTAAATATGACTAAAAATTAAATGCATGTTTGCTAAAGCCACCCCCTCCCCCTGTTGAACTTTTAAGATGCAGATATAAAATAAAAAATAGTAAATACTCTAAGCAGAAGTAAATATTTATATAAAGTTGTTTGCAATCCTACCACATCTCTTTATTTGTATATATTCCATACTACAATAAACTCACCATAGACACCAGAATTAAATATTATATTTGGAATTTTATTTGATTAATATTTATTGGAGTATTTCTTACACACAACATATTAATATGTTGTATGAAAAGATTTTGTATAATGATAATCTGCAATTTGAAATATTTCAATTCTAATTCACATAATTTCTCATTTTATTACTGCCATTTGCCTTTTTCACAATACCAATGTGCTAGACATTTGTTTTATTCAACAATTCATTTCTGCTTTGTTTTCCAGGTTATTGAGAAATTATATTTCGAATATATTTATACAGTAATTACTGAATTTAATGATATCAAAAGGTGATAAGAGCAAATTCTATATCTAATTGTGATGTTAAGCACAATCAAGATTATCTCCCTTTTATCATGTATTCAACATTTTTCACAAAATTTTCACTCACATAACAAATAAAAAAAGCTATCTTTTCAGGACGCATTCAGATAGTTTAATAACCATTGAGACGTTGTTAAGAACAAATTACTTATAATAAATAAACTGTCATTATAATGGAAGTTTTCAAGTCGAAATTTTATAAAATAGTGTCCCTATGCCTAGTTCTATTATTCAAACCTTTTCCCGAAAAAAGAAAGTTAATTAGTGTGATAGTAAGAATATTTTAATTGCGCTGCCTTCTCTTAACATTCACTTCATCAAAGTTCTAAAAAAATTCAGTAGTTAATTAGTTTGATGACCTAAATTTTAATTTGCAACTTGAAAAAATATTTTGTCCAAATGATATTGTGATAGGGTAAAGGGTATAAGCACTGTAAAAAGTTATAAAAACGTATTGCAGTACTAATGAAATGAAGTTGTTTAATCTGGCAGTATAAGAATGATTGTAAAATAATTGATGCATCAGTATTTTTAGTTCTAGTTTGAGTAATGTTACACATGTGCATGTTACTTTAGAAAATAACTGTGTACTGGTATATGTGTACAAACACACTCCACTTTATTACCATATTGCAAATTCAAGAATTTTTTATTCCAAGTTATAATCTAGCAGAAAATAGTTAATCAACACTTATCAGTAAAGCAAGGACTATATTTTTTAAAATATTTCAAGTCTTTATCTGACGAAAGCCTGATATGTCCTCCGTTATATATTTGATATATGGTTGTGGTTACTAGGTGGTACACAAACAAATATTGTAGAGCAATGAAAAGAAAATTTACATTTCCTTAAATGAGGAATATAATTCTCCTTACCATTTGTTACTTAGGAGGACTAAAAAATAATTATATTAACCCTCAAAGCATATTAGTTACTGGTAGGCAAGGACTAAAACTTCTTAATTATGAATTATTTGAGGAATTATGTGTGACGAAGAAGACACAAGTCTGTGCAATACAATAAATCAAAAATTTATGACGATGATTTTGTCAGTGACATATTGCTCAGTAGACTATTTTATTGAAAGATAAAACTTATGATATTTTTCAACTAAAATTATATTTATATTTTTTACTTAAACAATTTTATATGATCTTATGCAGTATTCAAAGCATAATAACACTTTTCCTTTAGAGGGAAATATGTTGTGGTATTAGACAAATACATTGATGCCTATGTAGAAATTAACAAGATTAATGTTTTGATGAAGAGAGTACATTCAGACTCAGCCTCAATATACAAAATATATTTAAATTGTGTATTTTTACATAGTTTAAATTTTAACTTAGACTTCAAGCATTTGAAACTTAAAAAATGCTGTTATAGATTATGATTCATTTACAGAAGCTGTGTATTTGCACACGAGAATGATGAATTATGTCTTTTATCTAAAAAAAAAACAACAAACATTATATCCTTTTGACCCATTTTCTATATTGATCTATTTTAATACATGTAGTATAGAATTAAGAGGTATGATTTTTGCCCACGATTGCTTTTAATTAATAGTTTACTTTATATTCTTTATGGCTCACATATACTTTTATGGCTGTGATTAAAGTACCCTTGTTGCACATGTGTATTTTTTGTTATGTTTTCATTTTGAAGAGCAAATAACTTGTATGTTAAGATTCATTTATTTTCGGAGGGGATATTGCTTGTTTTGTTATTTATTAAAAGTGTATTTGCATGGTTTTCAATGCTATATTATTATTATGTGTTGAACAATAAAAATATCCTATTTACTATTATAGCTTGTTGTATTTTCTGAGTGTAGAACAATCTTGTAAAGATTTCTGAAGTTTACACTTTTTTCAGTAAGAAGACTTCTTTTTCTTTGCTTTTCTTCAAACAACTGCTTTACAAAATATAAAGCTTGTAGAACACCCACAGGGACCAGGGAAACAATTGTTGGGATGAGTTTCAGTGTAGAAGAGTGGTAGCTTTGAATGTTGGTTCATGTTTCTATGGATACATGTATTGATATGAAGATATGACAGCAATGCTAAGTAGTGATACATGTATCAATGTGGAGTCTTGTCTGAAGAATGATATGGTGATTCTTGTATCACTGTAGGGATGTGTTCTTTTATGTCTTGGATTGTGGAAAAAATGCATGATATGAATGCAGTGCCTATATGAATATTGAGGTGGGATAGCACTGAACAATAGAATAATATATATTTATATATGTAAAGGCACATGAAAGGTATGATAATGTAAATTTATTGATCATGTTTTGGGAAATTGTGAACTTGAAGATGTTTTAGAGGGTTTTACCTCTGAGTCTTAGTCAACCAGCTGGACCTGTAGAAAAAAAGTTCCTGTATATAGAAGTGAGGTATTAATAAAAAAAAAAAAAAAATTACCAAGAGGGAATCAAACACCATAAGTCAATGAAAGACAACACCAAGACTACAAGAAAATACAAACTGACAAACAGCAAGCACAAAAAATTAAAATTGAGCAAGACTAATCCCACAAAATACCAGGCTATACTCATGCAGATACTCAGAAAATTTAAGCATTTCCTCATCCAATAGTGGCACTTGTGTTGCTCATAGAATGTAAAAAATATACTGATAAGTGGCATTCGATTATGTCCTGACCTGGGAAGGGAAGACGGGTTTGTTGCTACAAGATCTACAAGCGAAACATGTCCGTGATAATCTTATAAAATGGAAGCAGACACCTAGGGGTCAAGTAATAACCATTAGCCAACAACTATAACAACAACACCATGGCCGTAGGAAAAAATATGCCCACAACAACAGTCCACAGAACACCAATGAAAAAAAAAACGTTTAACTTTAAGCAACACAATTCGTATCAAGAACTCGGGCTTGTCATGTGCTGCTGAAAGTTAAGTAGTTTCAACTCTACAAGTGGCACCAAGCATCTTGTTCATGGTAAAATTTTCGACCAACAAAACAGTAGAGAGGATATAGAGAGAGATCAAATTGTACAACGTGTATTCCAAAATAGAGTGACGATGATTCCAACCATTGTACTACTTTACCTTGTACACATGTCTTCATTATTAACTTAAAGACAGGTTTATTAAACAAGTCAAACTTGATTTAAGAACAGACATAAACCATTGTAACCCTGATTTCCCATGCATGTAACCATTGTAACCCTCATTCCCCATGCATGTAACCATTGGAACCAGAAATCATAACGCATGTCGCCATTGTAACCACGATTGAAGTTGAACTAGGGCTGCCAAGTCTCACGCACTCATGCATTTTCATGCTTATTTGGCGGCATTTTCCTTTGATCTATTGTTTTTTCTCTTTGATCTTTACGATTTTGGACAAATCTCACGCATTTGCATTATTAAAAGTTGGCAGAACTGCGATTCCCCATGCATATCTATAACCATTGTAACCAGTATTCCCCTCACATGTAACCATGCATTGTAAGCTGGATTTCCAATGCATGTAACCAGTTTTATAGTTTGTTCTAACTTTTAAAATATCTTAATATCAGAAAGTTTGGAAATGAACACAGGTGCACGAATGTAACAATGTAACCATTTGGTCAATGGAGGTTGCAATACAAGATAACTTAATTCCGGTGCCAATTTTATGCCATATCTAACAAGTTTGCTCCTTGTCTCGTCGACCTGTGCCTTAATTCATATTTGGCAGATTTTATAGTTCATCCATTTCATCAACGTATACATTAACAAACAGAAATGATCTAAACTTGACTCAAATATCACCGAATCTGTAGAAATATCGTGGCTTTTTGAGAGATTATGATTATGTCAGTAATTTTTGTTTGACCTGGAACTGTTTTAATTCAAATACCGATAATTTAAATTTTAAAAAGTATAGTTTTAAGGAGAATGTCACGCTTACTGTGCGTTAAAAAATCAATCTTTAGGGGGCTTCGTTGAGTGGAACTGTCGAAGTGCAAAATTTCTGTCTCGATCCAACATATGTCACAATGGGAATCCAAAACTTTTCACCTTGATTCCGGTCGATCCATTTTTCAGAACCTAGGCTACTTACTGGATTTGACAAATACACCCAGAGGGTTAACTTATATATGGAATATTGGCCATTTCCAGACTTTTCCCTTGCGGCAGTATAACCCATGCTTAAAAGAATCGTGTCGTACATGTCCCCCTTTTCCAGTTGCAGTCGACATTAATCCTCGTCGGCCCACTCTGTACATACTGTCTAAAGGATTATAACTTATCTTCTCGTCCTGAAGAGACATGCATATTCATCACTGTGAACAAACAGCAATCAATCGAACATGTATGAAATTCGACTTTGCATCGGTAAATGCTGAAAACTGTATTGCAACGTCAGTTTCGGCCCTGAACTCTCCACTCCCATGCCGCATCAGGGTCTTTGAATCTAACTCAACTCACGGTCAAGCTTCAAACAGTTTGCCGCAATAGAATTAAGGGTCAACTTGGCTACGCCACTGTACAGACAAACAATTCATTATTACGTCTATATATTTTTAGACGGATAACTTCAACAATACCAATAAGAAGAACTACTTTGGTATAAGAAGAAGAATATTTGATTCCAATTAAGGACCCCGAAGGGCATAAATATTTGACATGACAATAACATTATAATTTGAGTTTGACTGTCCCTCTGATATCTTTCGTCCCTCTTTTGAGAATAACACAAATAACATTCAATAAAATCAAGTGATATATATATATATTTTCTTAAGTAAATATTTAAGCAGCTTAATTTAAGCTTTTAAAATATACAATGCAAATGTGGTTGATATAAGGTTTATTATTATATATTGAGAAAAAATAATAATACATAGTTAAATAAAAGATATATATGTAGTTGTCTAGCCCAGAAGATTCAGTGTGTTTGCAGTGTTTCCCGTGTCAGCAGCAAGTAAGATAGCAGTGTGGTATCCAAAATGCAACTTACACCAGAGGATGATACCTTAATGACTGACTGGTATGCTAAATATATATGTGGAAAATGTCTTTATCCTACATGTATAAAAAGCATAAAAGGTAGCAACATAGGTAACTTGAATGAAGTTGACACCAGTTGCATGATGATGACATTAGGATATAAGAACATTTTAATTTATAGAAAAAAGACTTGTCTGTTCAATACTAGTATGTTTATAAACAACACCTTTTCAGGGAAATCCTGAAACCCTGGAATATAGTATCAACTGGCAGATATATATGAGGGTAGGAATGCCCTTTACCGTCAGGCGTCAAACGGTCATTTTCGGTTACCGTTAGCCTCAAATTGGTTAAAATTTTACCATGATTCGTTAAAATATCCTTATCGTGATTCGTCAGAGGTCTCAAATAATTATCGTTACCATTATTTTTGGAAAAAGATTAACGTGATTCGTCAAAATCAGTCGACTTTTTTATCGTTTTAAAGAAAGTGTACATTTTATCGTCATGCACCAAAAAATACCGTTAACGTCATTTGGCAAGATATATATATTCCATATGCTGTTGCTACTATGATTTTGCTGTTTAAAAAATGGAGTCTAACAGCAGAGAACTGAAATAATTCCTTTTGTCATAAAGTTTAGTTTATTACGACCATCGCTGCCAATCTTTAGATTCAAGTCAAGATATGAAGCAAACATAGCTGTAACTGCGGTATCTTTTTCTTGCAATAGCATTGGGATAGATGCGATCAACTTAAAATAATTATTCAGTTTATTGAGGACATTAGCTGTGCAGAGTTTTAGCTGTAAATATATTTCAAGGAAAAAACTAGTGTCTTTTTATTCTTCCGAGAAGCTCTTCTATTAAATGTGACAAGTACGAATAAAGGAACAAGAAGACAAAAAGCCGGGAGCGCAGTTGCCCCCCCCCCCCCCCCCCCAACAACAACAACAACAACAACAACTAGGAAACATAATTTAAAAAAGCTTATGCGTCACTGGCCTATCAACACAGTGGGAAATCTAGTGAAAAAGAACAAAAGAAAATTACCTCTTATTAGAGTCGAGAAAATCAATACTAAAACAATGCCGATGACGACACTGATCAAAAGTTATTTCTAAATAACAATTGTACATTTTAAAGAAATTATTTGGTAAACTGTGTTATTAGAAATATACATGCAAATACACGATGTTTTATGTTCAGTATTTATCGAGATAATGGCATTAGTAGCTTCTGAAACTGAAATATAAAAAATGCCAATCTTTGCTGCATATTGATAAAAAAAATTGGAAAAAATCATATAAAATCTAAAGATCTTTCAGGTCACCAATTTTTGGAGTGTTCCACAAAGTCCTTAGCATGATACAATTTCCCAAAATATACTTATTTTTCACATTCTAAGTTTTTGAGTACACCGTTCTGCTCTTGTCACATGAAAATTCAATATAGAAATATTGTCTTTTCATGAATATAACAATATAAAAGTCTGTCTGTGCAGGTTAAAAAATTAAAGATAAAAATTCTTATAAATTAGGCTTCTTTTTACTATTTTTTATACAATTTTAAGAAAAGGTCGTCTCGATTTTTGTAAATGTATTTGCGGTCTTCTCGATCTATTCACATTAAATGTTTACATCGGGATAAGGTCCGTTTGAATTTGCTTAGTAACTTAATTTCAAAAGTGCCAATCTTTGCTGCATATCAATCGATTCCTTAGGAATTTTTTTCCTGACTTTATCTGATCAAGCTGCATATATATACGGATAATTAGCATATTCCAGAGAGGTATACAGCCAGTAAAAAAATTAATTGAATTTAGTACCCCGGAAATTTATTCGCATAGCAACATTTTAATCCAATTTTACACAAAGCTCCTTTGGTCTACTGTACTTGTCGTTTTTGTCGAGCCTGCGACTTTTGACGCTGAAAGCTCGATATAGGGATAGTGATCCGGCGGCGGCGGCGGCGTTATATAACTTCTTAAAAGTTTAATATTTCAGAGGGTAGAAGACCTGGATGTTTCATACTTTGTGTATAGATGCCTTATGATGTGAAGTTTCCATCTGTCATATGTCCATTGTATTTGACCTCATTTTCATGGTTCAGTGACTACTTGAAAAAAAAGTTCAGATTTTTTGTAATGTTAATTTCTCTATTATTATGAGTAATAGGATAACTATATTTGGTATGTGCGTACCTTGCAAGGTCCTCATGCCTGTCAGGCAGTTTTCACTTGACCTCGACCTCATTTCATGGATCAGTGAACAAGGTTAAGTTTTCGTGGTCAAGTCCATATCTCAAATACTACAAGCAATAGGTCTTCTATATTTGGTGTATGTAATGATTGTAAGGTGTACATGTCCAACTGGCAGGTCACATCTGACCTTGACCTCATTTTCATGGTTCAGTGGTAATAGTTTAGTTTTTGTGTTTTGGTCTGTTTTTCTAATACTGTATGCAATAGGTAAACTATATTTGGTGTATGGAAATATTTTACGATGTACATGTCAGTCTGGCAGGTTTTATTTGACCTTGACCTCATTTTCACGTTTCATTGCTCAATGTTAAGTTTTTGTGTTTTGGTCTGTTTTCCTAATACTGTATCAAAAGGTCAACTGGTGTATGAAAATATTTTACGATGTAGATGTCAGTCTGGCAGGTTTTATTTGAACTTGGCCTCATTTTCATGGTTCATTGCTTATGTTTAGATTTTGTGTTTTGGTCTGTTTTTCTTAAACTTTAAGCAATAGGTCAACTATATTTGGTGTATGGAATGATTGTAAGGTGTATATGTCTGTCTGGTATGTATCATCTGACCTTCACCTCATTTTCATGGTTAATTGGCCAATGTTCAGTTTTCCTGGTTAACTTTATTTCTTAGATACTATAAACAAGTCAATAGGTCAACTATATTTGATGCATGGAATGATTTTAAGGTGTACACGTCTGTCTGGCAGGGTTCATCTGACCTTGACTTCATTTTCATGGTTCATTGGTCAATATAGAATTTCCATGGTTTGGTCTGTTTCTTTTATATAAACAATAGGTCATCTATATTCTGTGTATGGAATGATTGTAATAAAGGTGTACGTGTATTTCCGGCTTGGTTTATCTGACCTTGACCTCATTTTCTTGGATCATAAATGTTAATGTGATACTTGTAGTAAAATTTTATATGTAGGACTATCAACATAAAATCAATTGTCAGTATAGTAGGCGAGACATTTCAGCGTGTGCATTCTTGTCTATTTAAGGAGGGAAATGATAACATTAGATGAAAGTTTTGTTTTTATTTCAACTTATTTCTATTTTTACTATTTACCAGAACATTTTCCCGTGAATTTATAATTGATAGTGTCCTTGCTAAAATGGGACAAACATTGAAAAGATCTAGTTTTTAGTGTTTACAGGGGAAGTAATATTTGGCACTAGATTTCCCACTGAACACAGAGGTTGTGAGTTCGAGTCCTGCACGTGGCAGGTGCGTTGACTCCAATCTTAATTGACTAGGATTGTCAGTTTTCATAACAAAGGGCCGCGTGCTTCATAAAAATGACCGACCAACGTAGATTTAATTAGTATCTTACATTTGTATAGTACAATACAAATACTTCGTTCAGCTTAGGGTATGCTTGAAGACTTCAGTGTTTAAAATTAGTAGATTTCGGGAATCGTATCCTGCCGCTAGAACTTAATAGAACAGCTCCGTGTACTATGCAGTGTTCTCCTGGCTCTTTTTTTTATGTTTTCTTCGATGGTACTTACAGTTGTATCTTTACTATCTCTTTGAATTCCAATGTGAGATATTTATTTACGACAGGCATTTGTTTATTCCTCATGAACCATTTTTCTTCCACATATTTAACTTTTTTATTTGTTTTGACTGGTAGACCAACGAATTTTTCTGGCTGTAGTAAGTGACCTTCACGTTGACTGTAGTCGAAAGCTATGTTGATCAAGATTTGTAGATCAAGAGGGTTGTTTCCTAATAGAGCTATATCGTCTGCACAGGTGGGGCACAGCAGCTAATCGGTCCAATTTTCCCACCAATATTGGACTCAAGAGTTGACTGACGTAGACCTTGTACAAGTCAGCACTCAGAGTTCCACCTTGTCCGTCACACCTGGCTCAATATCAAATTATCCAGAAATTTGGCCTTTCCATTTTATTTTAGTAGTGGCTTTCTTTTAAAGGTTGTCGATTAGCAGTATACATTATTCCATATGATATAATTGTCTGATTAAATTTGAGTGTCGCACCACATCAAAGGCTGATTTTGCATCTAGCATTCCAAATATAGTGTAGGTGTTTTGAGATCTTTGTTTTCTCTTTCATTTCCTCTATAATGAGGGAAGCCTCGTTGCAAAGGATTTTGTTTAAAGATTATATCTGGATTGATTCTAAATTTAATGATGGTTTCTACCAGTTTTGAAATAGTTGGTGTAATAGTGATGCATCTGTAGTTTTTTTAATTCACAATATCACCTTTGTTCTTAAATATTGGCGAAAGAATGCCAGTCTTCAAGGAGTTTGTTATATAACAGTGTTTGAAAGATGCATTTATGATATTAAGCAGCATGTGTTCCAGTTTTTCCCCTCCATATTTTGAACATTCTTTTGTTATCCCAAAAATATCAGCTGATTTATTTCTATTTAGGTTTTGCATTGCTTTTTCAAATTCTTCAGTAGAGACAACTTCATGGTCATATGCTTCTTGACATATCGCAATGATTTTGGGATATTCAGAGTCAATTAAACAAAAATATTCCTGATCAAAGTTTGTGGGTTCTGATTGTTTAGCTAGGTTAGCGAAATGTGACTTCAGGCAATCTTAAATGTTTTACTCGCCTTTATAACAGGTATTGCCTATTTGTAGCTCGTCGATAAATCTGTTTTATTTTCCTCTTTGCTTCTTAATTAGCTGATAGTAAAGTTTGCTATCCATAGTTCTTGCCTCAAAGTTAAGTTTTTTTTTAATTAGATATAGGAAGGTGTGGTATGAGTGCCAATGAGACAACTCTCCATCCAAGTAAGAGGGTGGTAAAGGGGGACATGAACACGGAAACACGCGAAATAAAAATCGAAAAAACGTTGCACGGAAAATAAAAATCGGGAAAAACGAAACACGAGAAATTAAATCGTAAATATTAAAGGAAAACGTACTAGAAGTTATTACTCAGCCGTTCTTGGAGATCATGCATGCAGTCATTATTAATGGACATAAAGACCCTGTGGTCACATTTAAGCGTCCGCTATTTGCATCTGATTTATAAAAAAAAATATTATGCATAGTAATTTGATGGACTTTATTATATACCATACATTGATATAGAATTGTAAATATCCGAGGTGACTTTGAATTAGTCCCGGTTTACTTTTTAATCAAACGCGGGACAAGCACGAGAAATTTAGAGTACCGACACGGAACACGGAAAATAAATAAGGGGAAACACGAAGCACGCACATCGAACCAAACACGAGAAAACGAGAAAAAAACCCCGTCAAAACACGAAAACACGTGAAATAAAAAAGCCGAAAACGTTGCACGAAAATAACCCTTTACCACCCTCAAGTAACAATTTATAAAAGTAAACCATTATAGGTCAAGGTACGGCCTTCAACACGGAGCATTGGCTCACGCCGAACAGCAAGCTATAAAGGGCCCCAAAAATTACTAGGGTAAACCCATTCAAACGGGAAAACCAACGGTCTAATCTATATAAAAACGGGAAACGAGAAACATGTATGAACTACATAAACAGACGACAACTACTGTACATCAGATTCCTGACTTAGGACAGGTGCAAACATTTGCAGCGGATTAAACGTTTTAATGGTACCAAACCTTCTCCCTTTTCTGAAACAATAGTATAACATCACAACATAGAAAGACACACTATAAAATATCAATTGGAAGGCTTAAGTCAATCAAAAAACGTAAATTAACACACGATGAACGAATAAATTTGATCTGTGATACCTGAATGCAAATACATAGTTAATAAAAATTATAAGGGATAAATAATTAAATAATTAAGGTCAAAAGTAAATAAACAGGTTTAAACAAAGTTGAAGTATGATACCACTGTGAAATGTCAAACAATACTTAGAAAATCTCCACTTTTGAAAAAACCTGCGTCATATTGTCTGTTAAATCAATAGCCTAAATATTTTATTTGAAAAATGTGGTACAGTACGAATTATAATTTAATAGGATCAGTAATTCCCCGTGGTATTTCAATGTTTCTAATCTTTCGTTCAAAAATCTGTTTCTGTTTTTCACCCAGGAAAAGTCGTACCAGATCACACTTCCATGTTTTAGACTTTCCCTTTAATTTCAAGAACGATAACTCTATGAAACCGGAACTTACGCAAAAATAACAACAAAACACGTCAAAAACATGACATTATGCATCATCTTCTAATCAATATGTAATATATTTTCGAATCTCTGTTACATTGACCATGGATCGCCCGAATCAACAGCAACAACAAGGAGACCAAGTCGCCTGGTGGTTTAAAATTCTTGCAAGAGCTGTTGGAACGATTGGAGGCCTTGGTAAAAATTATTGTTACCGGTTTTTGTATATCTGTAGTCAGTCGCGGACCCGTAGCTTTTATAATATTGTCCTCATTTTTAAACAGAAAAATATTCTAAGTCACTAAGACCATAAGAGTTACGGTTCCTCGGCTAATTTGGAGTTTGAGAAGATATATCTCAATCTAGTTAATTCACAGGAGCCCCTGTGCCGGCTGTGGTTAATTGGTCTAAAAAATGAATTTTCTCCATTTGTAATTTGTTTTTTGAAAGTTTGATATACTTTAACTCTGGAACCTTTGTTCTTGGGTCCTTATGATATTATTTGACAATTTGCGGACTTTGGACTATCAAAAAACATAATATGGACCATTAGAGGTACGGTTCCGCAACTAGATACATTTGTTCACTCAAGACAAGATTAAGCAGTTTCCACGATTTCACGATGGGCGTCAATTTCTTTTCACTGACATCAATGATGGACATCATTTAACCATCATCACATGTTGCCTCAGTGATTTCCTCATTGATCCACAATGTCAACAATGACCTGCAATATTAAAACAGTATTTTTCCTTTTACATATACACTCCTCCCTTTTTAGCTCACCTTTCCAAAGGAAATGTGAGCTTTTGCCATCACTTGGCGTCCATCATTGTCTGTCGGTGTACGTCGTCTGTCGTCGTCCATCGGGTGTAAACTATTTCAAACATCTTCTCCTCTGAAAATACTGAACCAATTCCAACCAAACTTAAGCTGAATGATCCTTAGGGTATCTAGAATGAAATTTGTGTTTTGTTTTCTGTTTCTTCAAAAAAGATGGCCGCCATGGCTAAAAAATGAACATAGGGGTAAAATACAGTTTTTGGCTTATATCTCAAAAACTAAAGCATTTAGAGAAAATCTGACATTGCGTAAAAATGTTCATTAGGTCAAGTTCTATCAGCCCTGAAATTTTCAGATGAATCTAACAACCCACTAAATTGGTATTTTAAGGAAATTTTGCAGTTTTTGGTTATTATCTTGAATATTATTATAGAAAAGATAAACTGTAAACAGCAAAAATGTTCAGCAAAGTAAGATCTACAAATAAGTTTATATGACCAAAATGGCATTTTTAAGCCACTCATTAATATGTATTGAAAAGCAAAATTAATCATTGATGAAAGATTTAAGCAAAAAATTACAGGTGAGCAATTCAGGCTCTTGAGAGCCTCTTGTTTTGTTCTGAATTGTTTATTTGCTGATATTCTAGTCCACTTACATGTAGTCATATCTGCTAAGAAAGGATATGAGTAGTCATATTTTTAAAAACATTTTGAAGAATAAATGTCCCAATGATTTGTAAATGAATGTCCTTTTATAATTCGTGAAAAAAAGATAAACAATTATTGTAAATTCCCCCATGTTTCTCTTCTGTATCTCATTTATATAATTATTGGCTCACCTGTCCTAAACTTGTCTTTTGCAATCACATGGTAAGTCCTAAACTTTTTCAGAGATCTTCTTCTCTTCTGGACTAATTTCAACCAGGAAACAAGATGTTTTGGTGGTGGAACTAGTTCCACGTTATTCGTTTCTCCTGGTATACCAGTTCAACCATACAATAAAAGAAGTTTCAGCCATAGTTTTATATTTTATTAAAATTGATAGAAATTACGTTTGAAATTTGTCCATGCCAAATGTTGCATGTACATATGTACTTTCAATAACATTTTTAACTTCAGTCTTCGATAATTTGATTAAAGTGACATTTTTAAAGAATCAGCAGTAAATCAGAACAGTAAATACAACATGAAACCACTATCTAAGAATTGCTAATCTAATCTGATGTTGCGTTACATAATAAAAACAAGCATTCTTACTGTGTTATGCAATAAGGGATAAGTAAAGAAAAAATCTTAAGTATTTTGTAATAAGGGAAAACAGAGGTATACATGTACACATTATCTATCTTTAGAGTAGCAAATCATCTTTTGAAGCTGGTTTTGTAATGCACTAGAGCAATCATTTCTTTTGATATTCAATACCTTAACTTATATTTACTAAAAGAGATTTTGATATCAATATGTGAATTTCATCTACACAGCTTGAATGATTATAATAATATGGTAAAGATTGGTAACCGAAGAAAGATGTCGCATTTAAATAAAAAAGAACATGGTTGAAGTAAAAAGTATGATGATATCATAATAAACAAAAACTGTAGATGAATTACAGTGCACTAGCTATATATATATAGCTGTATATAGGCATTAACATGGCTCTTTATTATTGTACATTAAGGTAGTACACTGCTAAGCATACTACATTCAAATGACAACTTATTTTTTATTTCAGTTGCTATGGCCACAGGAGTAGTTGTTTGTGTCAGTTTTTCAGCAATATGCATATTAGGTGGAGTTCTCCAGATGTAAGTTCATAATAGTATATAATGTTACACTGATTTACTCAACTGGTCTCTTTTATACATGTATGAAAAAAAATCATTGTTCAGCAACTGCTTGAAAAAAATATATAGTTTTTTTGTCATGTGAAATATTCACTTATTTGTTATTACATGTATTGTGAGTAATTGGATAAATATATTTGGTATATGGGATCTGCATGTCTGTCTGACAGGGTTCACCTGACTTAGGACCTTGAACTCATTTACAAAGATCATTGATAATGTTAGTTTATGTGATACTTGTATTAAAACCTTCATGTAAGAGACTCAACTTAAATCCAATTATAAGAAAAGCAGGCGAGACAATTAAGCCAACAGTGTCAACAGTGGTTAAGTTTTCTGCATAAGTTAGTTTGATAGGAACTACTTGTGATAGATCAATGATATTTTCTATAAAGTTGCATTTCTTTCAGTACATATCAGTTTGATTACTTATTCGAGGAAAACAAATTGGCAAAACACTTTTTCAGTTTGCAGAATGAATTCCTTTTTCAAGTATAAAAATTATTAAATAAACAAAAGAAAGATTGTCAACAGTGTAAAGTAGGTGCAGTGTAATAAAGTTATTCTTACCGTAGGAGCTTAAGTCTGATGAAATTAATACTTCATGTCATTTTTTTCCACAAGGAAATTGGAAAATTAAATAGATTAATATCAGCCAATGAGGCATAAAAGTTTACTCTGATTTTATAATGTGATTAGTTCTAAGTGTGTAACATTTCTTGAGTAATATGTACATGAGATACAAACAAGTTGGTGAAGTGATTACATTCATACAACGTAATACTTTTTTTGTCTATTCCAGATTTATAGGATTTGTAGCAGTAGTTTTTGAAGCACCTTGTTGTTGTCAGTTCTTAGATTTTACCGATAAAATAGGAAAATTTTCCGAAAATAGACCATATTGGCAGAAAGCTGTTACTTATTGTATGTAAGTAAAACACAAAAGTTATTTTATGTACCTTTACTTAAATTTGTAAAACTTTTTTTTTAAGGTTGGAATAACTCAAGTTCAACTGGCCATATTATAACATAAGTTTTACAGGAGGTCTTCTGCATTCAAATGAGTGAACAAATAAATGTCCATCAGTCTGTCCATCAACACTTTATATGAAAGCTCGAATTTGCTTTAACCAATTCTATAATTTTAACACAATATAAAAATTGACATAAGAAAGCTCCCTTTCAATTTAAAAAAAAAATGGCTTTGTCATTCCAGATTAAAGAGACATTAACTGTTAGATTCAAGACAATTTTTCACATATTCCAGTATTCCTGGATTTATTTCCTCCAATTTTTACATAATTGTTGGGATTGATAGAAGGAAGCTCCCTTTAAAATCAATTTTTGTAATTTTACAGTTTGTTGTTCAAGAGTTACAGGACTTCAATTGTCAGGTTTAAGTAAATTTTTTACATATTGTACCATAACTTTTTTGCTTGGATTGATTTACTGGAAAATTGGTGGAATTGATGAACATAACGAACTGTTTTATTTAAAAAAATAGTTTGGATATTTCATTCCAGAGTTATGGGACTTTGACCGTCAGATGAATAAAAGACATGTTTTAAATATCATGCACTAGCTCTACTATCAATGACTATGCTAGGATCAAATTACTATAAACTGAACTGTTATTAAGATTGGTGAATGTAGATTCACTTTTGATTTTGAAATTTTCTGGTTTGTCATTCAAGAGTTATGGGACTTATAACAGTCATATTCAAATGTAATATTGATATGCCTGAGGGCATCCTCAGTCATGTTTTTCTATTTTAAATATCCTATTTTATTCATGCAATAATTTTAATATGCACAATAAGGGCGTATCATATGCTCTTAGCGCAGCTGTTTATTATTTTAGTACTACAATTCCAGCCAGGATATCTTAAATACTGATTAGAGGTTGATTTATCAACAATTTGTACATTCTCCCTTTGATCATACTGCCTGATGCTTTTTTTAATCAAGGACAGGACATGAAACTTGAAAATATATGGCAAAGATATCACCTAAAAATGCAGCAACGTCATGTTTTCGTGTCCATCAGCTTCTATATATCAATAAACTGCATGCAACCTCATTCATACAGCAAAGTTTTGTACCCATACAAAGATGTTTTTAATAACTTAATGTAAATTCATATTCTACCAAAAGAAACATTTTTTTAAAAGACAAATTGCCCATAAAAAGAATATTGGCATTTTAATTTTTGATAATGACCTTAGCAATTCAGAATCAGCTTGTCCTTGCTGGTTTGCTTGCTATTCTTGCTGATATAAAATCCTCATGATAAAACACTGATAAACACTACCATTTGTATGATTTGTTGAATTTGTCTCTAACTGATGTATAAATTTCATGTTATCGTATTGTATTTGTTGTACTATCCTCTCTACAGATTAGGATTGATACCAATTATAACATGCTTTGAAGCATCAACAGTATTTGGCAGTGGTTTAGTGTTTGCAGCAGGTGTAGTGTATGGTTTAATGGCAATTGGCAAAAAGTAAGTAATTCATAAATCTTTGAAAAATCTTATATGGTAAGCTAATTGAATATGAAGAAAAGTCAATGTCGTGCATGTCATTTAGAAAGAGTATCTAGGGGTGATCCGTAAAATTTTAATGTTACAGGAATTTCGAATTTCCTATAGGCTTGAAAGCAGAATTTTTCAAAACATGAAAATCAAGTTTTCACGAATATACACTTTTTACCTAAAACCACAAAAATTGGTATCCATGAAAACAAATGAACCGACAGTATGCTTTAGGCCTCCTTCGGTTCAATCAATGAAATAGACTTCCTAATTAAAACAAGTAGGGATGAAATTGGTTGAAAAACTTAATAATTATTGAAACTTCAAATTATGTTACATAGTATACCATTTTATGACCATTGTAGAAAGTAGATAATTTTATTTCATCAGGTTTTTTATGCCCCACCTAGGGGCATTATGTTTTTCGGTCTGTTAGTCCGTCCGTTCGTCTGTCCCGCTTCAGGTTAAAGTTTTTGGTTAAGGTAGTTTTTAATGAAGTTGAAGTCCAATCAACTTGAAACTTATTGCACATGTTCCCTATGATATGATCTTTCTTATTTTAATGCCAAATTAGAGTTTTGACCCCAATTTCACGGTCCACTGGACATAGAAAATGATAGTGCGAGTGGGGCATCCGTGTACTATGGACACATTCTTGTGTTTTGTCTGTGAATCTTTACAACACTCCTTTTTTTTTTGTATTCTTTTGTGTCCATGAACATGTATAAATAAAGTCTGTTCCTTCTGAAACCAAATTTTCTACACTGTTACTTTTTAGCTCACCTGGCCCAAAGGGCTAAGTGAGCTTTTGTCATCACTTGGCAACCGTCGTCCGTCGACCTCGTTGCTGTTAACTTTTTACATTTTGAACTTCTTCTAGAGAACCACTGAATGGAATGAAACCAAACATGGCATGAATGTTCTTTATGAGGTGCTGACCAAGTGTTGTTACTTTGAAGCCGATCCATCATCCAAGATGGCCGCCAGCGGGGGACTTAGTTTAACATAGGACCCTATGGGAAATACATAAATATGTCTTCTTTTAGAGAACCACTGAATGGAATGAAACCAAACATGGCATGAATATTCCTTATGAGGTGCTGACCAAGTGTTGTTACTTTGAAGCCGATCCATAATCCAAGATGGCCGCCTGAGGGGGACTTAGTTTAACATAGGACCCTTAGGGAAATATTTACAAATGTCTTCTTTTGGAGAACCATTGAAAGGAATGAAACCAAAAATGGCATGAATGTTCCTTATGAGGTGCTGACCAAGTGTTGTTACTTTGAAGCCAATCCATCATCCAAGATGGCCGCAAGTGGGGGACTTAGTTTAACATAGGACCCTATGGGAATAACATACAAATGTCTTCTTTTAAAGAACCACTGAATGGAATGAAACCAAACATGGCATGAAAATTCCTTTTGAGGTGCTGACCAAGTGTTGTTACTTTGAAGCTGATCAATCATCCAAGATGGCCACCAGCTGGGGACAGTGTTTAACATAGGACCCTATGGACAATACATACAAAGGTCTTCTTTTAGAGAACCACTGAATGGATTGAAACCAAACATGGCATGAATGTTCCTTATGAGGTGCTGACTAAGTGTTCTTACTTTGAAGCTGATCCTTCATCCACGATGGCCGCCAGCGGGGGGACTGCCTTTAACATAAGACCTTATTGGAAAATCATACAAATGCTTCTTCTAGAGGTGCACTGAATGGAATGAAACCAAACATGGCATAAATGTTTCTTATGAGGTGCTGATGAAGTGTTACTACTTTGTTGCTGATTTACTGTTCAAGATGGCCACCAGGATTTTTTATTAAATTACAGGGCCAATATTAAACCAAATTTGGCCTCACTCATTATTAGGGTATCTGTTATGATTTTAATCTATTTTAACATGATTTCCAAAACCAAAGTAGAATCAGGTGAGCGACACAGGCTCTTGAGAGCCTCTAGTTTGTTCTCACAGTAACTCAAATTAACTAAGTGCAAACTATGTTTACATATGCAAGTCAACCAGTTTTTTTTTTATTTTCAAAGATTTATTTCAATTGTATCAATGTTTAATAGTTTATCGATGTTTTTCATTTCTTAGTTTTGCCATTTTCTTTCAGAGCTGATCGAGAGACAATGTTATCTAAAGCAAAAGGCGATGATGTTGAACTTGGTGCAACACTTTTAGAAAATGAACAAAAAGTAGATTTACATGTGCCTGAAAGCCCTGGAAAATCATGATGGAACTTAAAAAATGTTACAGACACTGCCAGATAAAGGACAAAATTGAATATTTTTCACAGCCTAACCTGTTACAACAGTTTAGACATATATTCAAAAGTGTTGCATAATACATTTGAATTTTAAAAATGGACGATGGTCCTAGAAATCAATGCTGCAACATTTTGGTAATTTTGTCAAGTAAAATGAAGAAGTTTTGATCTTGATCAAAGTATTTTTTCAGCTTACCAGATATTCTTTACGTCCTGTTGTCAAATTTAAATGGGTAAAATCTTCAAATAAATTTCCAAAATATGGCATACTAGACCAGCTGAATGAATTTTTACAGATTTTGACAATCCTATCAAGCCAAATAGCAAGAGTCCTGATACAATTTTAAAGGGGCATTAGCAGTCAAATTCATGTTCACCGATTTGACTCAAATTCTCATATTCGACTTATAACATACTAAAACGTATATCCAAATTATAAAAAGTCTAAAATAAACAATTTACAATGCATGAACTCGATTGTATGTATCACAATTTCGTGTGTATTTTAGACTAGACACCATCTAATTAACCATCGAGGTGACATCTGAAGACTGCCGACAGTCATATAGCCCGATATAATCATAAACATGGATATAAATAGATAGCGAACCCTTGCAATTAAATTTGCCTAGGTCTGTTTGATTTCAAATTATAGGTTAAAAAACATGTTAATGGTTTTTACCTGTAAAAGAATGAGCTTTTGTAGATAGAATCAGTCAACCAAATGGTTTACCCTTGTTTTACTTCCAATGTTGACATTTTTTTCCTTTTAATAGCTGAACACGCCTAATTCATGCTTACCCATCTCTAGCTAAGGGGTTCAGTTGAAGTTCACATGATTACCAATTTAATGAGGTCGAATTATTCACTTGCAAGTGAATAATTTATTAGAGATGTTTCTTTGCTTATTTTGACAAAACTGAACTAAACTGGCTGCTATAAGCGAATTATTATTTCACTATTTCACTTTCAAAAATGATTGAACAAAAGAAAATCATATTTTATTTTTTTCTATATCTCGTAGCTAATGCCCCTTTAAGAATTTTCAGAATGATGTTACCTCCACATTATTGTTGAGAGATTTTACTCTCTGCACCTCAATTGGTGTACACAAATGTTTTATTGTTATAATGCTGGTTGTGTTTTCAGCATATGGGTATACAAGTATTTGGATAGGTGTCTTTATGCCTTATTAATTGTAATGTAGTTTATACTTGTTGGATATTTGTGTTTATTATCAATTATAGCTTTTATTGTACCGGTACATGAAAAAATTCCTGCTTGAACTTATAATGGAGACCTAATTCAAACTGCACTTTTTTTTTTTTACAAAATTAATGCTACTAGTTACATAAAAGATCAATTATTTTACAATAGAGAAAATATGTGTCACAACGAAAAGCATCTGATATCTGATAGTGCTCATGAATTTTGAGTGAAATCTGATTTATCACAGGAATACATGTACAATAAACATTTGTCCTATTTTAGAAATGTTAAACAACTTTACCTTTGTCATTTTGATACATAGTGAATTGTAATTGTTATGTATCAGTTTACTGAATATATACTAGTTTGTTCTTGTTATGTACTGGTGTATATATTTTTGCTGGCTGTAAAACTATGATGGAATGAAATGCTACTCTAGTTAATTCTTATAAGCCTATATGCATTTTCTCCAGAGTTGAAATGAACTTGTGTTTTAGTAGAGGACAATCTGACATACCGGTAGACAAATTTTACAAATATTTCACACTTGTTATTCCTGATTTATCTCACTAGACTATGCTGAGAATAAATCAAATTTGACAGACGTTTTGATTCAATTGGTTATTTCAACCAATATTTTTCTCCAATTTTCACACAATTTTTCAATATTAAGCTGGTGAAATAATTTTTAATCTTATTTCAAATCCATCAATTATATTTACATTGTGTAATGATAATACAAAAAAGTATTTATTGTAATGAGGTTTCATCCTCTAGTGTTCTTTGATGGCACTCATTACATGTGTGCAGAATTATGTTCCTTTATTTTGCCTTTCTTTGGGGTGATCATTTTACAAATAGCTCGCTTTGTTGCACCCACTTATCTTTGGGAGCTGGACATCAGTAGCCTTGAACATTTTCTTCCTATACATTGTCCTTCTTGTTGCTCTTTTCCATTACCAATGTATTTCATTTGTTAAACCTTTAATTATTTTACAGCTGAAAAAATAAAAATTAAAAAAGAATGGCTTTCAATGTTACAAATAAAATGACTAAAAGATGGATTTCTTTTGTAGAAAGATTCAATTGAAAACTATTAAATTTTCCCTTCAAACAAAAAAGGATTATTTTACATTGTTTTATCAGATACACAAATAAATATTTTAGCTGCAGTGATTTAAAAAAAGTTCCATTCGGAAGTTATTTTCTGTTTTGAATTTAAAAATGGTATCATGTAGTTTGATTTCATTGTTATGTTTTTCATATTCTAGAACAAATACATATATGTGACCAGCCATGAGATTTTCAGGCTTGTGGAGGTACTAGGGTCAAAATGAGTTTTTTGCATTTTTATGAAGTATACAAAGATTAAAAACACTCTGACAGGTTATTTTGCTACATTCTGCAAAATTACAGAATTATGGTCATTTTTGTGAGTTCCGTTTTTATCAAAATTTTCATTTTATTTGATTTTTCACATGTATGTTTATCTATTATAGAATTAATCAAAAAGTAATTGTTGCTTTAATAACTTAATACACTAAATTGACTTACCATTCTGAAACCATTTCATTCAGTGACTTATAGTCAAAAATATTTTGTTTACTTTCGTTTCAAAATTTAAAAATAATATAACCTAAGTGATTTCCCTTTATGAAAACCAACCGCTCAAAACGGTTTCAGGAAAGGAAATAAATTTACGCATCATAAAAGATTTATTTATAATTTTTCTGTACTTAAAAATAAAAATAATATCTATTAATGGTGATATAATTTAAACCATTTTGTTTAACCGAAAACATGTAAATGATGCAGGAGAAAGTGATTTACGCAATGAAATCTAAAAGACCAAATTGTGATAATTTTGAACGCGATTCCTAACAGATTTTAACCTAAATTATTAATTTTACGTAAAAATTCGACTTCTTTTGTAAATCCCAATAGAAAATTATAATTTCCTCAAGTGTAGTAAAATATTAAACATTATTTTATCGCATAATATAATTGGACATTCAATAACAGGTGCCCGGATTACGTTACATGACTTTACATCGACGTTTTCTCATTGGGATGTTTACCGCCATAAGCCTGGAAATGTCATGACAGGTTACATATATAAACTTCATCTAGAATTTAGAAAAAGGCAAAAAAGCAACTTAATTTTATTTTTGGATTTAATTTTATTTAAGTTTATTATACACCCTGTAGAAATCAGCCTGTCTGTCTGTGCTAACTTTTCAATCCTTTGTCTAATTTAAACCAAACTTTGTACTGTAAATAACATATCATGATGTTTAAACTTTGAACACTACAGATTCTTACTTCAGTTAATAGCATTTCTGGAATTATTTCATCTAAACTCAGAAAACATACTTTTCAGAGTGCACTTTGTCGACTCAACTTCTCCAACATGCTTGATCATATTTTCATGAAACTTTGTAAATTATAATATCTTAACATGAAGATGTGCACATAAGAAGGTCATTCTGATCCATTGACAAGTACTTTGAACATACAAATTTTGTATGCTATTAAGTATTCACATTTGTGATGTTACTCCTACCAGCCTAATCAGACGTTTATGAAATCTACCTTGTAAGAACCCAACATTAGCATGCTCTTAATATTAGGGCATTCTGGTTGGTTGACAAATTCCAGAGTTATTCCCTTTACATATAGAAATTGTTTGTACTATTCAACTGTAATGTTGTGCTGTATTGACTACTTGATCAAGCATTGGAAATATACCCAAGCTCTTGCATCAAATTGTATCACATGTTTAGAAGATTGTTGGGGGGAAATGTAAATAATGAACTTTCATTATTCAAAACTATTTGTTCAATTGTATTAGAAATATTCATGCATTGCATATGTATATTAGATTGTAATGAAATGAAATCTAGTCAATTACATCCATTACTGTTTATTTTTGTTATTTGGTCTAGGCCATTTAAACCTACGCATATGCTATACTAGTTTATTTACATGCCTCAGTTTGTAACAGCAAAACTATTAGTAATTATCATGATTATCAGATAAGATATTAATACTAATAATGTATATATACCTTTTTACAAATCATGCCTTATAATGATATTTTGGTTATAATGAAAATCAGTTTTCTTATGTTTGAACTATTGGTTTTTATAAAAGAAATTGTTATACTTATGCAGAATTTTGGTATGAGGTGGAAAGAACTGATAACCCTATTAATGGTATGTTGAGAAAATTTTGTTGAAATTTCAAAAAAATATTCAAGGAGTGGGATCTTTCAATATCTGACCAATAGATATCAGTTAAAAAAATAATTTGTGATTTCTATTCAAGCTATTGTGGTTTACAAGTGAATTTTAACTAACTGACTTATGTAATGAACCATATTAAAGGTTTTAGGAAAAAGGCAAACAGCTCTGTTTAAAATGTCTAGTTACCATTTGGAATGCATTATATGTGTTGTACACTAGTATGTGTATATGAGTATAAAATTATGTTGTGTCACTTCTTTTTAATTTTTTATTATACGACCGCAAAAATATTTTGCGGTCGTATATTGGTATGATGTTGGCGTCGTCCGAAGACACATTGGTTTTCGCACTCTAACTTTAGTTTAAGTGAATGGATCTCTATGAAATTTTACCATAAGGTTCAATACCACAAAAGGAAGGTTGGGATTGATTTTCGGGGTTATGGTACCAACAGTTAAGGAATTAGGTGCCAAAAAGGGACCAAAAATAAGCATTTTTGTAACTTCCAGACATTACTTGTGTGTTAGTGTATGAATCTCTCTGATATTGTACTTTAAGGTTCCATATCACAAAGGGAAGGCTGGGATTGAGTTTGGGGGTAATTGCCTCAAACATGTAGGAATTAGGGGCCAAAAAAGGGGCAAAAAACAAGCATTTTTCTAGTTTCATGACAATAACTTGTGTGTAAGTGTGTGGATCTTTCTGAAATTGTACTACAAGGTTCCATATCACAAAGGGAAAGCTGGAATTGAGTTTGGGGGTAATTGCCCAAAATGTTTAGGAATAAGGGGCCAAAAATAAGCATTTTTCTAGTTTCCAGACAATAACTTGTGTTCAAGTGTAAGGATCTCTCTGAAATTGTACTGCAAGGTACCATACCACAAAAGGAAGGCTTGGATTGATTTTAGGGGTAATTGCCACAAAATTTTAGGAATTAGGGACCAAAAAGGGCAAAAAAACAAGCATTTTTCTAGTTTCAGGACAATAACTTGTGTGTAACTGTATGGATCTTTATGAAATTGTACTACAAGGTTCCATATCACAAAGGGAAAGCTGGGTGTGAGTTTGGGGGTAATTGCCCTAAATGTTTAGGAATTTGGGGCCAAAAAGGGGCCAACAAACAAGCATTTTTCTAGTTTCCAGAAAATAACTTGTGTTCAAGTGTATGGATCTCTCTGAAATTGTACTGCAAGGTACCATACCACAAAGGGAAGGCTGGGATTGAGTTTTCGGGTGATGAATCATAAGGGGTTTCAAAAAATTGGGGGGGGGGGATTTTTTTTTCCTTCTTTTCCTTGTTTTTTTTTTTTAAATTTTCCATTTTAAATTGGTTATTTCTGATTTATATATAAAAGCAAATAATAATGATATGGTTTGAATTGGTAAATTAAAAATTTTCAAGTTCTTAGACCACATTCATTCTGTGTCAGAAACCTATGCTGTGTCAAATATTTAATCACAATCCAAATTCAGTGCTGTATCAAGCTTGAATGTTGTGTCCATACTTGCCCCAACTGTTCAGGGTTCGACCTCTGCGGTTGTATCAAGCTGCGCCCAGCGGAGCATTTTATCACACATATAAGGTTGTTAAGACCAGATTATTTCTATACATTATACATCTATGGGCATTTTTTTCAACATCACTTACTGTTTTAAATTTAAGTCAAAATGTCCTATAACCTTTCCATAATAATATTTGTGGAACTGCTTTGTGGTAAAAGGCTATATTAGATATGAATATTTGAGACTTTTGTTGTAAATTTATGTTTGCTATGACATTTTGCTGCTTTTCTTCATTAGTTGACATATGTATGCCTGAAAATCAAGATGACTCATAGAAGCTTTCAAGACATAGAAGTCATGATAGCTAAGAATAGATTTATATTGCCTATAATTGGGAGGAAAATACCAACAGTTTGTCACTGTTGTTTATCACAACATTTTATTGTTTTGTTTGTGTATTATTTATTGTATTATTTAAAATATGCATGTTGGGAATTGCCTGTTATGTATGAGTTGTAGACACAAATAAAGTTTAAAAGAATTTTTTTATTGATAACAATCTATTACAAGCATATTATTTATAAGGAAACCAAAAAATTTTGAATTTTACCATCAATCAAGTGCCATTACTCTGGAACTGTAAAAGTGAAAACTACGAAAATAGAACTTAACTGTCCAAAACATTCCTTTAAAATTTGAATTAATTTGAAAAAGAGGTTCTCCATTTGTTATATGGAAATCACAAAAACATTTCCAACACTCATGTACTGTACCTCTGGAACAGTAAAAGTGAAAACATAGAAAATAGATCTAAACCTGTATTATGTAGTTTAAAACATTCCATTAGAATTTCAAGTCATATCAAAAAGGGGTTCTCTATTTATCATCTGGAAACCACAAAATTCTGCATTTTTCCAACAATTATTGTAACTCTTGATTTGATTTTGATTTTTGGTGTTTTAACGCCACTTTTAGGCACCGCTTTTGGGCTATTTCGTTGCGGCCAGTTTTTACTGGTGAAGGAAGCCAGAGTGCTCGGAGAAAACCACCTACCTTCGATGGGAAAACTGACAATCCTAGTCAATTAAGATTGGAATCGAGTGTACCCGCACGAGCGGGGTTAGAACTCACAACCTCAGTGTTGACTGGCTAGTGATTACAGTAGTAACTACTTAGACCACTCGGCCACTGAGTCCCCTCTGTAACTCTGGAAAAATTAAAGTGGAAATGAGGAAAATCGAAACTTAATCTGTCAATAGTTGTCCAAAACATTCCATTAAAATTTAAATTCATTTCAAAAAGGGGTTCTCTATTTATCATCTAGAAACCACAAAATTTTGAATTTTTCTGACAGACAAGTATCAGAACTCTGGTTAAAAAAATAGAATTTAACCTGTCTTTAGTTGTCCAAAACATTCCATTAAAATTTCAATCCATTTCATAAAGGGGTTTTCCATTTATGATCTGGAAACCAAATTTAAAACAAAAAATTCTAACAATTTTTCAGAGTGCACTTTGTCGACTCAACTTCTCCAACATGCTTGATCACATTTTCATGAAACTTTGTAAATTATAATATCTTAACATGAAGATGTGCACATAAGAAGGTCATTCTGATCCATTGACAAGTACTTTGAACATACAAATTTTGTATGCTATTAAGTATTCACATTTGTGATGTTACTCCTACCAGCCTAATCAGACGTTTATGAAATCTACCTTGTAAGAACCCAACATTAGCATGCTCTTAATATTAGGGCATTCTGGTTGGTTGACAAATTCCAGAGTTATTCTCTTTACATATAGAAATTGTTTGTACTATTCAACTGTAATGTTGTGCTGTATTGACTACTTGACCAAGCATTGGAAATATACCCAAGCTCTTGCATCAAATTGTATCACATGTTTAGAAGATTGTTGGGGGGAAAAAGTTGAGCGGTAAAAGTGAAAATGACAAAAATCAAGAATAACCTCTTTTTAGTGGTCCAGAACATTCCATTAAAATAACAAGTAATTTCAAAAGAAGATCTCTATTTATCATCTGGAAACCAAAAGTGTGATCAATGGAAAGATGGACTGACAAACTTGAGGATTCCGATATACCCTTCACTCTGTCCAGTGGGGGTATAAACTAGAGGCTCTCAAGAGCCTGTGTCGCTCACCTGATTCTACTTTGGTTTTGGAAATCATGTAAAAATAGATTAAAATCATAACAGATACCCTAATAATGAGTGAGGCCAAATTTGGTTTAATATTGGTCCTGTAATTTAATAAAAAATCCTGGTGGCCATCTTGAACAGTAAATCGGCAACAAAGTAGCAACACTTAATCAGCACCTCATAAGAAACATTTATGCCATGTTTTGGTTTCATTCCATTCCGTGCACCTCTAGAAGAAGCATTTGTATGTATTTCCCATAGGGTCTTATGTTAAAGGAAGTCCCCCCATTGGCGGCCATCATGGATGAAGGATCAGCTTCAAAGTAACAAAACTTAGTCAGCACCTCATAAGGAACATTCATGCCATGTTTGGTTTCAATCCATTCAGTATGTGGTTCTCTAAAAGAAGACATTTGTATGTATTGTCCATAGGGTCCTTTGTTAAACATTGTCCCCATCTGGCAGCCATCATGGATGAAGGATCAGCTTCAAAGGTAACAACACTTGGTCAGCACCTCAAAAGGAACATGCATGCCATGTTTGGTTTCATTCCATTCAATGGTTCTCTAAAAGAAAACATTTGTACGTATTTCTCATAGGGTCCTATGTTAAACTAAGTCCTCCGCTGGCGGCCATCTTGGATTATTGATCGGCTTCACAGTAACAACACTTGGTCAGCACCTCATAAGGAACATTCGTGCCATGTTTGATTTCATTGCATTCAGTGGTTCTCTAAAAGAAGACATTTGTATGTATTTCCCATAGGGGCCCATGTTAAACTAAGTCCCCTGCAGGTGGCCATCTTGGATTATGGATCAGCTTCAATGTAACAACACTCGGTCAGCACCTCATAAGAAACATTCATGCCATGTTTGGTTTCATTCCATTCGTTGGTTCTCTAAAAGAAGACATTTGTATGTATTTCCCATAGGGCCCAATGTTAAACTAAGTCCCCTGCTGGCGGCCATCTTGGATTATGGATCAGCTTCATAGTAACAACACTCGGTCAGCAACTCATAAGGAACATTCATGCCATGTTTGGTTTCATTCCATTCAGTGGTTTTCTAAAAGAAGACATTTGTATGTATTTCCCATAGGGTCCCATGTTAAACTAAGTCCCCCGCTGGCGGCCATCTTGGATTATGGATTGGCTTCAAAGTAACAACACTCGGTCAGCACCTCATAAGGAACATTCATACCATGATTGGTTTCATTCCATTCAGTGGTTCTCTAAAAGAAGACATTTGTATGTATTTCCCATAGGGGCCCATGTTAAACTAAGTCCCCTGCAGGCGGCCATCTTGGATTATGGATCAGCTTCAAAGTAACAACACTCGGTCAGCACCTCATAAGGAACATTCATACCATGTTTGGTTTCATTCCATTCAGTGGTTCTCTAAAAGAAGACATTTGTATGTATTTCCCATAGGGTCCTATGTTAAACTAAGTCCCCCGCTGGTGGCCATCTTGGATTATGGATCGGCTTCAAAGTAACAACACTCGGTCAGCACCTCATAAGAAACATTCATGCCATGTTTGGTTTTATTCCATTCAGTGGTTCTCTAAAAGAAGACATTTGTATGTATTTCCCATAGGGTCCTATGTTAAACTAAGTCCCCCGCTGGCGGCCATCTTGGATGATGGATCCGCTACAAAGTAACAACACTTGGTCAGCACCTCATAAGGAACATTCATGCCATGTTTGGTTTCATTCCATTCAGTGGTTCTCTAGAAGAAGTTCAAAATGTATAAAGTTAACGCCGACGACGGACGACGCTGGACGACGACGGACGACGCTGGACGACGACGGACGACGGACGCCAAGTGATGAGAAAAGCTCACTTGGCCCTTCGGGCCAGGTGAGCTAAAAAGGAATTACTTAATGTTACAGGTATGTAAACTAATGAATGTACATATATACTTGTTACTTCCAGGAAAAAATTGTTGTGATGATAATAATTGGGTCAAATTGCAACTATATGTCATAGTCTTATTGCATTCTATAGTAATATTTATTGTATGTTAAAGATATCTCATATACTTTATAAGATATCTACTTTTTGTTGTTAGATATCTTATAAACTATATATTATATATCATAAAGTATATAAGATATCTCATAAACTCTTATAAAGTTTATAAGAAGTTTCATTAAAATGTATTCACAAGATCTATAATAGATCTCATGAATCATAAAAGATATCTTGTACTTTTATATGACTGCAAAATTTTTATACTCGAATAATGGTATGACATTGTCGCCGTCTTCATTGTCGTTGTCCGAAGACATTTGGTTTCCAGACAATAACTTGAGTATAAGATTATGGATCTCTATGAAATTGTACCACAGGGTTCCATACCACAAATGGAAGGTTGGGATTGATTTCGGGGGTTAATGTCCTGACTGTTCAGGAATTAGATGCCAAAAACAAGCATTTTCTTGTTTCAGGACAATAACTTGTGTATCAGTGTATGGATCTCTATGAAATTGTAACACAAGGTTCCATAACTCAAAAGGAAGGTTGGGATTGATTTTGGGGGTTTTTGCCTAAACTGGTTAGGAATTGGGGGCCAAAAAACTTGGATTTTCTGGTTTCTGGACAATAACTTGAGTATAAGTCTATGGATCTCTATGAAATTGTACCACAAGGTTCCACACCAAAAAAAGGAAGGTTGGGATTGATTTTGGGGGTTATAGCCTTAACCATTTAGGAAAAAGGGGCCACAAACTATTCTTTTCTAATACTTTGTGTAAATTGCTTATTTCTTGACCAATTTCAGAGGATTTAAGGGAGCTACCATTTGATTTTTATGGGGGGGGGGGGGGGGGGGGGGGCTAGGATGAAATTTGAAAAAATAGGCAGGACAGGAGTTTTGAGTAAAAAAAAAAGGCAGGATGAGACACTTGCAAAAAAAAAAAAGTCAGGATGACAATTTAGGTAAAATACAGTCAGGATAAACTTTTAAAAAAAAGGCAGGACAGAGATTACAACTAAAAAAAGATGCAGGACAAAATTTTTCATCCTACCCCCCCCCCCCCCCCCCCCCCCCCCCCCCCCCATAAAAATCAAATGGTAGATCCCTAAGTCAAAGTATTGAATTCTTGGGGTTCTTTGATATGCTGAATCTAACTATGTATTTAGATTTTTGAATTTGGGTCCTGTTTTCAAATTGGTCCACATTAAGGTCTAAAGGGTCCAAAATTAATCTTAGTTTGATTTTAACAAAAAATTAATTTAAGGGGTTCTTTGATATGCTGAATTGGTCCAAATTGGGATTCTTTCACATGCTGAATCTAATCGTGTATTTAAATTTTGGATTTGGGGCCTTATTATCAAATTGGTCCATAATAAGGTCCAAAGTGTCCAAAATTAAACTTTGT